CTAAATACTTATTTTTAAGTCTTTAATATAAGAAAGAAAATGTAAATAAATCCTAAAAACTTATTTATTATTATAAGCCTATAATTTAATCCATTTAATGCTTATAAATAATAAAAAAGGTTTTATAAGATTTAGAAAAAAGGTTTTAAGCTCTTATCTTTTAACGGCCTGCGTTAAATTACCTTTTTAATAAAGGCTTTAAAGTAATTCTTATAATTAATTTATTTAATTCCCTTAAATTTTACGCCTTAGGTATATTAAATTAATAATTTAAAAGCATTAGCCTTTAAATATTTAAATTAAAGATATTAAAGGGTTATTAAGTCCTCTTAATCCTTATTTAAGTATTAAAAGGGCTTAAAAAGTTTTATTAAGTTTATTAAAAAAATTGCAAGCTTATATATACTTGCAATGCTTATAAGTATTTATAATAAAAGATAAAAATAAGGAAATTATAATAATATATATTTAAGAAAAATTAAATTATATTATTAAATAAGTTTAAGAAGAACAATGCTTTATTTAAGTAATTTAAAGCGCAATATTAAATTAATTCCATAATATTAAACGCTTAACTTCTATAGAAGCGCTTTTAATATTATATTAATATAAAATTTATTCATAATTATTATGTTTTCTAAAATTAAATCTTTAGTCCTTTTTCCATTTACTTTATATAATATGTTTTTAAAGCACCTTATTTTATAGCTTAAAACCTTTAGGAATAAGGTTCCTGCTTTAATAATATTTATCTTAATAGCTTTTCTAAAAATACTTAAAACTAAATAATTAATAAAGTTAATAAGGTAAATAATGCCGTAATTATTTAAAATTATACTTAAAGATAAAGAATATAGCATGGAATTTAGGGTTATATATATTTTTAGGGAATTAATTATAATTAATAATTATAATAAATTAATTAAAGTATAAATAAATTAATAAAAAGTTAATAAAAATATAATAAAGGTATTATTAATTAATTAGTTTTTTAAAATTAAGATTTAAAAAATTATAAGTTTGCTTTATAAGGAAAAATAAAATAAAAGGAGGAAATTAGGATATTATCCCTTAATAGCTTTTAAAAATATGCTTAAAGGGGTTTTTAATATTTTTAATAAGCTTTATATTTAATCTTTAAGTAAGAAGTTTTTTTAAGTAAGCTTTTAAATTAAATTCTTATAGCAATTCTTTTATAATTATATTTTAATCTTATTATATTTAAATTCTCTTAAAGGTATTTTTAGCTTTAGGATTTATTCCCTTAAAAATGCGAAATAAAGGCAGCGGTAATTAACGAGAGGCTAGGTATATTTCTTTTATTAATTGGTTTTTTAATAAGGGTATTTATATATTTTATTTTATTAATATAATTAGGATAATGCATTTTTATTTCTTAATTGCTTTCTTAATTAATTATTTTTTGTTTTAAAAGGTACTTTTAATTTTAATATAGTAAATATTATAATATTTTTAAAGGCTAATATAAGCTTATTATAATGTAAAAATGTTGTTAATCCTTTAAATAAGGTTTTTAAGGAATAAATGGATTTTCTTAATGCATTTTATTTAATAAGTTTTTAGTGCTTAAAAATTGCTTAATTAAAGGTAATGCATATTATAATTGCCTATAAGAAGTTATTTAAATTAGTAAATTCCTTAATTTTAAATAACTTATAAATATAAGCTTATAAATATAGATTTATAAAGTCTTAATATTATTATTGTAATTTAATACTTAATTTCTTTGCTTTTTTTAGGTATTATTAATATTAAGTTTAAAGAATATTTATTATGCTTAACTTAAAGAGTGTAAGGTTATTTTTAATATTTTAAATTATTTATTAAATAAAGAATTATTTTATATTTACTATTTTAATTAAATATAAGGAAAGAATTAAGCTAAATATTATTTTTTATATTTATTTTTAAATTTTTTATCTTTTATTAAATTTAATTACCTTATTAAGAGCTAAGGCAATTTATTATTAAAGATATTAATTATATTTCTTTTTTAATTTATTAAAGGATAAAGAAAAGAATAAAATAAGTGCTATTTTATCTTTTAAAAGCTTATTATTACTTAAACGCTTTTAATACTTATTATATAAGCCTTTTAAACATTTTTTTTCTTCTTTTTATATTGCATAAATTAAGAATTTAATTTCAAGATTATATTTAATTATTTAATAAAAGCTGTATTTAATGCATTAAGATTTATAAATTCTTAGCACCCTTTAATTTAATAATAAAATTATAATATAGTGAATTAAATAAAAAAGGAATAGATATTTAAATAAATTACTTAATTAATAAGGTTTTAAGAAACGTTTATAGCTATTATATAAATATATGCTTAAAAATAAAAGGAAATAAATAATATAAAATAAATGTAATTAAAATGCACTTTGCATAATTTATTTATAGTTTATAGAAAGGAAAGATTGTTTTATGCAAACCGAGCTTATAATTATGAAATAAAAGCAATGCTGTAATTACACGGCAATTATAATACCTATATACTTTAATATATCCCTTATTTTAAGCAGAATTTAATTAGCTGAAATATATCTTAAGATGCAATTAATATTGCGTATAAGGGTTAAACTTAAAACCTTTTTATAGATTAATGTTATTAAAATGGAAGAATATAAGGCTAGTGTGGTTGCTAATGGAAGATATCCTAGGGTTTTGACCGCTAGGCTAGCGAACCGGGCTTATAACTGTGGAATAAAAGCGACGCCGCAATTGCACGGCAATTGTGGTACCTATATACTTCAACAGATGAGGCTCGTCAAAGGCGTGCTTAATTGTCCAAGCATGTGATGTTGACACGTGCAAGACCCTGCATATTGTTTGTATACATCGCTTCCGGTTCCCGCTCCCCCGTGTGGCGCAACTTATGACTTAGGCCAGAATCCGTCTCGGCTGTCTGCAGTAGTCCGCGCCCGGAGGGCTCTGCCGTCCCAGCTGTGCGGTGCTATACAGCATGTGAAGGGCTCATTGTGTACTGCATCTTCGAGCAGAATGCCTAGGTTTTCTCTCTTCGGACAAAGTATACGCATCCGTCTCTCGGCGGACGCCGCCACGGCCTCGCCACGTCTTGCTTTGCCACTCGAAAAAGTCCGGCCCCTCACGGCCGAGAGGTGACAGCCTGATTCAGGCTGCCGCACGGTGGCTTGCCTCAACATCCTCCCAGGCCTACGCAGGCGATGCCGGCTTCCGGCCGCCGCGGGTGCCCGGGGGGAGACAAACAAAATAGAGCGTGGATGGACGGTGCAGGTGAGCTGGTCGGTCACACGAACATGTGCTCACTGCGTGTAGATGCCGGGGTAACAATATAAGACAGGCTCAGAGACTGGCCGGCTGGGACATGTTTCGACTGTGCTCAGCCGCCAGCAACGTCACCTTATGCTTGTCTGTCAGGTCTAGCCGTATTGTCTCGGGGTCGAGGTGACGAGGCTTCTGATTTCGGCTTCATGTCCGCCCCTTGGAGCCCGGAGGTGAACCTGGGAAGAGGGCTCAAAGAGGACTTACGTGGTCCATGATCAAACTCCTTCTTGATAACATGTGGAAAACGCGTGCTGATTCGACAGCGCACCTGACGGCATTGCGGTCTGGACCGAGGCCGACAACATGAGTCTGGACGAGGGTACGGCTACCTGCCGTAGATTACTACCCTTGCGAGGCCCTCCCCGATGTTGTGGCATGGCAAATAGAGGAGGATCACGCGAGGATGGCCAGGCGCATAATACAGGGAGGCTCAGTCGTGATACTGCCGCGCTGACGAGCCACACATACCAAGGTGGTCTTGTATACACGTCTTCTCAGACTCAGACGCGCGTCCCCGTGTGCTCGTCCATGTCTGAGTGGATCGAAGATGGAATCCTAAAGGGTCAAGAACTTGCTGACTCTGAATCCTTCTCGTTCAATGGTAATGTGTCTGCCATGGCTGTGTCGTATTGTCAACGGGTAATGCCTTGCCCGCTGCCCCGTCAATGGTGGTTTTTGTGATGGATGACATGACACGATGTTTGGCTGTCTGTGCTCAGTAATCTTCAAGGCTTGTCTAGATATCTATCTGATTATGGAATCAATAGCCCCCCCCCCCCAAGGCTATGTTCAGCGAGTGTAGCCGTTCCTTCGATGGATGATGTTGCTGCTCTTCTGATTCAAGATCAGTTTCTCCATGGAAACCCTCATGGAATGACGCGTTTGTGGCAGCCCAATCCTATCTTCAATTTAGTACACAGCAGACATTGCGTTACTAAAAAGCTGCTTCGTAAGAACCAACCTGACCCTGATCTTGATGGCCAGATGCAATTGCTGGAGTGGAACGAAACGACAGGCTCATACACGGCCAGGTCTCGAGAATTCTAAAGCTTGGACGGCATCGCCTTGGAGTATACACCGAATAAAATGTGCCATCAGGTAGCTCAACTTTCTTCCCAGACCAGCTGTGGACAGCCTCAGAGATCGGTAAAACACAGTGGTTCACCTCAAAATCCAATAACTGCACCTTACAAAGTATCTAGCATTCGGGTGCTGGATTCAGTATATTTCTATACTGTTTTGATACTTCTAGAGGATCTTCTGGATTATCTCATGCCACCGGTGTGGGTTTTCGCCGAAGCTACATGAGTATAGGGAGCGGCTGGACCATTCCTGCCACTAAAGGGATCTGGAGTCATTTCATTGTGTATGTTAATAGTATGTATCGTATGAAAGTATGATAAGAAGAATTTGTGTTAAGTTTTCCCTGCTAGGTCTTTCCACGGGATGATCAACCCGCCCAATGTCGTGTAACCACGGATCTTTGACCGATCTACAGCTATTCCTAATCTAACAGTCTGGGAGTAAGGCTCCAACTGCTCTACCCTGAATATGATAATACAATCTTCACCAGCTGATTCTGGTCCGAGCCCATTGTCTGGAAGTGCTCTCATCTCGTATCGATTCCAGGCACACATGATCTTTGCTTCACTTGCTTGAACTCCATAATGGCCAACGCCCCAGTCGACCAAAACGCGCTTCGCCTGGCGGTGGCCTTCAACCCCGATATGATGCGCTTCAACTGCTTCTTTGTTGCACTAGGACGAATTTTTGGCGTCGACAGCAAGGTCATCGCTACTTGGGTGCAGAAAGATGTGAATATCGCAGAGGTCAACAACGCCCGTGGCGCTGATCTCAAGAGTTGCGTGTGCCACCTTCGCCGACCCAAAGCGTGACTGTGACTGTGGTGAGCGCTGACCATTGGTACAAAACCAGTCCAGAAGGCCGTCCAAAAAGCCCTCGCGTCGCGAAGGCTCCAACTGACCCTCCTCTCGCTCGCCAACCCGCGCCACGCAGCTCTAAAGGCCCAGATCGACAGCCCCGGCCCGCATTCAAGCAAGAAGAAGCGCGTCCTCGAGGCCGCGCGTGCGGCCGGGCTTTTGGGACGCTGCTTAGCAATAGGCGCTATATCCCCCAACCGCGGAGCTCACTTCGTAACACTTGAGTACCGCCCGCGCCTGATGTCAGGCGGACGGTTGGTCGAGGCCGAGGAGTGGTGTCTGGAGTCGGACGGCCCCGTCGGCGCATGCAAGCACTGCAAGCCAGACCTAAGTGCGAATATTGATGAGCAGGAATGGATATGGCTGAACATCGAGGCGTGGACTGTGCGCGACTATCAGGCCCCGAATCTGGATTGTGAGGCCGCGCTGGAGGGTGCGCAGGTGCGCGTGGTGTGGGGGTCCAGTCGGACAAGAACAAACAAGCTTGTGCCTGACAATTGCAAGGAGACAAATCGCTGGGCTCTGGAAGCGGCTCTGGAACTTCCACGGCTTAGCGTCACCCCGGTGGTAAGATGGGACAGTAATGTTGCAGGCGGGGGCCGATGGTGGTTTGAGGTGTATCAGTATGGTCTGTCTCTCCTGTCCCTGGACCAGTTGGGTTGATTCTATTTGATTGCGTGCCCAGTGTCCTTGGTTCCGAATTCGATACAGGAGGGGCTGAACAAGGAGGTGCTGACCTATGTACAGGCCATTGGAGTAAAGGGCATTGTCTCGGAGACCGTCAGAGTAGCCTTGCCGAGCCTACTTGGGAACTACACAAAAGTATGGTCCATGCCGACCGTTGGGTTTATACGTTTGGTATGTCATGTGCGGACTATGCTTGATTGAATGAACTGCTCGGGTCCTCTGTGTAGGATCCCTGCTGACATATCTGCCTTCTTCAGACGACCCCGACGAGTTCGACGCTGACTGGCATGACTGTGAGGAGTCATGTCGAGCGAGACATAGTTGGCAAGGTTCTAGTTGGCATACTGAAAGTCCCGTGTGGATGGAGGGAGCAGCTACAGAGGAGGTCCAAATTAGATTGGATGAGAAGGATCAGCAGAGGCTATGCATTTCCTGAGACGTGCCTACACAGGCAAGTAGTCATAGGCTAAGAATTTTCAAGTTGTGCGCAAGTTCAGTAAATCTGTAGAAAAGGACTCATTCATGATGGCACGAAACTGAAGGAAAGATGGAAAACAAACAAACGAAAGGAAACAAAGACCCGAGAGACGCATGTGACACCCTATGGATCCCATCAACCGTCACCTCATGTGCTGCGTAGCGGTGTATCATGCTCCTTTTTCTGGACAGAACCCGGGGCACCCACCCATTTCCAAGCAGAAATTAAACTATTCTGCGCATCTCCGCTCTCCATTGCGCCATCAGAGCCTCAAAATCTGTCACTGCCAGGTTTTGACCCCGGGCGAAATCCCTGAGCGAAAGCACCTGTTCAGCCAGGAACTCATCCCGGTAGGCCGACTCTGGCAGCCTCCTACCAGGGCACACGTTCTGCCAGACAGCATTCCACTGCTCGGCATGCGACAGACGCCCATGGGGCCTCAGATGGAGTTGTTGGCGTTGATTCTCGGTCAGGTCGTTTTCGTGGTACCGGAGTAGGTGCTGTTTCACCGCACCCGGGCGCGTTAGACGCACGGTATCGCATTCGCGAAAGCGGATCGGGTTGAGGCGCCCAAAGGGGCAGGCGAACGTCCTGCCGACTGGCATCGTTGTGTTGCTCTGGGTTTGCGAGGAGGCGTTCGGAAGATGATCTCCAGCCGAGGACGCGAAGTTGGACATGCTGAGAAGATCCTCGGAGAGGTCTGTTGGCCACGTGGATGCGTTCATCCTGGAGACAGAAGTCCCGGCACAAGTACTGAAGTTCGGTGTTGTCATCCGTTGTAATAGTTCGATTCGCTTGGATAGCAGTGTGCTGATGTTTGAGCTGTACACTCGTCTCGCGAGCATCCCCTTCTCCAAGTGAAAGGTGCTGAAATGTGTCCGCAAGGCCGTCGGCGTCGGCGGCCACATTGGCCGCCATCTTGCCAGTCTGAGGAATACTGTCGATCCAAGAATCTATGTCGATGAGGCTGGGGCTGCCCTGGGGACTCGATACAATAGCCAGGGCCTTCGGTTCAGAATGGACTGCCTCTGATGAGTAGAACTCCCAGACGTCCGGCACTTCCGTGCTCTCGGTGCAAGTGCTGGATGCGTTGTCAGAGCAATGAGACATGGCCAAAAAATGTGGTCAAATGTTTGAGGGACGCAAAGGGTTTGCGTAGCTATATAGAAATCACGGTGTTTTTCAAGTGAAACTCTGAGAAGGGATGGGGCCTCACGCCTTTGGGTCTGTCACTTCAGGGCTCGACAGAACTCTTTATAGACTACGATATCGTCAGTATTCCAAGGTCATCACAGCCTCGTCGGCTTCATTACTCCTGCGTTCACTGGATCCGGGTGCCTCGGATTTCATGGGCCATGCGAGATTAGCTTGAGTACCCGTTCATAGACGTTTTCTGAACACAACTGTGAGGAGTTTGGAAGAAATTTTGTCTGAACAAGACTCTTGGGGGGACTGTCAGCTGATTGGCACAGATCTAATCTTGTGTACCCCCATGAGCGGGGGATTACCTACAGCGCCAGTTTTGGAGGTCTTCAGGGGCATTCCAACATGCTTGCAGTGGATGACCAACCAATTTGAGGGAAAAGAAGCATATTGTACCTTTTCGCTGCACTGGACCAGGCGCAGTAGAGACTGCCCCTTGTAGACCTCGGGTCACTCCCCGCTGCACTTTATGATCATGTCCCAAGATGCCAGCAACAAAACGCGACCTGGTTATTGAAAAAGCTTGTTGCTCTCTTTGATTCACGCCGTGTCTAGAGTATGTACACACTTTTTGTGTCCCCCAGATAGCACCTTCGTTTTCAGCATTCGAGGGAACGCCTGTCCGACCTGATATAACGCAAAATAGGTCTCTCTATGATGACTTCGCGTCATCGTACTTGGCATGTGGCTGATATGGGATCGGCGCGTGCGCGTAGATCTGTTGTGACCGCTGGTGGACGGGGATCTTGCCAGCGGCATCTGGGATGGTCTTCTCGAGTTTCTGTGATGGTGTTCGAGGTCAGCGACACGAAACGGGAGCATGGAATGCTACGCCAGCGGTTGGTCGGGAAATCGTGGGCTACGTACCAGGTTGTGGAATACGCATTTGTTCAGGCGCCACTCAGCTGGCCGGCACTGCCACAGCTGCTGGTTGTTGTTGTCCAGGCACTCGTAATGGGTGCGGAATTCTTCAAGGCAGGACTTGTTGATATCTTCGATACTGGAGTGTACGTTAGCGAGCGGCCCCCGAGTAAGGCATACAACTATCCGGTCGCCCGTCTCCCCGCCGACGCGCGTGCCCGTGACCATCGCGAGCGAGCACGGCACAGCGGAGCCCGTTTCGGAGTTGCTCGATGGGGCTTCGTAAGGTATGTAGTACGTACACGCTCCTCGCGCATCTGGTGACCCTCCGGCCCTCCTTCAGGCACTCGAACTCGCCCTTGCCGGGGTTCTCGGTCTTGCATTTCATGAAATCATCGTTGTAGTCCTTGCACCGGGCGCCGATGAAGAAGGAGGCTGACTGAAGGGGGGCAGAGCTGGCGCCGAGCTCCTTGACCTTGGGGATCGAGTCGGGGAGAGGGGTCGTGTCGATGAGATGCTTCTCACTGAATCTGTGGTTGACAGTTAGCCGGGCTGTTTCGAGATGCTGACTGCATTTTACAGGTGCTATGGAGGGGCTGAAGAGCTGGCCCAACCTCCCGGAGCTGATGAAAGGACCAATTGACTTACTGAGGGATTCGCGACGCCATCTCTGCGTTGTTTGGGCTCGGAGTGAGGCTGTAAAGTGTATAGACCCGCGGCTTAATGACGACGGTTGGCAGTGCCGGAAGTTGGGTGAGGTTTAGCAACTCGAATGAGGCACGGCTTGATTGGCCAGTGCTATGCGCTGATGTGGGTCTCTTGCGCTGCCTGCCCGCCCAGGTGCCCCAAGCTTTGAGTGTCCAACTACGACGGGGACCTGGACTTTTTCGAGCAGCTGGAGACGCGACCTCAACACACCCAAGTTGCTGCAGCGACATCTGATACCTGGCACACGCTCTTTGTATCGTGGGCCACTGCGCAACGCCTTCCTACCCAGGCGACAGCAACACATTTGTGTACACAGGATCATCGCAACCACCACATATTTGCTCCTTTGACACGTTCGGCGCAGCGGGAATGTGTTGATAGCTCTTTGTTTTTCTACACCTCGCCGGCGTGGGCGACTAAAACCCCCGCCACTCTCCTTCCACCTACGATCCCTCGATCCCACTTCGACCGGAGCGAAAGCGCTAGCTGCACTGTGTCGCGATGTCCCTCTTCGGTCAGCCCTCTGGCGGCGCCTCGCTGTTTGGCGGCGGTAATACGACCACGCAAGCGAACCCTTTTGCGCAGTCAACAGCAACCCAGCAGCAACCTACACAAACACAAAGCATCTTTGGCCAGACGAATAATCAGCAGCAGCAGCAACAGCAGCAGCAACAACAACAACAACCACAGCAGCAGCAGCAGCAGCAGGCTCCGCAGCTGGGTCAGTCCATTTTTGGGCAACCGCAGAACAATCAAGCTGCCAACCCAGTCTTCCAGCCTGGCGCTCAACCACAACCTTGTATGTGAACTTCCTTCTACGGCCCTCAATCAAGTAGGCTTGCACTCTGACCAAGCACACCACGGCCTTTGCGTCATCCTACGCTCGGGGCGACCAGAAATGGCTAACTTGCGGCTGAATCACGTAGATGGCAAATCCATCCCCGAACAGATGGCTCTGGTCCTCGCCAAATGGAGACCGAAACAGCCCGACTGTGTCTTCAAGTACTATTTCTACAACAAAGTTGACGACGCTCACGTCCCCTTCTACCATCCCGGCCAGGACGAGAACGCCAAAGAATGGGAGGAAGCACTGCAGAACAAGCCCGCACCTGGCCTGATGCCCGTGCTGGCCTCTGGTTTTGAGGCTGTCGCGGAGCGGCTTAAGGCGCAACGCGTCGCGGTTGGCCGCTTCAATCAGAGGCTGCACGAGATCAACAACTGTCTCGATGCGATCCTGTCGAAACATGACCTGGAGTGGAGTGTGCGGACGATCAACGCGAGGCGGAAACACGATGCCCTGCGCCGACGAACGCTGGTGCTTGCTAGGAAGGTGCAGGTTCTGCGAAATAGAGGCTACGCGCTTTCGGGCGATGAGGACGAGCTGAGAATCAAGCTGGAGAACATGGAGAAGAGTGTGCAGGACCCAGCAGTCAATGCGAGACTGGAAGAGCTGTGGAGTCGGTTGATAATGCTCAGAGAGAGAGCCCAGATTCTGCAGTCGGAGCTGCAGAAGAAGGGGCTGGGCGATGAGCAGGGCCTTGGTGAGGAAGTGGAGGTCAGAGTCAAGAAGGTAAGATCACACCGTTCGTGTCCGGAGACGGCTCGAAGCTGACATGATTTCACAGATTGTCGAAGACTACGAGAAGCAGCTCCAGCATCTCAAAAAGGAGTGCGAGCTGATCAAGCAGGACTTTGAAGAATGGGAGAAGGAACACCCCAAATAGAGCAGTTGGGAACCTTCCCACCGACAGCTATTAAAATGCTCCGACCAGGTCGAGCTAGTACTTTGGCTTGCGACTCGAAATTTTCAGCGCCACGACACCGCGATACCGCGATGCCACGATGGCTATTCGAATTGGAAACCAATTCTCGTTGATTAAGGGTCCTCTATGGAACGTCGCTGGGACACGTAGACGAACCATGGACAAGGAGCAGGAAGCACGAGATGTGCTGGGGTGTCTCGACCGTTGATATAGATGCTAGGTCGTCATCACTGTAATACCCTGCCTTTTTGTTCACGAGACGGATCGATTCGCTCGCAGACGATCGTCTTTCTGGACTTCAGAGGCGCCTCGGAGGCGGAAGAGACGTCAAGAGCGGCCATGATGGGCGGGGGCAGGCGCTGGCCTAAGGAACAAATATTATGAAATGGCGAAGACAAAGGTCAAGCTTCACCCAGATTCACATGTAGAGAAAGAACCTCCCTTGGAGCAAAACACTTGTGTTAACCTGCCGTCCAAGAGACGGATGTGATCTATTACAATGTATATATATAGGTATGTAAACAGTATGCCGCCGTCTGGTCAGCTTTCAAGAGACAGCAGTACCAGGCAGCTTCCAAGCAACCATGTCATCCCGCACGTCGAACTCGTTGACCTCCCTCGCGCTCTTAAACCCGCTCCTACCCCTTTCGCTCTCGATCGTAGCAGCCAAGCTCGACAGGCTCTCGCTCCGACCGCGCATCCCCGACGAGCTGGGCGGCCGCCCGCTGTCCTTGCTGCCGTCCCGCCGATGCCCACTCGGGGCACGGGGCCCGCCGTGGTGGTGCGGCGCGTGGTCATGCCTGGCCGTCACGGTGTGTGCGCTCTCCCCGCTGCCGTGCCGCGAGTGTTGCCTCTTCTGCCCGCCGAGCCCGCGCCTGTCGCTCGGCCGCAGGAACTCGTCGTCGCCGGCGCTGCCGCTGTCCTCGCGCCTAAAGCTCAGCCTCCTGCCGAACCGGGACAGCGAGTGGCGCGAGCGGTGGTGGCTGTGGTGGCCCCTAGGTGTGGCGTCACCGGCGGCTGACGGGGAGGCGACGGGCGAGCCGCCGTCGGGCTCGCCAAAGCCGTCGCCGCCCTCGAAGATGTCCTCTATGCACTCGTCGGCGGGGAGCTCGCCGGGCTGGCACGCCCAGCTGGCGGCCAGAGCGCGGCGGTACATGTCCTGAAGCTCGTAGATGTCCCGCGACTTGCCGTTGTTCTTGCCGAGCGAGAACTGCGCGCTCAGGTTGCTGCTGCTCGGGTCCTGCGTGTCGTCCTGCAGGTGCAGGTGCCCGAACTCGGCCACCCCCGAGTCCGCGGCTGCCGCTGCACCGCCGGCCCCGCCGGCTGCCTCGGCCACCATGCCTGCTATGCCGCCAAAAACGGCGGCTGTCTTGAGCGGCGGTGCAGAGAAATTGCGCTCGCCGTCTACCTGCATCATGAGGATGCCGATCTTGAGGGTACTGTTGATCTTGGAGTCCTGCATCAGATAGCGCCGGATGACGCCGTCTTCGACGTGCTGCTCCGGAGCCGGTTCATTTATCGAGGGTGCTTTGTTGTTAGTGGCCTCGTTGGAGGTCGATTTTGAAGGCAAGGCTGACGACGTTGGGCTGACGTTTGAGTCTGGGGTGATGGGCGTGTGTTGTGATAGACTGCTCCTCTTGCGGGTGTGAGACGTAGCGTTGACGTTCCCAGCAGAGCCATTGGTGGTGCTACCGACACTGGGGCCGTGGCTTCGAAAAGGTGCCTCGCGCACCACCGTCTCGCTCTCCTCGACATATTCGCTGAGGTTCAGAGTCACCTTGCCTAGCGTGATGGTCTCACTCCTCCCGGTGACGCCGTGGGTGCTGAACTCTTGCAGGACCTCAAACTCAATCAGGCATTCGGACAGACTGTTGTTCTTGTCGATTCCGATGCGCACGGGGATGACCTTGCCATAGCCGTACTCAACGCGGTGGTTGGCGATGGGGCACTTGGCGGTCCGCCCGCGGTGCTCGCCATGGATAGAGTGCGGTAGGTGCCATTTTATGAGGGAGACACCTTGAACCAGGGGTACGTTGTTAAGGTCGTAGATCTGGGCATTGTTAATTGCTTGAACAGAGACTACAGCTGGGTCGTGAGTATTCTTTTAAACCCGGACATATTCCACTTGCCTTAAGATGTACGTCGAACTTGGGCTGTAGGCTATGTGTTAGCTTATGATTCCCTTGCTAAAGATCGGCGATGTTCGATGGTGATGAGTTAATCAAAGAGGTGGATAGACTCACCCTGCGAGCCTTGTTGACTAAAGGCAGGTAGTTGACGTTAGTCCAAGCCATTGCTCCAAGGGAGTGCGGACAGCTAATGAGCAGATAGCAGCCAAACGGTCGTGCATGGGTCTCTAAGTTTTGAGGATGCGTATGAAATATGAAGTGGCGGGGCACGAGTTGGGTTAATCTCAAGAGGAATGTAGGCGATGGTGGTCACAAGAAAACAAGGCTGAAGTGACGGATAAGAGAGAAGAAAGCGAGTGAGACGGGTGAGACGAATGAGCGGGAAGGAGCGCCGGCAACGCAGCGCAGGCTACCAATCTGCCAGTGAGGGTGAATGGTGGTACAGAGGGCAGCGCTCCTTTCCCTTGGTTCACCTTGTCTCACTCAAGGAATGGAAAACGAAGGGAGGAACGGCGTGGAGAAATGAGTTTTTCTTGACATTGAGCTTACTGAGATGTGCCATCTTAGGCTGCTGTCAAGATAAGCTCGAGTGCAGGTGCAGATGCAGGTGGAAGGCGAATGGCCGCGGGAGGGCCCCCGGCCCTTTCTAGAGCTTATTATGGCAACTGTAATAGGTGCAGCAGTTCTGCCGAAACGAAAAGGTATTAATATCCGTATGGTATGTCGTAGGAGGCTGGCCTCAGTCCAGTCCAGGCCAGACTCTGGGTCCCAGACCTCCGGGAGGGCCGGATGACGGAGCCGTCGGTCTCTGTTGGTGCCGAGTGAAACACCGTCTGCGCGGGCCTGGTATCGTGAAAATAGATAAGCAACGCCGTAGGATAATGACAATGTCCGTGAAATGTCTGTCCAGGCCTCTCGAGAGGGTGTGACTGGTCTGATTCGATGAGATCCGGGGGCTGGCCTGTCTGTCAGCCTGGTTGCGACTGTGCGACACGCATCACGATCCCATGAACATGGACGAATGACGTTGGAACGAGCCGATCGGATCAGGGCCGCTAGCTGGGGGGGACGAGTCTCGAGTAACGACGTACAATTGCCAGCAGCGCCTCAACTACCTGAGCAACGAGCAGGGACGTCAAAGCAAGTTGCGGTAGATGGACATGCAAGTCAAGTCAAGATCAAGTCAAGATCAAGACCGAGAAAGGAGACGTCAGGACGCTAATGTAACTCGGCTGGATCATACACTCATCTTCCAATGTGACAGAACAGACCAAATGCAAGGCGAAGTGGGGCTCCTAAGATGGCCTCTCATCGTCTCCACACTCCAGGGTCTATCCAGGGACCTAGGCACTCTGCTCCTGCAGGGATGACAGTACCGTGGCGTGGTCATAGCTAAATTGGTAGGTACTCGGGTACTGCAGCTCCAACTTCCGATAAGATAAGACCTCACTCGACTTTTTTGGAGTCGCACGGCTCACTTGCAACTTGCACAAAAGTGTCAGGCACTGTCAGGTTCATAACTTGGTAAACTTACTTATTGTGAACAATCATGTGAAGGTCCAGGAAGAGCCTACCAACAGCATGGCCCCACAACCTGGGAACTCTGGAGCGAGGCCTGATACTGGCAACAAACGAAAAGACGTGCCCCAAACCCAGGGTGCTGGCCGCGCCTTCAAGCGCGTCAAGGTCCAAGATGCGCGTTCCATCCGGTCCCAGCCCGCGGATGCCGCCCTCAAGGACGGGGAACTGGATTTGCAGGCATTTCTGAACGCACGCCATTTCGAGATCGGGGCTCTCCAGGATGGAATGCGCAAGTCTAAAGCCCTCAACAACCGCCGGGCCTTCCAGCTCGTGCCGAGGGAGATGCGCCGCCGCACCGCCTCGCACAACGTGAAGAAGCTTCCCAAGCGGCTGCGGAATAGGGCCAGGCGGGAGCAGCTCCAGGACAACACACCTACCGTCGTAGCCGGGAAGAGGAAGCCGAAGACCACGAGGGCACGCATACGCCTGGAGTCGGCCAAACGACTAGGCATTCTGGCGGAGAAGAAACGAAAGCGCAAGCTGAGAGAGGCGAAGGCCAAGGCCAAGGCCGGCGGTGGCAGTGTTGGTGCTGGCGAGAAGGAGGAGTCTTCTGCTGCATTTAAACAGTTGATCGAGACAAGGCCAGCCAGACCAAAGATACGGAGAAACTTGTTGAACGACCCGCCAAAACCCAAGGCAAAATTCAGGAAACGCCAGATTGAAAAGACCTGGCTACCTACACATCTTTGGCACGCAAAGCGGGCAAGGATGACACCCCCCAAGGAGCCTTTGTGGCGATTTGCTGTTCCCCTGACGCCCAACGAAAAAGTCTACAGAATCACGCATCGAGCTTCAAGTGCGCAAGGCGCTGTGGTCTGGGATATGTCCTATATGAGTACCATCGGCTTGTATGGCCATGCCTCAGGCGTTGAGAGGACTTTGAGATCCCTAGGTCTGTCCCATGACAGCCTATGGGACGATCGAGGCAAGAAGTGGAGAGAAGGCCGGCGCAAGTGGTCAGGTATCCTCAGCAAGCAGACTGGCGGCGACGCAAGGAGACAGATTGGTCCTGCTACAGTCATATGGAACCCAGAATCAGTCGCCACTCAAGGGCTCCCTCCGGAGGTCGCAGACGCTGATTCCTCAAAAAGGCACGAAAAAGCCCAACGGCAGCTCTACATACGGCTGCATCCATCGTGTTTCCTGGAGGTTTTCAATATTCTTGTCGCCCTCAACAAACGAGAGCATCCACGCCTCTATGTGGAGGACCTTCGCTTTGAGATTGGCAGCATCGAGCTGATTGGTCCCGGTGCAACAGAGGTTCTCTCCGGCATTATAGCTTCATACCACAGCAAGGAAAGTTCCAAAGAGGCTCACGCGAAGCAATTCGAGTTCCTAGCCGCGAGTAGCAATGCGGCCGCGCCTCCAAGCGACATAGTCTTGGGTTTCTCTGCGCAAGATCCTCGTCTACGATATCCTCCGCGCACAGTACAGGCCCACATCTCCTCCGAAGAGCAAACCAATGGTTGTTCTGCATTCCAGGGCACGTCAGATGAGGCGAAGCCTGCACCGTTCCTTCTTTTCGACCGCGACGCCCGATTCAAAGCCTCCCTGTTCCCTTCGCAAAAGTCTCTCAACAGGCGGAAAGGCTCGAACCCACCAGGCCAGCCTTTGAGCGTCACTGCTGCAGACTCACCCTTCCCCGTTGTGCTATTCGCCTCTCGTAGCGTCGGTACGAAGCACTCGCAGGGTTCTTGGACGCTCCTTGCTCCTTACAAGTGTATCTTGCCCATATGGTATAGCCTGGTGCATTATCCAATGTCGACGGGTGGAAATCCCAAGATCGGAGGATTAAACGAGCTGCGGCAGGTGAGCTTTGAGCAGGGCCTGCCATGGTTTCCGGGTGACTTCCCAGGCACGAACGCCGGTGCCGACTGGGAGCTTGAGCAGCGGGCGAAAAGGAAGGCGGACTGGGCCAAGAGACCCAAGTCGAAAAGGGTCGCGTGGGAGTCTCTTGACCTAGGGGCTGGTCGTAAGGGAGAAATCGGCACTGGTTGGGCATGCGAGTTTGAGAGGTTATTCGGACTGCAGCAACCTGAAGAGGATCCCTCATCCGAGAACAAGGACCAGAACTCCGATGAGGTTGTCTTGAACGACCCAGAGAACAAAGACAAGATGGATATCGATGGAGCAGAAGCCGGATCCGCGCAAGACGATCCATCGAGAACCGCCGAGCGAGAGCTGACTGTCAAGAGACAGTCACCAAAGGTGCAAGCGCCTCATCCATTGACGCTCATCAACCATCTTTCCAAACGTGCTTTCAACACCCTAGTGTCTGCTACAAGCAATGAAGCTCCGCCGCCATATTCTATAGTCACTGTCAAAGTCACAATCCTTGGCCGTGGCGTCGCCGGGCCATGCGCTCGCATCTACCGCCTTCCAGCCCGAAAGGATACACCACTCACCCCTGCTACCCAGCCAGAAGTCCCGGCGACGCAGCCTCCTTCACAGAGTAAGGAACTCCCAGCCGACCTTCGCGACCAATGGCTCGCCCAGATCCACGGTCCTCTGACCAAAAGACACACAACCTCGGAAAAGAATGGCACCCAGCCCCGCCGTTTCCCTGCCGGCGCAGACTTTGAAACCCAGAAGCTCCTGCTTGCGCAAACACTGTTGACGAGCAAGGCCCCTTTCCCGCCGGAGAAGGTCCCGGGCGGCAGCGGTGACCACCCTTTTGTGCCTGGTGAGGAAGACCTCATAGGATACGTGACCAAGGGGGAGTTCTGCCTCGCGCAGGGACAGGCGGTGGCGGTTGGGAGTGTCTCCGCTGAGAGGGCACTGGAGGCGTTGCGCACTGGCGGCGAGGAGGGAAGGATATGTGTGGTCAGGAATGCTGGGGAGGAAGTTGGCTGGGTGGCTAGATGGGATATAGTGTAGGGTAGCTCGGTCAAGACTAACCTCCTCTGCTATCTATAAGTATTGCTCAGCCGAAGATGAGCCTGTTTCTGGGTCCAGAGAAAAGGAGGCTCAAGAGTGAATGAGTCGAGAATGCTCACAAAAATCATTCATTGGTCTTCCACCGTCTTGTTGATTTAGCACAATTCCACCCGCGGCAGGGTGCGTGGGGCCGCAACCGAGACTGATCAAGACGAGTATGCCCACGAAGAGACGCATTCGCTACCTAATCAGCGCCGTGTAAGAGTCTGGCTTGTATATGCCTTGTTGGCTGAAGACAAAGGCTTCGTTCCTCTACTGCAAGCCATCCCAAAGTTACCACCGAGTCCCCCCTCCCCCTTCGCAAGTGTACTTCTTCTACATGTTCTGTGTCCCAAGTTCTGAGTAGGACTGGGATGCAGCACTAGAGCTGTTCCAGTCTACCTAGGTAGACTGACCACAGGGATCACGTAATTCGTTAGCAACATATGAGTGTGTTGTTTCTAGTCGACTGGTGCGACTATCGCCCCGAGCTTGTTCGCAAGGTATCTGCTCTAATTACCTTTATACTCTCCAATGTACAGAGAATTGTGCGGAGGGACAACAACTGCCATCTGGGAGCAGGTGTGGTACAGTACCTCCTATACATATTTGGACCATTCGGAAGTCGAAATGACATGTTACTTGCATATGCCGATGAATACAAGAAGGTGCTTCATAAAGTCTAGGCATCCAACCAATTCTATGGCATCATCAGGTTCAACAGACATCCTGCATGCCAGCTTGGGTCTAGAGACCAGAGCCTTCTGCAATCTCGTGGATTCAGAACTTTGCATCTCTTATGAAGCTGGGAGAAAGACTCCATAAATTTCGTAACTGAGAACAAAGTGATTCGAGCTTCCTTGCTCATAAAGCTGCAATCAACGAAGTTGAGCCAATACGATGACGGATCCACGTGAGCCACTCAATTGTTCACCTGCGAATACTGACACTCAATCCTAACCAGTCAACCAAATTTCGGTCATCGCAAGTTTTGCTGGTGTTCTCACTTACACGGGTGGAAAGTGCCACAGAGAGAGAAATAAACATGTTTTTCTTCACATAACATTAGCTTTTACTTCAACTTGCTTGAAGTTTACATCGCTCAACTATTCAAAGTCATTTGTTCCTTTTCCAAACTTACCGACAGCATAGACAATTAGGATCATTAATGCCGTAACAGTATATTCATTTCTAGAGGAGTCGATTCACAGAATTACCAAATTCTTGATTTCATCACCAAAATGGATCTGAGTGAAGTTTACCTCATTATCAAAGCTTGCACAGCCCAGCCTAAAATAGCTCAAGCAGGAGGTTACTTCGCGCTCTATAAAGGAGGCCCATAAGTTGAAGCTCCACATGGCTCCAGTAGTCGATAATACTCATTCATCAAAGACGCGGCTTTTCTCGCCCATTTGCACGGATCGCCAATCTCAATTACTCTACCCGAAGGACAAGGAATAAGGAGTCGCTCACTACTCAAGCACCCACTATATGTTACCAGTAGGCAATGGGCTATGCTAATGTCATTATCTTTTTAAGAGCGGCTGAAGCTCATTAAGGGTATTCGGCCGATTCGCGGCTCGCAGCCGGGCTTTTCACCATGGTCACGGCGGCGGTAAGATCAACATGCGCGCCCGGCCAAAGACCCAGACTCAAAAAGCCGCAACAACCTCCTGGATTGGGAAGTTCATCCACTGTGCTAAAGATGTCCGAGGCGCCGGCCTGTTCGCGAGCTAGCGCCCCCGCCTACCTGACAGTCTTCGGCTCCGAGAAGCTGACATGCGGGATCGAAGACGCTATGCGGCGAGAATCTCACAACCACGTGCACGATTCAGATCGACATCCCCGTTCTTGCATGCGCACTCCATGCAACAGGCGGGCCGTGGTGGGGACGAGGACTTAGATCTGGGTGGGAATTGGCGTGCTGAAATGGGTCAACGTCCGTCTGACTGAAGAGCCAGGCTCTGGACTCTGAACCTTGGCTGACGGGACCTGAGCACTTGGACATTTTGTGTTTTCATCCTGAGGTGCACGCGAGTCTTCTACACAGCTGGGCAAAGAAGTTGTCGTCCTTGGATCATCGTACAGTGCCCCACGATGATGCAGTCGGGACACAAGGTAGTATTCTGGCCATGTTACCCACTCATTCGCAACGCGTCCCACTGTAGCTGTGTCAGGTGCGAGACAAAGATTCATCATCTTGGAATTCTTGGAGGATGAGATGGCTTCATGGGCCGATGGTAGAGTCTTTGCCCACAGTGAGTGTGTTTGTGGCAGTGCCTCCGGCTGGATCGATGCAACTATAATCCACCGTTTCTGAAACCCATGATGAATAATGTTTCATTTCCTTGACAGGGCTTAGCGAAACATTATACCCGAGACATTACTCGTATGTGTGTAGTATCACTCTTGGTCTGGGAACAGAAGCTTCATGGTGCAGCCACCCATTCTTAGTATGGAACCGGCTGTCTCTCGATTCGTAAAGAGCTTCAAGCTCGGTAGACTCTGCAAAGCCTAGACGGACGGCCGGAAGAGCATGCATTTCGAAGAGGGTCGAAGAGGGTCGAAAGGAGAAAGGGGCAAGGACGGAGGGCATGTGCATCCAAAGCATGATCCCCAGACATGCATATTGCCCTGGGGCATGTGGTAAACAGAGCCATGCGCGACCTGCGTCTGCAAGGCGACCGGCAGAAGAGAGAGAGAGAGAAGTTTCTCTCACCGTTCCCCGGTGTCACCGTTGCAGTAGCGCTGCAGCTGCCAGCAGATCGTGCAGCACCGTACGAGTTAGCGCACGAGGACTCGAAGGAGCTGAAAGAGGGTCCCCCACGGAGCCGGGGTGCTCGGCAGGAAGCCACCCTGGCCAGCAATAGCAACAAGCGGCGGTGGATCGCGAGATGCATGGCCATGTGGCGTGGCTATGTGCGCAGGCCACGCTGCGTGGGCTCCCTCGCCTCACGCCTGCTGCCGGCCGCAGCACTGGATCTCGTGGGACACGATCAGCAGGAGCGGAGCCCATTCCGTCTGCGCTTAAGCTTCACGGGAAGAAGCCGTGAAGAGATTGTCTGACTGTCGTTGTCTGCCGCGGGTGCCAGCTGGACACACTCAGAGAGATCGACCGGGAGAGAGAAGATTTTTTACGACGACGGTCCCGCAGTGGCATGGTGCGTTTCCGGGTCGGGAGCCCCCCAGCGGCGAATGTTTCGAAGGTTGCGAAGCGAGCAGGTGAGGTTGGAGATGTGAGGTTCGGACTTGCTGGCTTCGCCCCTGAGGCGGCCTGGAGCGGGAAAAAAGGACCAGGGTCTCCGGGCCAAGGGGCCTCCCTGTCGGAGCTCCAACGCCTACGCTTTGGGACTCCTTCCCCACAAACCCTGGGTGGACGTTCTAGAATCTCCACATCAGGGACCCTTGGGTGGATCTGACATTCGACGGACAATTCAACGACCTTTTTTTTCCCCCCTCGTGTAGCGAGGGGATCCTGGAGGGCTGAGGGACCCTATAGCCAGGCCATGCGCATGTGCATGCGCTGGTCGCGCATCCAAGGAAAACACCGTCCTGCGATCATCGAGAATGCGGTGAGGTCGGTGGTGATGACATCGCCGCTCGCCCTCGACCGGACGCGACGGTCAGCCAGGCACGGGCAGGAGCTTGGGACAGGCTGTGGATCTATAGCCATCAGGGGCAAATTATATGAATCGACAGCGGGGGCCGATTGACGGTCCGGGGGTGGAACACGAACACCGCTCCGTCGCCAGGCGGTTTTCACATAAATATCGTGCCGGGTTCAGCCTCCAGGAGCGTTGAGGACGAGGAAACGACTGTCAGACCTCAACCGACCCGACCCTCTTTCCAAACATCTAGACTGTCTCATTTGCTTTTCGTATTGCGACTCGTGCTGCAGACTGCAACCCTTGCCTGTTTCCACTCCTTAAGTTCTCCATTTCCTATTCCGGACACAGGCGGTGAGGATTCGAGATCCACCGTGACTTTTTTTCGATCTTCGGAATGCCGCCCAAAGGGAACAAAGAAGGGTCCCATCACAAGTTCTTCTCACTACGTGGCAAGAAGAAGGAGAACCGGGTCAAGAAGGGCCTGTCTGAAGCACTAGGAGCATCCCTGGGCGCCATCGGACTCAGGCCCGAGGACGAAGGTGAGTTGATACATGAGGCCCCCCTCCGCCTCCGAACCATCTAGCCCGGCCCCATTTGACACGTTGCCCATCCCCATTAATAAAATCAACGCGTCACCTTGCAGTTGCATGAACTGACAACATCCGTCTTCTCCCCAGAAGCCAGCAGCGTCTCCAGCAAATCCTCCGCCCACGGCACCCTTCAACACCAGGCATCGCGCGATTCCCTTCAATCCCTTGATATGTCCCTGTTCAACCACCTCAAGAGGTCCTCCAAGCACGACAAGTCAGGCAGCTCCTCCCGCTCCAACTCCGTCGAGCCCTCCAGAGAGATCCCTCGCATCGTCACCACCACCCACGCTCCCTCCATCGTCAACAGGGACCTCCTCAAGCCCAGCATGTCCCGCCCTCAGGCCCAGGACCGCGCCGTCTCTACCACATCCGCCTTCTCCGCCGCCTCGGAATCCACCATCGCGCCCGAGGAGAACACCCCCCGGAATAGGACCAGCATCCTCGACCGGGCAAAGACGGCCATCAGGAGCCGGTCTGCCTCCCGCAGCCCCTCCGAGTCGCCCGAGGATGTCAGCAGGAAACAGCTGGCCCCGAGGGGCAACCACATCGTGACTGATGCGGTCGCGACCTTCCGGGTCAAGCTCCAGGCCGAGGTCAAGGGCACCGACGAGCAAATACTGTCGGCCGGCGTGTCGAGCGAGAACCTCTTTGGCTTCATCGCCAATGAGCGTCTCAGGAGAATGCCCGCGAGGGGCAGCCGTTGGGACAAGATCCTCAAGTGGGCTGAGGACTTTGCCAAGAAGCTGTCTCTCTTTGAGGCCGACGAGAAACTTTATTCCTTCCTCCAAGGAGGCCGTCGAGCTGATTCTGGCTTCCATTCAGCTCCTTCTCCTGGTGAGTACAGGCTCTTCTCTCTCTTGGCAGGGCGCCTCAGCTAACATGTCTGACAGCTTGGCCCGCAAAACGGCGAGGCTCTGGAGAGGGCTTTCGGCATTTACCATGAGTATGGCCTTACCTTCGACTTTTATAAACGTAATATCAGCCTTCTCGTCTCCATCTCAGAGGCCAGGAGGTACCTCAGTCTGTCGCTGGCCGACATGCTTGGGCTTTCGGTTGAGATGACCATTCTCTACCGCAAGAGCGCCCGCTCCATGTCCACCAGCAACAGCATCACCATCAACTTCAACCTGACGTTTGGCCACCGCATGGAGTCCTTCATCAGCCACAAGGACCGCATTGCCGAGCTGATGTGGACATGGCAGCTCGAGAACTCGGCTGAGATCAGTGGTAAGTGCAGAGATGCTTGTTGTCGTTGTTGCTGCTTGTGTCGTGTCGCGTTGTTTGGGAAAAGTAGGGCGGAATGCGGTGTCGGGTTGGAGGTTGGAAGACGTGTGGTTGCTGAGTCAGCCTCGTCGAGAGCCTCCTCCAGCCTCACCATGCATCACCCCTGCTACTCCCATCCCTTACCCGATCTGCATTCTGGGTTGAACCTTTCATCACCCCCCACCTGTCACCTGTCACTGACAAAATCTCCGCAACAGACATTCAAGTGTCCATCGAGAGCATCCGGCAATGGCTGCTTCCCCAGGACCGCCAGCTTCAGGCCCAGGTGGCCGGCCGTCGTTCTGTTCGCACTCCCCGTGCCGAGTTCACCTGCGAGTGGCTCGACCGCCCGCTGGTTGAGTTCGCCCGTAGCAGAGACAGGGTCTTCACCATCACCGCCGAGGCTGGTGCCGGCAAGAGCTTCCTCTTCGGCTGGATCCTGGAGCGTCTGCAGAGGCGCGTTGGCCACCATGAGTACCAGGCTATCTCGGCCTCTGTCGACAGCCAGGTCCCTGCTCAGGCCACACAGATTGCCCTCGTCAAGACCCTGTTGCTGCAGCTCCTCGAGCAGAACGTGGGCAACGTAGCTCTGTTCCGTTGCCTCGCCAACGTGACGGAGCTCGGTGCCAACACCAGCAGCACTCAGGATGCCGAGGATGCTCTGTGGTACACCCTCGACACTGCCCTTCAAGGCCTCGAGAATGTTGTCCTCGTCATTGATGGCCTGGACTCTCTCGAGGGCGATGAGGAGGAGAAGATCGAGGCCTTCGAGCACCTCCATGAGATCGCCACCAAGAACAAGAACAATGTGCGCGTCATCATTCTGAGCCGTCCTCTCTCCAAGCCCTGGCCCAAGCCCACGCGCCAGATCGCCATGACTTCTCAGCGCACCAGCGTCGACGTCAAGCATATGGTTCGTGCCTGGCTCGTCAGCCGCAACCTTGGCACCAAGCAGGAGATTGAGGACATCTCTGAGCAGATTGCTGTCCGCAGCAAGGGCTCTCTCACCTGGGCTGACTTGTCTCTCCAACTTCTGTCCAAGGCCAAGACGACCGCCGAGATCACCACCACTCTCAAGGAGCTACCAAGCACCACTAATGAGATCCTGGCTCGGCATGTGAGCACCATCTCCTTGACCGGTGATGCTCGCCTCATTATCGCCTGGCTCCTCGCTTCCAAGCGACCTCTCACCACCGTGGAGATCCAGGCTCTGCTTGAGCTGGACACCCAGAAGGGTGCTCACCAACCTCGGTCCACCGACATCGTCGAGGATATCAAGAAGGCCTGTGGCTCTCTTGTCATTGTCCAGGACAAGACGGTTCGCTTCCGCAATGAGGCTGTTCGCCTGCAGCTCCTCGAGCTCAGCAAGAAGGAGACCAAGGACACCGAGACTGCTCTTCTCAGCCCTGCCGATGCTAACAAGGACCTGACTGCCCGTCTGCTCCTCTACGTCAAGACTTGTGTCAACCGGAACGTGGACAGCAGCCTGGACACGATCACCTCTCGTGAGGTTGACAGCCTCTTCAAGAGCAATGCTCTGCTCGAGTACGCTACTCGCAACTGGCTGGGTCACTTCAAGCGATCCAGCTACTTCGCTAACGGCCAGATCCAAGCCCCACTGGTAACCGGTGAGCTCAAGGGCGTCTTCCCCAACTCCACCCTCCTCGCGCGCCTGGAGAAGAGATGCTGGGACAACCAGGAGCTTGCGACCACCGCCAACTCCCAGCACGTCCTCGCCCTTACCGTGCGCCGGCAGACCCTGGGCGATTCAGCCCAGAGTGTGCTGCAGAGTTCCATCAACGTTGCCCAATCCTTCAAGAAGCTCTCTGCCCCAGCCGAGGCCAGCAGGTACTTCTACCAGGCTGCCAAGATCGGGCAGACCGTTCTTGGACGTACCAGCGACCTGGCTCTTGCATGCGCCACCGAGTCCTTGGACATCTCTGCCAAGAACAAGCAGAAGGCTACAGCCCGCGACGAGGCTGTCACGCAGCGCGAGGAGCTCCTCAAGTATGTCATTGATACTGAGAAGCAGCGTTCTGGCAACAACAGCGCTGTCGCGTCCAAGTACAACAACGAGCTTGCCGAGTTGTACACCAGCATCAAGGAGACGGACAAGGCTGAGGCTGTGTACCGTGACGTTTACAAGACGTCTATTGCCCAGAATGGCCAATTCTCGGCTGAGGCTACTGTTGCCGCTGAGAAGCTGCAGACCGTCCTCTACAAGAGCTCCAAGCACGAGGAGGTTGTCCAGTACACTCAGCCTATCTTCGAGTCTGCCGAGCGCAACCTGGATATCTTTGACATTCGTCGTGTTGAGATCACTCTGCGCATGGCCGACACCTACGAGCAGAAGAAGGACTACACTCACGCTGAGGAGCTTTACATCTCCCTCTGGCGTGGTCTGACCGAGTACTGCCGTAGCACCTCCCTCGCTGCTGCGAAGGCTACTGCGGCATCCATCTCCGAGGCACACGAGCGCAAGATCCAGATCAGCATTGCGTATGCGCGCTTCCTGCGCCGCCAGGGCCGTGAGGCCGAGGCTCAGAACATCCTCCACGGTGTCTGGCTCGACTACCAGACCATGACCGAGCACAAGTCCGAGGCTGTTGTCAAGCAGCTCAATGACGTCGGTGAGGAGCTCAAGTCCATGGGCATCCTGGATACTGCTATCGCCGTCTTCAAGTCCGTTTGGGGCTACTTCAAGGGCTCTGGCCAGCAGAACTCTGCTGCCGCCGTCAGCACTGCTGTCTCTCTCATGGGCGCCGTCCAGGAGAAGTCCGAGAAGAAGGAAGCTGAGGCTGACAAGGCCAAGGCTGCCGTTGCTGCGAAGGGCGGAGTTCAGATCGATGTTGTTCTTGACACTGAGGCCGATTTCGAGGAGAGCGATGATGAAGACGATGAGGCGGATGCTATCCTCGACGAGGTGATCAAGGCTGCTGTCGCGGCTCCTGCGGCTGGCTCGGACACCAAGCCTGCGACCAAGACCAGGGAGGTTGCCGCCGTTGTCACCATCGAGAGCCAGATCCAGACCTGCGAGACGCTCTCCAACTTCTACTTCAGCAAGAAGAAGTGGACCGAGTGCATCGAGGTCTGCTCTCAGCTGCTCAAGCAGATCTGGCCTGAGCTGGGCACTTCTGCCAAGTACAGCTTCCCTAAGGAGCACCGGGCTGAAGCCATCAAGTTCACTCGCCGCCTGGCCCTGGCCTATGCCGAGTCGAACCAGACTGAGTCCGCGGAGAAGATGTACAACGCCATCTTCCAGTGTTCGCTGCGCTCTGGCCTCAAGATCCAGGACGAGTTCGTCACCGAGTCAGCCAACCAGCTGATCGAGTACCACAAGCAGACCCAGCAGTGGTCCAAGGTCCTCGCTGTCTACCAGCAGCTTCTTGAGGGATACAAGACCTCTCTTGGCTCTCGAAACCCTCTGACGATCAAGACACTGTACATCATGGGTGACCTCTGCATCCAGTACCGCCTGAAGGGTGCTGACAGGTACTACCTTGAGCTGGTCAAGGCCGACAAGAACCCTCAGGGTGTCATCAGCAAGGACACCTTGCCAGCTGCCGTCGCCCTTTCCAAGATCTACTATGAGCAGAAGCGTTGGAACGAGATCCGCCCCATCTACGCCTCTCTCTGGGTTACCTTCGTCAACAAGGCCAAGGAGTACAACCTGTCGACGGAGCTTGTGCAGACCATCTACAAGAGATACACGACCGTCCTCGACAGCCACCTCAAGGTCGGCGTCGATGAGGTCCGCAAGATCGCCGTCGAGTACCGCGACACCTGCATCAGGGTATACGGTCCTCAGGCGGACATCACCCAGTCAGCTTCGTTGGCTCTGGTCGCCATCTCCCGCAAGAGCACCAACGCGGAGCACCAGCAGGAGGCTGTCAAGATCTGTGAGGAGGTTGTTGCCGAGTCCGAGAAGCAGAAGGCTGCTGAGGGTGGCAAGGAGGGCGGCAAGGCTGTCGACGCGAAGAAGTCGGCCTTCCAGCTCTCTCTCCTTGCATCTGCCAAGCGCCACCTCGCCGGCCTGTACAGCGTTCAGACCGGCGCCTCGGCTGCCGTCGGTGCCTCTGGCGCCGCTGGTGCCGCTGCTGGGAGCAAGCCCAGAGGTATCGCGAGCCCTGAGTCGGCTCAGAAGGCCGAGGCTCTGTGGAAGGAGCAGCTCGAGATCAACAAGAAGGAGAATGGTGTTGCCCACAAGTCTACCTTGGCCAGTTTGGCTTCCCTTGTTGGGGTCTGGGCGCGATCCGACAAGCCAGAGGTACGCAAGCAGGCCCAGGAGAAGCTTGACACATCCGTTGTCGAGGTCCTGTCTGAGTCCTGCGGTGCCGGCAAGTCGAACGTCGACTCCACCAAGCTGCACGAGTCTGGTATCACCCTTGCCAAGACTTACCTGTCCTGTGGCTTCTCCGTCCAGGCCTGGGCTCTGCTGAAGCAGCTCCGCTTCCACGTTGTTGCCCGCGGCAAGATTGCTGGTTCTGCTTCTATTGAGAAGAACTCGAACGTTGAGCTCAGCGACAACATTGACCGTCGCTCCATGGTCTTCATCGCTGCGTTCGAGGAGTCTCTTCGCAGCTCTGAGGCCGCAACTGCCACGGTCACCGCTGACAAGAAGGTCGTCAAGGTCACGTTCTCGGACATTATGACCGACCTTCTGACTGAGGGTATCCTGTACGACCGCTACAGCCTCAGCATTTCCAGCAAGGACCTGTCGGTCGAGCAGAAGTTGTTCGATGGTGCTCGCCTCTACGTCTTCCTCAGGGCCAACAAGGCGCAGCATGCCGAGCAGCTCGTCACGGTGGAGGAGTCTCTGTACAAGCTCTTTACCGAGAAGTACGGCGCTTCCCTCAAGACCGAGTCGCTCGTCACCCGTGCCTTCCTCATTGCCATTATTGAGGAGCTCGGCCAGCTGCGTCTCCACGAGGACGACCTCGTCTACATTGCTTGCACCTCTGTCACTGCCAAGGTGCACGCCCTTCTCCTGGCCGACAGCTACGCTCAGGCCGTCGACCTGGCCACCGCCTGGTACCAGTTCATTGCCAGCCAGAACGGCTTCAAGAATGCCAAGACGATCCCCTTCGCCTTCAAGCTTTCGCTGTACCTGGCCGGCTTGGGCGTCAAGTCCAACAAGGCAGCTGACGCCATCATGCAGAACCGCATGCTGGAGCTGTCCAAGACCATCCTCCGCGAGACACTTACCGCTTGCAGGAGCATGAACATTGACCTGATCCAGCTGCAGGCCTCTGAGCTGAACAGCCTGGTCCGCCTCATGGGCCAGCAGAAGAACTACGAGGACCTTGAGTGGCTCCTGACCCAGCTGTGGAATTCACGTATTATACAGGCCTCCTGGTCAGCAACCACAGTCATCGCCGTCGGTCGCCGCCTCGTCGAGGTCCTCTTCGTCCGAGGCAAGCGAGACCAGGCGATTACCCTCGCCGAGTCCATGGCTTACAACTTGCGCCGGACATGGGGTCTGCTGGACGCGGCCACGGTGGACATGAACAACCTGCTCTCATCGCTGTGCGTCTCCGACAGGCGGTACGCCGAGGCTCTCGATGTGCACGAGGAGATCCTGCGCGCTCTGCTCGACCTCAACATGTCTGGCGAGGACGACGTCGACGACGCCGCCTCGGAGCTCATGGACTTCGACGAGGAGAACGCCGCGGCGCTCGCTCTGCAGCAGCTCGAGCTCGTCCGCCGCGTATACGCCCGCAACTCCGGATGGCCCGAGTCGGACGAGCTGGACATGGCCCAGCTCACCACCGACGTGGTCTCCGAGTTCAGCCACCTGGCCCCTGACGCGTATGCACCCTTCGGTGACGGCGACTCGTCCAAGTGGAGCAGGAACGCGCCCTCGGCCAACGACATCGTTGGGACCTTCACTGCGCCGTCTGTTTGGGAGTTCTCCCTCTCCGAGGACGGCAAGCCTGGCCAGCCCGCCGCGCTGCGCAAGAGCCCCAGCCACATGCTCCGGAGCCTGCAGCTGTCGCGCCAGAGGAGCTACGGTGACCTTTCCGAGGCCCGCAAGAGGCTCGACGGCCAGAAAAGCGGCCCAGCCACCGGCAATGCGTTGCTTGCTGCGCCTGTTCACTAAATGGGTGCTTGATCCCTGTGACCGCATCGGGCGGGAGGACGAGCCCGGGAGGCCGATGTTTACACACGTCGTAACGGCCTGTGACGAAGGAGAACGAGTGAAGATGCAAGGAGCTAGGGAAGCACTGGAGCTGTTCCTTGCTGTGTCCGAATGTCACGAAGAGGAGGATGTATTCGTGACGATGCTTTCCTATGGCGTGGTACTTGTGGCGCTGGTATTGTTTTGGGTCAGGCTGGTCGATGTGTACTACTAGTTGTGTGTCATACCTGTATTATCATCATCGTAATCTGTGTAATAAGATCTTTTTGAAAGTTCAAGTCATCGTCCCAGCCCAGTCATAAGCTTTAGCCGCAACCGCGTCATCCGGAGAGGCAGTTCAAATAGCTGCCTCGTTTACGGTTTCTGGCAGTTGGCCGTGGACTTTCTTTGTCGCTATCAGCGAGTTATCGATTCACGATTTGGAAAAAAGAGACGCAAGCAAAGCTAATTAGCAACAACCACAGTAAAATCTGACAATGTCCAACAACGGAGAAGAGCAGCCGAAGGCACAAATCGTGCCATGCCAGTGTCCAGACGAACACGCAAGTACACCAGCTCCCGAGCCACCAGCACCGTCACCTAAGCCACAAGTTCCTATGCCCAAGACGTGGCTTGAGCCCCACCTAGATCCACATGTTTAACACATTGGAATGAGCCCTGCGCAGTCGTTCGCTCAATCTCTCTCGTGGAATATGGCTCTGATGGTTTTCTCCCGATTTTCTTTCTGGTAACGATCCAAAATCACACCCCCGCGTCCCTCCGCTTCGTCTCATAATCAGCACCCGTTCCCGCCCCTTCAGTCGCTTTCGTATTCACACAAGCACTTTTCATGAAACTCAGAATCAGGCCCAAGAAACTCAGCTGACCTATCTTGATGAACACAGCATGTGCGCCAACCGTGCGTCAACCCAGCGCTCCTCTGCGACTGGTGCAAGGACAACGGGTGCCATTCTGGTGGGAAGGGTCTGGCGAGGAAAGGATCAGAGGCGCGCAAGAAGGATAGGAGGTATGGATCTCACGTGTGGCGGTGGAGGTGATGGCTTTGGGTACTTTGGGGCTCCGTATCTCCGGAAGATGGTGGAACTTCCGCCGAGGAGAAGGAGCAGTTCCGCAGGTAGATAGGTGCTGGCAATAACAATATCTGAATCAATTCAACTCATTTAATCAGGTTTTGTGTGACATGTCCTTGACTGGGTCCTCAGCTGGAGCTGGAAACCCGTCTTTGTAAAAAATGGCACATGTTCATGGACATGCCAATTTTCAGGAAGGAAATCTGGAAGCTGAGACATCCTTTGTTTTTCACACAACAAGCAACAAAGACGGCGGAGGCTACCACAACCACCACAGATAGACCAAACACTTATTGCGTTTTAGTCAGTGTGTAAATATTACTTAGATGAAGAGCTGACACTGGAGAGGCTCATTTCGCCCTCCTGAAATCAAGGTCGTTCAGTTTCGGCCAGACCTGCTCAAGGGGGGAGTCAACTAGCGATTCTCATTAACCAGCTACTCACTCCTTCCAAAAGGCTTCTCCTGCTGCCTATTTTGGGAATGGGTTGTACTCTGTTGGATTTTGAGCTGAATTGCCAGGTCATGTCGTGGCAACAGGAAACTGCAGTTCAAACTTGTAACGAGTGACCCCTTCACCCACTCCAGGACTACCTATCGGGATCATTTCGCTAAAGAAGCATAGCCACGCATGGATAGAGCTCTTCTGGTCCATTTCAGAGCGTGGCTCTTCGATCGTGGCCGGTGGCGCCGCTGGTAGCGCATCGTGGCTTGGTGCAGTCATCAGAGAGGCCCTCCTCGCGGTCAGCCTCGTCGGCGCCATGATGCGCTCGACACACGCACTTTTTCTCGACAGCAGACGCGCCGCGGGGTCGTGCATCGCAATCCCCATCATGTCGCCAACTATCGCCAGCCATGTTGCCGGCCAACCCCGCCACGCGTCGCGTCGCCCCCGTCGCCCCGCGACCTGCCCGCGACATCACCACATCAACCTTGGCCTCGTCCTTATAATGCCCCCAGCGCAGTGCCCCTCGCCGAACCCCCAGCTGGGGGCAAGGAATCTACGCAGCAGATAGTATAGTGGTGTAAGGCTGTGACTTGAATTCTTGAAAATTCCGAAATTTCCCGAGTTCAACTCCAACCCCAAGCCACTCCCTGCGGAGGACCGGAGCCTCTGCGGTTTATCTGTGCTGTAGAAGAAGTCGCCTGCTAGCTTCTATAAACAATTGGGAGAGTCATGTAGAAGGTGCTCCGACCTTTGTTCCCCTCTCACGGCAATGCATTGCGCCCGTGAGAGGGTGCATTACTGCCGTTTTTTTCTAGGCTACCTGAGTTGTTTTGTCTCTTTTACTTGTATACCTGAGTTCAAATTGACTTTTATCTGGTATTTTGCTCGAGCCACTTGAGTTCAAAATCAATTTTACAAGCACTTGTTTGTGCTGAGGGTCTTTTGGGAGCAGTGGCTGCAATTTTGATGTGGGAAAGCACATGATTTGTAGGGAAACACATCAACATGTGGATGTGTTGATGGTGACGCCCATTAGAATCAGGATAGCACCATAAAGTCTTTTCTGGAGTAATTGCTTGACAGCAGAGGTCAGCCTGTGGCAAATTAATCATTGTCGTCTAAGCCGGAGGCTTGTCCTCTGTTGGGGTTACTACGAAGCACTCACTCAGGAGACTCGCTTTGTCGAGTCCGCATCGAACCATGAGCGATAATCGGTCAAAACAGTGAACTGAGTCCACTGATTTCGCCTCACAAGCCCTCTCTACCTCAAATACGTTCTCTTTTGCAACAGGCCCATGGGCAAGTCATCAATTCTGCGTAGCACCTTGCTCGAGAGCAGCCATAAATAACATCATGGCGACGTCCGGATTTCCAGCTCAATGTCTAGAATTCATGACCACGGCCGAAGAACCCAGATTGTGTGACCCTCGCCACACGTGCTCGACAGGAATATTCAGACATATGCGTTAGTGAAACGGGCCAGTATCTTCGCATGAAGACTTCAGGAGAAACCCAAAGTAGTGAAAAGAGTCCCGATTATACATCAGCCATGTATATTGAATCTTCAGCATGTTCATATCTACAATTTTGCTTGGCCATTCTGACCATCTAATATCGTCTCCATCTTATCCTTCCACACCTGAGCCCACGCCGGGTCGATAGCACAAGAGTCGTAGCTGACGCTTGCGTCGACGGAGTCATCACTGCCCCAGATTCCAACCAGGAATTCGCCGTCCCTGGGCCGCACATTCTGTGTCGTGCTCCTGATGTCGGCTATCAGAGCGTCCTCCTCGTCGGCCAAGGACTTGCTCAGGTCGATCTGCCCGGGTGTTGTCCCAGGGTCTGACCTGCCCACCGAACTAACACCGCAGGTTGCCATGGTTGGGTTAACCTGCTTGGGAAGGGTCTTCTGATACTGAAACTCCTTGCGAAGGTGGTCTGGGAGTTTGGTGTTTGCGCGCTCGATCACGTCCAGGTAGTTCATGGCGACGACTCTGCCAGCGCCCCTGGGCCCCATGAATTCCAGCATGTTCACGGTCTTGCCATTCCGGGGCCGTTTCTGATACCTCGAAAGTTGTCTCTGCGCAGAGCGCACCAACAGCCTGATCCGCCCGTCAAGGTCGAGGTCAGATGAGAGGAAGGGCAGCACGACGCCGTCGGAGAATGCGAGCATCAGACTGTCGGGCTTCGCGGTGTGGTTGAAGAACGGGCGCGGGTTGATGGGGAAAGACCCAATGAAAGCACGGCGCTCGTGCAGAGGGACGTCGGGGAAGCGCTTCTCGTAGATCTCCATCATCACGATCCCCGCGAGGACGAAGCTGCCGGCTCCGATGCTGCACCCGACCTCTCGGCAGACCCTGTGCAGCCGGCGGGTTCCGTCCCTGCCGATGTGAGCCGCCACCCTCCCAGCGTTCAACGGGGGCACCTTGCTGTAGTCAATAACTCTGTCGAATATCCTCAATTCTGGCGCGGCAGCCTTGATCGGCGCGTTTGGGTAGCGGAGCGGGTTTGGGAACGCCGGTGGCAGCGGCTTCTGCACATGGCGAAGCACAAGAGTGATCGCCCAGAACCATCGCTGCCGTGCGCGAGAGCCGGATATAGGTGGGTAGAGGTCTTCCTGTGAGGGTGGAAGCCGCTCGTGCAACGTCGAAATGAGGGGCGGGGCTGCGGACTGGAGCTCATCAGTCTTCCTGTTGAGGAGCTGCTTGAAGTCTCCGGTCCAGTTGTCGTTGGTGAGGCCGTCCGAGATTTGGTGGGCCATGACAAACAAGAAGCGTAGCGAATAAGTCGAGGTTCCGCCTTTCTCCAAAGGCAGCACCATGACCTTGACAAGTGACTTTGCTGCGTCGAAGGTCCTGGCCACGTTCTGCGCATGGAAGTATAGCTGTCCAGCATCTACTGACGAGTAGTGGTCGTCCAGAAAGACGACCGGGCCTTGCGCCGAGTCAATCGCATGCTCATAGCCGTTTGGACTCGCTATGACGAAGAATCGATCACTTTTCTGCACAGCGTCGTGATCCATGTAGTCTGCTGGTCCTGTGGCGGCGGCGCACAGCAGCGTGTGCCTGAGACGCAGGTTGGTCCATGCCAGGAGGATGTGCCGCCTCAGCTGCGCCTTTGATTTTGTCGTCTTGACCTCAAAGGACATGGCCAAGTTGATGTCAGCTCTTCCCTCATGGTAGACACCATCGTTGTCGAAGCCTTTCTCCACCACGCCGAGTGGGCGGTAGAAGACGGAGGCACCATTGTGTTGAGCCTGTCGCCACTTGTGATAGCCCGTCGCATATCGTCGCAGCCAGTCCATGGCTTGTTGATGTTGACCATCGGTTCCTGCAACTGGCTTGGGCGACATCCCTTGAAATGCCGAGTTTCGCATCACCAGCGCACAATGCGGAAACTCCACGGTAGATGACTACTACGCAGACCCGAGAACGTGGTTGTTCCCCGCTTCGTGGGATCTTCGACCGCTGCGGAACCGACCGAATCCACTGCACCACGTCCTGCAGGGGGTCGAGTTGGTGCCTAGCGCTACTAAGCTCTTGTAATACATAGTAACTCCTAGGCAATCGAGACTATTCAATGTCTACGTTCCCTCCTCGTGTGCATCTCTCTTGTCAAAGAGCATGGCTGGCCAAAAGATGGCTACTGTGTCTGGTCGCTAAAGGGAGTTGTGTTGGTTCTGACCGAGGAACAAGTATTCAAACTTCCCAAAACATCCGCCAGGTTAGACGCGTTCACGTTGGTAGGCAGACATAAACCCGACCTGTTTTTCTATATTTGTTTTCGAGGCCCTTTCTGATGGTGACTACAGGACGCACCCCTCATGGGTCCGCCCATGGACATGTTGTACTAGAGCCAGCGGGGCCCATTTGCGTGACAGCACCCGAGCAGGAACGGTGCTGAAGAGGCTCAACCTTTGGGAACACAGCACCACCCTCTTTTGGGTGGAGGCGGGGATGATAGTTAGCTTTGGAAATGTCAGGACGGACTTGGATGATTTTTATAAAACCGACCAGCCTGCTGAGAACCAACTCCGAGTCCAGCGCAATTGCACCACCAATTGCATTGACGTTGATGGCCTCAAGTGTCTGTTTGAATCCTTTTGGTGGACAAGCACTCCCAGGTTCCGACATGCGCTTATGAGACCGATTCGAAAAATAACTCAGAATTTCCCAATAAATCGCCGCATTTTTCTGTCAAACGACGTGCTGTATGAAATACACATCCTTCGCCTACATTTTCCTTGTCGCCGAGCGGTCCAGAACTCACTCATGAAAAATCAACGTTCCCGAAAGAGATTGATGTTGAAGAGAAGGATACGGTGGCTTCCTGTGGAAAATTTGTCATCAATGAGAAGTTCTTGGTTGCCTTGGTGTCCCGCAAAAGAGAAGTGACTTAAGTAGTGAGCAGAGACCCTCCTATTTCTCAAAGTAGTATGGGAAGTCAGTTGTGATTGCTCAGGCAATGTCTCTCAGATACTCCCACCAGACAAAATGCTGGCATCTGCGATATCGAGCTCCCAGAGAGAAAATGATCGCGGCTGGTCATGGGAAGTGGTGGCAAGGCACAGAGACAGATCCAACTGACAAGACAAGAAGGATGGTGGCAACAACCTTGACAGCCAAGATCTGAATTGTAATTCAATCGATGAGCCTCGCCGGAGGATATCGTAAGTAAATAAAGTCTTGCATAACTGCAGTCTCCTTGTTTATCTTGACAGTTAAAAAAACTAAGTGTTGCTGGCAGCCCTTCGGGTCGAGATAATCTCTAGGTACGAAGCCAGAGCCTTCAGCCGGCCCCAGCTGCAGGCCAGCTGCAGGCCAGCTGCTCAAGGCAGGGGTCCGATAAGATAAGAACAGCTCCCCGCCATTGACCTTTCCCTTGGGTGGTCGGTCGCCTGCTTGCCCCTCGGTTGGATGAGAGGCTCTGGCTGTAGGGGATGAATCACCAAGACAAATCTCAAGTTTGGAATTTGCCATGTTGACGTTGACTGTTTGAACGCCACAACCCGCGCCTGCCTCTTCCCAGTGTGCCGCCCTCACCCATACCTGCCCGTATCTCCTGGGAACCCGAAGTCCCTCAGTTCCGGACATCGCCACTCCTGCGACCAACAGGCGCACACACACTGACTTACACGAGGCTGTGTGACTGTCGTGCATGAACCAGGGTCCACAATCGCATCACACCCAAGACACCCAAGACACTCTCTGCACCACCACCAACCATCCACCAGTCAAGATGCGGGACATGCCGCTGGACCACGGCTCGCTGGAGCACCTCCTGCCGTCGCACTGGAAGACCCAGATCACCGCCTGGCTGGCCGAGGACACGCCCTCCTTCGACTACGGCGGCTTCGTCGTCGGCGACGCCCCGCGCACCGCCACCCTCTGGGGCAAGTCGGGCGGCATCCTGGCCGGCGTGCCCTTCTTCGACGAGGTCTTTGCCCAGACCGGCTGCGCCGTCGAGTGGCACGCCACCGAGGGCCAGCACGTCGAGCGCAACAAGGACGGCGGCGGCATCAAGATGAAGGTCGCCACCGTCACGGGCCCCGCGAGGGGCATCCTGCTGGGCGAGCGCGTCGCCCTCAACATCCTCGCGCGCTGCAGCGGCGTCGCCAGCATGTCGAGGGGGTTCCTCGTCAACCTGCGGTCGGCAGGGTACCGCGGCCAGCTCGCCGGCACGCGCAAGACCACGCCCGGGTTCCGCCTGGTCGAGAAGTACGGCATGATGGTCGGCGGCGCCGACGGCCACCGCATGGACCTGAGCTCCATGATCATGCTCAAGGACAACCACGTCTGGAGCCGCGGCAGCATCCGGGACGCCGTCGCCGCGGCCAAGAGCGCAGGCGGGTTCTCGCTCAAGGTCGAGGTCGAGGTCCAGAGCGAGGCCGAGGCCGACGAGGCCATCGAGGCAGGCGCGGACGTCGTCATGCTCGACAACTTCTCGGGCGAGGGCGTCAAGGTCGCCGCCAAGAGCCTCAAGCAGCGCTGGGCCGGAAAGAGGCACTTCCTGGTCGAGGTCTCGGGTGGCCTGACGCTCGACAATGCCGAGGAGTACGTGACGAATGGTGAGTCGTGCAACCCCCCTCCCCCCGCAAACCTCCTTGACTGCTCATGTTCGGGCAGTTTGTGCCGGTGAGTGATGCTGATGGCTGCAATGCAGATGTCGATATCCTGTCGACCAGTGCGATCCACCAGGGAGTCCCGCACGTTGACTTCTCCCTCAAGATCAACCATTGATGTTTCTGATCACCATTCCGTCTCGATGTAAGCAATGAAGATGGGGGGACTGGGACGAAGGATGCGTAGCTGGTTGGCTCTACGGGTGGATTGATCCTTGAGGCTACACTAAGCTTGACTTCCGTAGCACTCTCACAATTCCAGCGCAACACTGGAGTCATATGAGAAGTGCAGTGTACCGCTACCAAATTGGCTCACATAGAATAGCATGGTCTGTCCTCAGTTTAGGAGTCCCAGGACTCGGCATCGCTGGCGGATGCAGTTACGTATCATGCAAGTCACTCAGTCCAAAAGCCTGCGTCTGGAGGATATTTCATGTATTGCACACTCGTCGCGTATCACCTATCTGTAATATCGCGTGCCCAGGACCCATGGTCTCGCTGGGGACGCATACTTGGATGCCACCATCCAAGAAGCTTCACTGTGTCCCATTGAACAACAGTCAGCTGATAGGCTACCACCCCGACATCAATCATTATTTTCTGCTTTCGTCCCCTCTTTCACTGCTCCTCTTTCATTTGTTTCTTTTCTTTTCTTTTTCTTCCCGCCGTATTATGAGTTGTGGAATTAGGTACTACAACCCTGGGGTGGAAGCTGGGTATCATATTCGCACAACGCCTCCTCTTGCCATCCGATGGACCAAAAAATGCTGGCGTGGCTGCTATGAAACAGAGATGCAACGCAGTGTGCACCGCCAGATGCACCGCAAATGGGGAAGACATGCCGCCTAATGGTATATCCGATGCCAAAACTCCTCGCAAAAACCAAAAACAGCAAAAGGGGTAGGATGGGTAAATGCATAATCGTGGGGTCATCTACTAATGGGGCGCCACTGGGGTGGCCGTTTGATGCAGCCTTGAGAGACCTTGGAACCAGGTGGGTTGATCGTGGCTCAGATGCTGACGCCTTCAAGGTGAAGAACCCTGGAAGAGTCGCCAAGGAAACGGCGGCGGAACTCGACGATCCCTTGGGCGATGGTCTTGAAGTCTCGAATCTTGGACTTTTGGAAGGACGCAACCAACTCTCTAAGCCCGTTGTTGAATGTTTTCTTCTGGTCTCCCGCCAAGTCGTCTGAGCTGCCGAGCTCCAGAATAATCTTATCATCTGGCAGGATAAGGAGTCGCAGTCAGCTTTTGAGGGGTAGGCCGGCGGGCGTGTCACTACAGTTAGCAATCCTGCCACGAGGGGAACTTGACTTACCCGGAGCAACCATGTGTGAAAAATGCTGGAATTGGCAGGCATTCCCTCTAGGGCAGTCTCGCCCGTCCAATTCATCGGGGCAGATCTCCCTCTTTGGATCGATTCTATTACTGTATGTCAATGATTTGAGTCCGCCTGCAACGCTCTCACTGTATCTGGGGTGGAATCGGAAAGCATGGTAATATCGCAAAGGGCTCTCGTAATCGGTGAAGAAGGTCTGCTCGGCTGGGACAGATTCGTGGGCATCCTTTTCACCAATTAGATAACTGCGGTCAGTGAAGCGAGGAAACGATGTATACTTCTCCGGAGACGTCTGCGGTGCGCGCTGAAGGGTGCGCGAAAAAGTCCGCACGCGCTTCGATCGTCGGGTCATCGCTGGGTATCGTGGCAGTCGAAATCTGGGTAGGCATGGCCAAAGGCGGAGCAGTCTCTTGAGACCCGCCGCCTGGGGCGTCCGCATTGCGAATATTCTCGGCGGGAGCAGGGCTGAATGGCGGGGAGTCGTTCATGTTGCGGTCATTGCCTGCCGCATCTGGGGGCTCATAATCATCAGACGTGTTACTGTCGGCGACAGCTACCGCATGCTCCTCGGTGGGCGCAGATGTTGCGATGGCGGCCAACACTTCTGCCGGCTGACTGGCCGGGAGTTGAGAAGCATCACCGGCAAGATCGGGGTCTGAAGAGTATAACGGATTGCTCCCCGTCTCGTCAAGAGCAGCTGACGCTAGAGCCAAGGATGCGGATGTAGAAGGCTCCGCTTCCGAGTCTGACTTCCCGGACATGGACTCTAGGTCCATGGGCATCGACTGCAAGGGGCCGTCGTGAGCAGTCTGCCCCGCTTCATCCTGAACTGACTCATCACTAGAGGTGGTAGGTTTGTCTGGAGGCATGTTCTCCGAAACGTGATCTCCGGCGGAGTCAGAACCGAGCTCATCCATGTCCTCTTCCATGTCTTCTTCCTCCATGCCCTGTTGCTGAGCCAGCTCGGCGTCAATTTCGGCCTGCAATCGCCTCCTTTCCTCTTCCATCCGCTTCAGTTCAGCGATCTTATCCTGGAGCTTAGTTGAGAGTCGGGGGGACTGAGCGCTTGCTTTTCTCACCCGACGCTCAATCTTAGCGTGCCCACCAGGGGGTGAAAAGACATGGGGCTTTGTGGTCTTTGCCGCCTCAGCTTCTTGTAGTAGCTGAGCGGATGGGCCATTCTTATCGTCCACATCGCTGGTAGATACTACGCGTTGTACCACGGGCCTCATAGCTTGCTCTGTGGGTGTCGCGCCTCCAGCACTAGGCGACTGAGGGGTTGAAGAACCGGTGCTGGGCTTGACCTTGGCTCGAGCCTCTGCCTCCTGAATCTTGCGTTTATAATCTGCAATTGCTTTCTCCATAGCTTTCAAGTCAACAGTGGGGGCTTTCCCACCTGGTGTCCCGGGCGCGGGACTGGATAGGTGTCGTGGCGGACCAGCATTTGTGAGTGGAGGGTAGTCGCGGACTGAGGGCCCTCTCCGGGGAAGATTGAAGGTTGGCTGTGTCGGTGCAGGAGAGTCCTCGATAGGCGAATCCACTTCCATATCGATATCGTCGTCTTCATCTTCATCATCGCTAACACTGATGACCAATGAAGAGGCTTGCCGGCTAGGGAGAAAGGGCCGTTTGACAATCTTTGTCGGGTAATCCACAAAGTCGGCTGCTACAGGGCGCTTCCTCTGGTTAATCGGCTTGTTTGACAATCCAGGTGGAACTGGGCTCTGGAAGCCTGAATTTTGCCGTGAACGGTCTTGAGGCCCAGGTAGCGTTCCTGACGGTGTGCCAACCTGGGCAGTAGGATCTGATGCACCCGATGTCTGCGCTGCCATTGTCGGCCCTGGCGTTGGAAGTACTGGGGAGAGCTTCTGGGTAAAATCGTTTTTCGGCGCATTGGGCAAAGAAGGCTTCTGGCTAGCTTGCTGGGTCCGAGCCTCTCGTGCCTTGCGCAAAGCCTCCATCTTCTGCTGCAGAAGTAAAGTCTTCTGCGCTTGGGTGGTGGGTTTCGTTGCAGGTGTCGTCGAAGGCGTCGAAGCACCGGTAGATGTGGTTGCCGAGGGAGCTTTGGGTTCTGTGGTGGCCTCCGCCGCGGCCTTTGCTTTCTTCTCAGCCAAAAGCCGAGCGATCTTGTCTTTGCGCTCCTCTTGCTTCTTTGCCATAGCGTCTGCTTGAGCAGCCTGAGATGGCTTCGCAACCTGGTCCTGGGTTTTGTGCTCTTGTATTTCTGCAGGCTTCCCAGATGGTGCAGAATCGGTAGTCACAGGGGCAAGATTCAGTTGGGTGAAGAGTTCTTTCATCACCTTTTCGTCAAAGCCCTCATCGAGATATGTCTGGTATTTGACACCATGAGGCAACAATCGAAGGATCGCCTTCTTAGCTTCATTCTGAGCTTCGGGCAGGCTCCTGAAAATCTGCGAAGCAATTGCACCTGGGGCTGTATGGCCCATGGCATCATTGTTTTCTTTGCTTTGATCGGTGGATATGACCTGCTTTTGAACGTCTGGAGAACTGCCAGCAGACGAGACAGCGATGGAATCGTTACCAGTCGAGTTATTCTGCACCTGAGTAGGTCCTATGCCAGGTCAGTGATGGTCTTCCTCTCCGTTTCCTGCCAACATACCTTGTGGGTCTTCTGCCCTGACTTGTAGCTTTGGGTCTTCCTGTTCGATCTCCCTAGGCGACAGGTACGGAGAATATGACCGTGAGCGTTCACGCTCTGCGCGCGTTGGCTCTTGCTCTCTCGGAACCTCACCGCCAGGTGGCTTATCTGTGGCAGCTTCAGGATGACCATTCGAGGCAGACGCCTCGTCCATCTCGGTATCATAGAATTGGCCGCTTGGTCCGTACTGCTTGTAGCGGGGTCCTCGGAGGACACCGGGGATACTGTTTTGGTCTTTGGCGGCACGACCGGCTGGTCATAGACATCTTCGTAGAGGTCGTCGAACTCGCCATCGCTGATCTCACCTTCGTCCTGAGAGTCGACATCTTTCAGCGGCTGCCTCGACTGCTCCTTCAACTGCTCCTCCTTTGGCTGCGTCTTGCTTTGTGGACGCGCAGAATCTGGTCTGTACTGCGGCTTCGGTTGCAGCTCTTGTGACGGCGGTACGCGGGCCTGAGATTGCGCTTGAGACGGCGGAGCAGGTGGCATAGGGACAAAAGTCGAGGCATTGTACGCAGGGTAAGCGGCTGGCGGGGCGGATGCCGCATAGCCACCCTGATCCCATTGCCCGCCAAAGGGAACAGGGAACTGAGGGGCTGTCAACGGTGTGCCGAGGCCGGGAATGTTGTTCGCATTGTAGTCGTAAGCAGACTGCGTTGCAGTGTAGTAGTCGCCTGTCGCAGGCGGGGGCTGTTGTTGAGGACGAGGTTGTGCGCCATAGCCTGGAGTAGGGTAGGCACCATAGGGCTGGTAAGGGTATTGTTGCTGGGGCGGCTGCTGGCCCTGGAAGCCATAGCCATATGGATAGTGGGACATGTTGGCGCTCTTGACGCGCTCGCTTGAAGTGGTCAGAAGGAGAGGCGCCAATATCGTCAGAACTTGACCGCGCGAAGATGATCAACGGGATGTGATGAGCTGCTCGAGGACGCGCATCATCGGGTAGCAGACTAGTGCAAGGAAATTGTGGAAAGCGTATGCCGCGGCGGACAGCCCAAGGTCCGGGGCAGTGGTTTCTGAAGGTGCAGTAGAAACTAGACGCGCGAGATGTGACACGTGCCTACCAACGTGCTTATGAACCTGTTGGGAGAGGTGGCGGTAGCTGACAACTTGGTGGCGATACAGTGATGTACCGATCAGTGGGGTTGCGGGACGAGCGAGCGAAGAAGGGTTTTTTGGTCTCTGGCACGCAGTCAACGCGGGCGGAACGCAAAACTCATGGAGGGCCTCAGCTTGGATGGAGAAATAGTCCCGGGAGCGGCTGGGTGGATTGTGCAGCCGGCCGCTTTGCCTTTGCGAGCGCTTCCTCTGGCCGTGAGTTGCACCGGAGTAGATGCTGGGCAGACAAAGAGGGCAGGCAGTGGTGAGCTGTCGTTTGTCCTGTATCCCTTGGCCTGGAACGTCGAGAAGAGATTGATCGATTTTTGGCACCGTTCCGTTTTGGGTCGTCCAACGGAATAGTGCTTGGACCAGTCACAGGGCCCAGCTTGCTATGCCGTCTCTGCACGTTGATCAGCACGGGCCATCCAGAGCCTCAGGGCCCCATCCCTGCAGTGGGCGGTTGGGGTGAGTGTTGGGTGGCTGTGACTGGGTAAGAGCCATTGGAGGATTTGCAGGGATCCGCAGTTGCCCTGGCGTCATTGTTTACTTTGATGCAGAAGGAGCAGCAATTGGAAGGCTGGGAAGTGGTACCTGAACATTTGGGCCGCCGCTCGCCTTCCCAGACTGCATCTACCACATCGTGACCAACAATTCACCTGCAATATCGACTGGATCGCCGCCATCATTCCTCGTCGTCTTTAACATGAGATTGCTGGCACAGCTCAGGAGTTTATGCTCATGATATCCAGCTTTCCTTTGCTTTGTGTTGGGTCTTGCACACGCGTGCCGCTCTGATTTGCACCATTCTCACGCGGTCGCGTTCGGAGATTTACCGGGGGTTGTTGATGTTTACATGACTTTTTTGAATCTTTCTCGATACCCCTACCCACACCCATACCTATACCAAGACCGATACCCGCGCGAAGCACCTCGTCACCGACGACAGTCACCCCAACCAGAGACCACGGAAGCTGGGCAGATGCAACATGGGCACCGTACGCAACAGCCCATTCATGAGGCAGTCATCGCCGTCGCCGAGACCCCCAAGTAATGGCAGACCGAAATCCGCACTCTTCCCATCGCCCATGTCTCCTCCTTCTACATCTTCGACGCCAAATGCCCCAGGCCATGTTCGCGGGAAATCTCTTGGCACTACCCTCAGTCCCGGCAGCAGCGACACCAAGCAAGGACATGTGCGGAACGTGTCCAAGGGGGACACCCCACAGTCCAATACATTCGCTCCCTCTTTCATCAAGAGTGACGAGATGAGGCAGAGATCCGACGTCGTGGACGGCATAGAAGGCGAAAATGACTTCTCAGGGAAGAGATATGTCTGGCTTAAGGACCCCCAAACGGCTTTTGTGAGAGGATGGGTGGTCGAGGATCTTGGTGGCAATCGCATATTAGTCCAGTGTGACGATGGAAGCGTGGGTGACAGATTGAACCCAGCACTACTGGGCCGAAGCTAATCTTTTCCTGCAGCAACGCGAGGTCGACGCCGAGAGCGCCGACAAGGTCAATCCGGCAAAATTCGACAAGGCCAGCGACATGGCCGAGCTGACCCATCTGAACGAGGCGTCCGTTGTACACAACCTCCATATGAGGTACCAGTCTGACCTGATCTATACGTACTCCGGCCTGTTTCTGGTGACAGTCAACCCGTACTGCCCCATACCCATTTATACCAACGAATATGTCAACATGTACAAAGGCCGAAACCGGGAGGATACGAAACCACATATCTTTGCTATCGCCGACGAAGCCTTTCGCAACCTTGTTGACGAAGGGGAGAATCAGAGTGTTCTCGTCACGGGAGAGTCTGGTGCCGGAAAGACAGAAAATACCAAGAAGGTCATTCAGTATCTCGCCGCCGTGGCGCCTTCAGAATCATCTTCAAGGAATCGAGGCCAGCAGTCGAACCTCTCTGCACAGATTCTACGCGCCAATCCTATACTGGAAGCTTTCGGCAATGCGCAAACAGTGAGGAATAACAATTCGTCCAGATTTGGTAAATTCATACGCATAGAGTTCTCTCGCAACGGCATGATTGCAGGCGCCTTCATCGACTGGTACCTCCTCGAAAAGTCTCGTGTAGTCCGCATCAATCCGAACGAGCGGAACTATCACGTCTTCTACCAACTACTCAAGGGAGGTGACAGGCAGTTAAAGCAAGAATTTCTGCTCGATGGGCTCGATGTCGATGACTTTGCTTATACTCGAGAAGGCCAGGACACCATCGCGGGTGTTTCTGATCGGGAGGAGTGGAACGCTCTGATGGAAGCTTTTGATGTGATGGGCTTCTCGGATAAAGAACAGAGTTCCGTTCTCCGAACAGTGGCCGCTGTTCTGCATCTCGGGAATATCACCGTGATGAACGAGAGCCGCACGACTGACCAGGCTCGACTTGCGGCGGACGCTAAGCAGGTGGCGGAACGTGTTTGCAAACTCTTGGGAATCCCGTTGGAGCCTTTCCTCCAAGGTTTGCTCCACCCCAAGGTGAAGGCTGGGCGCGAATGGGTCGAAAAAGTACAGACTCCTGAGCAAGTGCGGCTTGGCCTCGACGCCCTCTCGAAAGGCATCTACGAACGAGGTTTCGGCGACCTTGTCACAAGAATCAACCGACAGCTGGACAGAACAGGAATGGGGATGGACGAGTCTCACTTCATCGGTGTTCTCGATATTGCCGGTTTTGAGATTTTCGAAGAGAACAGCTTCGAGCAGCTTTGCATCAATTACACCAACGAGAAGCTGCAGCAGTTTTTCAACCATCACATGTTCGTTCTCGAGCAAGAGGAATATGCTCGGGAGCAGATCGAATGGCAGTTCATTGATTTCGGTCGCGACTTGCAACCGACCATCGACCTGATTGAGCTTCCAAACCCCATCGGCATTTTCTCGTGCCTCGACGAGGATTGCGTGATGCCAAAGGCGACGGACAAGACCTTCATGGAGAAATTGCACTCATTGTGGGACAAGAGGTCCAACAAGTATCGGGCATCAAGACTTCGAAACGGATTTGTCCTCACGCATTATGCAGCCGAAGTAGAATACTCTACAGAAGGATGGCTGGAGAAGAACAAGGATCCATTGAACGACAACATTACCCGATTACTGGCGGCTTCAACGGACAAGCATGTCGCGAATTTGTTTGCTGATTGTGCAGATCACGATGATGAAGCGGTCGCCGTACGAAGCAGAGTGAAAAAGGGCCTGTTCCGCACGGTCGCCCAAAGGCACAAGGAGCAGTTGTCAAGCTTGATGGCTCAATTACACTCGACGCATCCTCATTTCGTCCGTTGCATTCTCCCCAACCACAAGAAGCGGCCAAAGCAATTCAACAATCTCCTTGTCTTGGATCAATTGAGATGCAACGGTGTCTTGGAAGGCATCCGGATAGCACGCACGGGTTTCCCCAACCGACTTCCCTTTGCCGAATTCCGTGCGCGATACGAGGTGCTGTGCCAGGACATGCCCAAGGGCTATCTTGAAGGTCAGGCAGCTGCCGCAATGATGCTCGAGAGGCTCAAGATGGACAGAGCTCTGTACCGAGTCGGGTTAAGCAAGGTCTTCTTCAGAGCTGGCGTGCTCGCGGAGCTTGAAGAACGGCGTGACGCGCTCATCTCGGAGATTATGGCACGCTTCCAGTCCGTCGCCCGTGGCTTCACTGCACGGAGACTTGCCTACAAACGCCTGTATCGCACTGAGGCGACGAGAGTCATCCAGCAGAATTTCAGGGTCTATCTTGACCTTTGCCAAAATCCGTGGTGGCAGCTCATTGTGAAAATGAAGCCTTTGCTGGGTGCAACTCGAACTGCAACTGAGGTCAAGAAGCGAGATGAGATGATCCGTCATCTCCATGATCAAATGCAGCAGGAATCAGCCAACCGGCAGAAGCTCGAGGAGGACCGACGAAATGTTCATACAGAAATGATGCGCATTCAGCAGACGCTGGAGAGCGAGCGCGCCCTGGCCCTAGACAAAGAGGAGATCTTCAAGCGTCTTCAACAGCGTGAGGCCGAACTAGAGGACAAGCTAGCTGGTGCCATTGAAGATGCCGAGAAGCTCGAAGACGAACTCGATGATCTCCTTGAAGCCAAGAAGAGAGCCGAGGAGGATGTCGAGAAGTTCCGTGGCCAGCTAGAGCAGGCTGCCGCCTTGATTGGTCGGTTGGAGGAAGAGAAAACCGAGCTGGCCGGGCGCATATCAGACCTCGAGCGCGCAATCGAAGATATTTCGAACAGCCAGCATGAGCGAACTGAGCAGGAAGCCGCCATGGAGGAAGAGATCCAGATGCTCCAAAGCCAACTCGCACTGAAGGAGAGGAAAACACGCGATCTGGAAGGCAAGCTTCTGGAGATCGACCAAGATGCCGAGGTGAAGCTCCACAAGGCTGAAAAGGAGCTGCAGTCCTACAGGGCCAAACAGCAGCAACTCATGGCCGAGAACCGAGATGCCCAACAACAGCTTTCGGCGCTGTCCAAGACCTCAACGGATTACGAAGACCTAGTGCGTAAGAAAGAGAGCGAACTGGCTCTGCTCCGTGGGGACAACAAGAAGTACGAGATGGAGAGACGAACGTTCGAGGACCAGCGCAAAACCCTTGCTACCGAGAAAGATAAAGCATCCACTCGGATGCGAGAGGTGCAAGCTCAACTTGACGCTCTCAAGGCTCAGCAGTCGCAAGTCCAGAGAGAAGCTGAAGATGCAAAGAAGCTCTTGCAAGCCAGGCTATCTGAAGATAGCCAAGCAGACCAAAATCGCCAATTGTTGGAGTCCCAGATCAAAGACCTCAAGGATGAGCTGTATGAGGCTCAAATGGAACTTAGTAGGGAGCGGCAGTCCCGCGACGATGTACTTTTGCTTAGTGAGCACAAGTATAATGAGCTTCAAGAGGAGTACGAACAACTCAACGAAGCGAAAATTGTCATCGAGAAAGAGCTTTACGCAGCGCAGGATACTTTGAGACGGGCAATCGATGCTCGGGCCACGGCTGAGAAAGAACGTGACGATGCGCGGCAAGAAATTCGAAAACTCAGAGCTGCCTACAGCCAGGCAGAGGAAGCGAGGCGCGAGGCTGAGGTTGCTGGCGAGCGCGCTGCCTCCAAACTCGCTAGAGAACGAGAAGATAGCTTGCGAAAGGACTTGGACGCAGCACAAGACCGACTGAAGTGGTTCGAGGACGAATGTGCCAAGCTGAATCATCAAGTTGAAGACCTCAATAAGCTGATCCTATCCTCCGGAGAATTCGGCTTGAAGAACGACCAGGCAAAGGAACGGATGGAGAGAGAGCTTCATACCGTGAAGAGTCGTCTTACAGCGTCTGAAAACGACAATCGTGCATTGCTCAACAAGCTTCAGCAAAAGGGTCTGGAAATTGCTCGGTCTAGTTCAAGAGCAAGTGAGGCTTCTCGCGGACAAGTCAACGTTCTTCATCGCGAGAAGGCCAGGCTGGAGGAACTGAACACCAAGCTCAACAAGCAGCTTGGGGAGTCACAAGTCAACGCCGCGGCTCTGGAAAAGAAGCTCGAGAAAGCTCAGCTCAACCTGGAGGACCTCAACCACGAATTTCAACGCGAGGTCAAATCTAATCGCAATGCTGAGAAATCGACGTCAAATTTCAATGTTCAACTGGCGGAGGCGAATCGGAATGTCGAGTCTGAGAGGCAACTGAGAACTCAGGCCCAAGGCACCGTTCGAACACTCCAAGCAACAATCGATTCTCGTGACAAGGAGTTGCAGGAGCTTCGGTCCCAAATGCTGCGAGCGCTGAAGGTTGTTGACCCGGAGTCTGCACCCCCGGTCCAAGTCGACGGTACTACTGAGCGTGTTTTCAGCGAGAAGTACGATCTGGTCAGGAAGATCGAAGAACTTCAGCAGAAACTCAGAGTACAGACAGCAGCAAGAGCTGGCGCGGAGTCTCAGCTGGCCGAGTTTAGGGCTGGACGAATGTCACCTGAGCGGCCACGCCTCGGTGAGATTGATCTAAACGAAGCACCTTTCGATATGTCGCCTTCCTACCGAAAGTCAAAGACCAATGGGCGGAGGATCTCCAACTCATCTACCCCATCGCGGCGTTTCACCAATGATGGCGAGCCAGGCAGCGACTCGGTCCGTTCTGAGAAGACTGCTGACATCTTGAGCTTCAACAACCGCATGGACCTAAAGGCTGAGATTGAAGAGCTCCAAAACCAGCTGCAGATCACCCAGATGCAGAATCGTCATTTGCAGAGCCAACTCGAGCGTTCAGGCACAGAGCTTCCTGATTACGACGGGGAATCCCCGTCGCTCCAGCGGGTCAAGAAACTCGAGGAAGCCAACGGCCGTCTTCACAGTCTACTGGACGATTCTTCCAAAAAGGTGTCTGCTTTGGAGAAAGCGCTCCGCACTGGTGAACTGTCCCTTCGCGATATCCAGACGAGATCACACGAGGAGATTCTTGACTTGCTGAACAACACAGAAGAGTCCAGGCGTTCGCTCCTGCACAGCCATAGGGACGCAGTCGCAGAGCTAACGGACGTCAAGGTGCACTATGACAAGCTCAGGCATGACCGCGCCACGCTTGAGGTGGATCTGCGTGACGCCAGGGGTGACCTGCAAGAGATGACGCAGGCACGAGAGCAGGAGGCAGCAAGTCGCAATCAGCTTCTGCAGGAGTTTTCTGATCTCCAGATAAGGTTGGACGCAGAAACATCCAAACTTGCTGATGTGACAGCCAGCCTGAACCTGTACAAGAGCCGCGCGGACGAATACTTCAGTAAACTAGAGCAGGCCGAGATTGCGGTTCTCAAGGCGAATCGGGCGGAGCAATTCGCAAAATCTCAGGCTAAGGAGGCCGAAGACACGTATGCTGAGGTCATGGCGGAGCGCAAGAAGATGGACCAGATGGTCGAAGATCTGCAGCGTCAAAATCAACGACTGGACGAGAAGGTCGAGGACATGTCGACAGACCTGGAGGCAGCAACGCAGGCAAAGAGGAGACTGCAACACGAGCTTGAGGACTATCGGAATCAGCGCGCTAATGACATCGAGGATACCGAGTCGAGCTTGGAGCAGACCCGCAAGAAGTATCAAGCCGAGTTCGCCACACTCACCAAGGAGCTTGACCTGGCTCGGGAGGAAAAGCTCTTCAAGCAGGCAGAAATCACTCGCCTCCGCGAGGAGCTGGACGAGCTTCGGTCCAAGTGGGACGACGAAGTCCTCAACAGCTCCACCTGGTCTAAGGAGAAGTCGCGGCTCGAGTCCACCCTCGCGGACGTCTCTGCCTCGCGTGAAGAAGCTGTCAACGCGCACAACGAAGCGCAGGGCAAGATTGTCAACCTTCTCTCGCAGGTGCGGTCGTTGCGGTCATCGGTCGACGAGGTCACTGGCGAACGAGACGCCCTGTTCCGGGAGAAGCGAAGCATCGAAGCAAGGCTGGAGGAAGCCAAGGCCGGTCTCGAGGAACTTGCCAAGGGCGAGAGCCCGTCGCTTCGAGATGCAGCCAGCATCGACAAGGAGATCCTCGAGCTCAAGTCGAGTCTTGCGCAACAGGAGGATGTCGCCGCGGCAGCGGTGGAGAAGATGCGCCGGGCCGAAGCTCTGGCATCCGAGGTCCAGAAGGATATTGTGGTTGAGCGGGAGTCAAGCGTGCAGCTGTCCAAGGACAAGGCCGCACTTGAAAAGACGCTCAACGAGGTCCAAGTCAGGCTTGTGGACCTTGAGACCAAGGGCTACTCGAGCGCGAGCCAGGATATCAAATTTCTGCACAAACGCATCCAAGAGGCAAGTACACCGGGTCCACCTATTCCCCGCCTTGAGCTCCCATCACCGCCGGATGACAACGCCACTAACAGTTCCCAGCTCGAGAACCAGCTTGAAGCACAGGAGGATAGTCGTGCGAAATCACAGCGGTCCAACCGCAACGTGGATCGCACGGTCAAGGACCTTCAGACCCAGATCGACCGCAAGGACAAGCAGAACACGCAGATGCAGGAGGATCTGGGCCGGATGCGCGACAAGATCGACAAGCTCCTCAAGACGATCGACGAGCTGCAGTCATCGGAGTCGGCCAACCAGCTGCAGGCCCGACGTGCGGAAAGGGAGCTGAGGAGCGAACAAGAGAAGGCGGCCAGGCTGGAGCGGGAACTCGAGAGCTGGAAGACGCTGCGGTCTGAGAAAGGGTCTGTGCTGGGCAGCGTGGCCGGCAGCATAATGAGCGGGCGCGGCGGCATGACAAGGTCAGGCACGTTGGCGACTATGAGGAGCTCGGGGCTGGCGAGCGTGGCGGACGAGGACGAGAGCGCGGAAAGCCATGTCACGATTCCCCAGAGGAAGAGCAGCATTAGTCGTGTGCCAAGCCTGACGAAGGGATTCTTGTAGGGGGGGACGTGATCCCCGGGACTCGGGGTGATTAAGGCAAAAGGACGGGGCTTCCGGGACGGTTGGGAAGGAGCGCATTGGCATCCATGCGGTCGGCGTTTACTGTTGCTCATCGCATCATTCCGGTGGCATAATCCCTTCGGGTGCGGGAGGGAATGTCTGTGTGAGCACTGGTCCTTTTCTTTTTCTGTGGCATGGGTTGGACGACAACATAATGGATTGAGTGTACAAAGTAGGTATGGATGGAGTGGACTTGTGGGGGTGATTCAGAGCTCTCGTCGGGTCAGGTATATATAATCAAGGGACTAATTCTTAAGGGGCTCCGAGAAGGAGTTTGCTTTGATATTTGATGTTCGTTGGTATTTCGTCGACTCGATGCCGACAGGCATGGCGGGTATTGATTAGCTATGGGTCCGCTTGGAAGGGTGACTTGAGTCGGTCACCTCATTACGGCCGTGAGTGCGAAGATGCCGAGCTCGATAGGAGCAAGACATGGTTCAGGAGAGTTCAGACGAGTGCTGCTATTTCCTGGCCCCTTTCCAATCGGGTTTGTTGTCAATGCGTCCATGCCCACGAAAAGATTCGCCCACGCATTGCAGTAGCGGGAGGCTTATGAGCAGATGCATGTGAGATTTATTTGAGTGCCTGCGCGTTGTCTGTCTCGCGCATGAAAATCAAAACTGTGTGTACAGTGCCGTTGATAGTTGTTTATTTAGACTTTTGCCCGGGTGGGCCCCTCATCTTGACAGCTGAGAGTCGAGGCGGATCGTCCCAGTCGTCCCCCGCACCCACTTCCTGCTCGGGCAGGTCACCCCTGCACCGGCAGGGATGTGAGCTGGTTGCCCCTGCAGGACATGTGGTGAAGCTTTGTCGTGGGCTGAAATTGGGGTGGTCGGCGGACAAATCACACGGCAGGGTGGCGTGGTCGACGGCGCAGGACCTCTTCGGGAGTCGGGGGAGCTTCATCAATTTTTGGGTTTGGCTTTTGGGGTTTGTTCCGTCGATGGGCCGGGGTGGGAAAAGCAAGCCTTGGTGGGAAGCAATAAAACGGCTGCTGGTCCCCATCCTAATGCTCGCCCGGCTCGTCTTCTGCGTTGCTGGAGCCAGAACACTCGCGGTCTTCACAAACGAGCACCTTCTAATCGAAACACCAAGCTCACGATAGAACCCAACAAGCTCATTCACGACCGAACCAACCAGCAAATCAATCAACCAATTGAGCACATCATGAAGTCCGCCATCCTCTTCACCGTTGCTGCCGCCGGCCTCGCCGCCGCCCAAGCAGGTCTCGAAGGCCAACCCGCCTGCGCTGTAAGCTTTCCTCGCCACCCCACACTCCCGTCTGATGTCCTCGAGATTCATCCCACACCAACAGCCAGCCAGCCAGCCCTCATACACTGACTCCCATGCGCACAAAACAGACCCCCTGCCTCACCTCCGCCATCTCCGCCGTCTGCACCCCAGCAACAGACCAGGCCTGCGCCTGCGCCTCCCAGTCAGAGATCGGCGCCCAGGCCGCGAGCTGCCTGCTGAGCAACTGCAACGCGGGCGACCTCGCCCAGGCCCAGTCCGCCGGCTCCGCCCAGTGCGTCTCCTTCTCGGCCACGGCCTCCGAGACGGGCAGCAGCGGTAGCGCCACCGCCACGGGCACGTCCTCCGGAAACGCCTCCGTCACCTCGTTCACGTCCTCGTCCGCGGGCGCCTCTGCCACCGGCACCAACGCCTCGTCCGCCTCGTCTGGCTCGTCCGAGACCACCGGCACCGAGAGCAGCAGCCGCAGCAGCAGGACGTCCTCATCTTCGGCCTCGGGGAGCAGCTCGGCTAGCGGGAGCGCCGCGTCTACTTCGTCGACGGCGGCTGCGGCGTTCGCCGGCCCTGCTGTCAGCGGTGGGCTGCTGGGTGGTTTCCTGGCTATCGTTGGCGCGTTGCTGTAGGATGTGGTATGATCTCCGGTGCTGAGAGTGAAGTCCTTTTTGGGCGGGTCGTGGCACGGAAAAGTTACATTAATTCAGCGAATGAATTGACGCGATAACTTGAGTTTACTGGGAAATAGTTTGGAGAAAATGATGGCTAAGGATAATCTCGGAAACCTGTACGATTTTTTAATGAGCGCCTTAATTACCAGCGGCAACGATAGTCTAATATTATCTTGATCAAGCACACACCGCGGTTTCCTGTACCATGATACCCCTGAGCATCTGCTTGAGGCTCAAATCTTGCCAGGCTTCTTCCCGGCTCATGGGTCCTCCTCGGGCGTTGATCCGTCCTGGAGCGTCCTCGGCCTCGATAAGACGTCCTGTGTCTTATCCGCCTTCGCCCGGTGCTCATCATCGGGGCTCGGCAGCTCCAAATCCACCAGCCAGGGCGACTGATGAGGCCTATATGCCACCGTCATGATGGCCGCGTTGACAAAGAGCGTCTCCTTGCCGGCCTCGAAAGGAATCGACCCCTCGTCCCCAGGACACAAACTCACAGGCGTGATCTCCCCGCCGCTGCCGCCGCCACTCTCGGTCTGCTCTAGGGCCATCTGCTCATCCTCGCCCTGGCCCTCCCACGACTGCTTCACAGCGCCGTACGCCTCGTGGATATGCCCGAAGCAGTGCACCCGGGGCCTCGCCTTGGCCACGGCATCCCACAGCGACGGGCAGCCGGCGTCATCGTGGCTCCTCGTGCGGTCGAGCATCAGGTGGGGCGGGCCGTGTGTCATGGCCACGTCGGTGTCCTGCTCGATGGCGAAGTCGTGGCCGCCCTCGCCGTACTGGAAACCCCAACGACCATATTCGGGCGTCCATGCGCTGGCGTAGACGGTGAGCCGGGCGCCGTTGGCGAGAACAAAGTGGTACGTGCCCTCGTCCGTCAGCACGTGGATGCCGTCCTGCCGGGCCTGCTCGACCACCTCGTATGTCTCGCGTGGCTGGCGGAGTAGGCGCGCCATCATGTCCTTGGGTAGGAAACTTCTCCTTGAACACTTTGTGTTTATTGGTGAGCATCTTTGACCCCATGAGAATGTGTGGGCCAGGGGAAGGGGAGGGCTCTTACGTCCTTGTCCCAGAACTCGACGTCCATGCTGCAGTCATGATTCCCCGGTATGACCAGCTTCAGCGGCGCGTCAATCGACCGCATCACGTCGAATGTTGTCTGGTACTCCCTGACGTGCGACCTCAGGGTCAAGTCACCGCAGTGTATGGCTACATCTGCACTTGGGAGGGGCTTGTGGAAGGCATATTTCTTGGCCTCTTCTGGTAACGTCTGCGGGTCAAAGAGGCTGTGGCCATGAGTGTCAGAGAGAATGAGAAGGCGGGTCCTGATCTGTGATGTTGACGACATATCCTGGCTACTCTGTGGCAGTGGCTCAGTATGTTGTGTGTTTCTCGACTTTCAGGACGGTAGCTCACGGATGAAGTACGTGTAATCAGTCAGCGAGTCAATACATACAACCGACGCGAAAAGGGCGTATTGGTTCAGAAAGTAGAGCAACAATAGTGAGTGTATAGTTATGTGGTAACATCGGATAAATGTCCCTGTATTTTTATATGTAGAAACGAGCCCGGCTGCATGAGGCGTCAGCTAGTGAAGTGGAAAATGGCGATGTCAAGAAGCCTACACAGAACAGAGTAAGCTCAGGCCTGAGATTCGCCCCGTTGGCTGAGGGCACATACCCGCAATCCACCCTTGGTTGGCCGTCCATCTTGCAATAGACAGAAGCCTAGGTCAAACCCCACACACACTTTGAGCACCTTCATAACCCCTTTCCCGCCCTGGTCATCCCAACCTCGAGATGCCCGGGCAGTGAAGTCGAGTATGTGAAGAAGGATCAACTTTAAAAGACCGACCAGCTATAAGGAGGAGGGGCAGCCAACGGAGCCGGCTTACATAAGCGAGTTTGGCCAACGCATCCAGCTTGCACCCACCGCTTCAGGCTTGCGTGCGACGACTTCCAACAACTGCCACTCCTCCATTCAGTGACGGCATCCAGGAACAACTTGCCGAAGCCCCACCATGGCATCGTCACAAGCACCTCCTGCCGCCCCGAGCGAGGACCAGGACAACAAGCCCCGTGAGCCCAAGTACGGCGGCTACACGCGCTTCGAGATTGAGCTCGAGTTTGTCCAGTCGCTCGCGAACCCGAACTACCTGAACCACCTCGCCGCCCAGAAGCTACTCCAGCAGCCCGCTTTTGTCCAGTACCTCAAGTACCTGCAGTACTGGAGCAAGCCACCATACCTCAAATACCTCACCTACCCGGGCCCGACGCTCAAGAACCTCGAGCTGCTGCAGCAGGAGCGGTTCCGGCGCGACATCATTAGTCCTGACTTCGTCGCGGCACTGATCCAGGAGGGCACAAAGTCCGCCGTCGAGTGGCACAAGGAGAAGGAGGTCTGAGAGGTGCGGAGGATTCAATAATTAATCGGGGCTCCTGGTATCTACCAAGAACCAAACGATGCACCACTAAACGAAAACACCCAAACGCCCTGCCATGCAAGTGTCGATGCCGGCTGTGCGCGCCAGATTACGACAATCCCGTCCGCGCCAGAAAATAACCACAACTGCCAAAGCCCAAAGATTACTGCGCTACGCCGGGTCAAATCACTAGTTCTCCCTCCACCGATGGCCGCAAGTCATGCACTACAACAGAGTCAGCGCTTGAGGGACGCAACAGCATCAGCATAAAACGCCGCAGGTGCACGCACCTTGAAGAAGCTGGTCATGGGCTCGTCGGCACTGCGGATCTGGACCTGGAAGAATGCGGCCTCCTCGCCATCGCAGCCCTCAGCGGGGCACTGAGCCTTGCCCTTCTGAGCGTTGTCCCATGCTCCCGGCCCACCAAAGACATCCTCCCTCTCCTTGCGGTGGAAGACGCGCCGCGAGTAGAGCGGCTCGGTGATGGCGTACTCGTAGGGACAGGTTCGGCACTCGAGGCGGTTGAGCCCGTTGTCCATGGCGGACACGGTCAAGATGTTTGCGCAGTGGGGGCAGACTGAAACCCGACAGAAGAGAGGGTTGGTTAGTTTGCGATTGCATTGAGATGCGATGTGCGCCTATAAGACATGCAGGCAGAAGGGAGGGAGGGAGGGGCCTTACAGAGCAGCATCTTTGCTAAGTCGTACAAATAGTTGCAATTGAAATGGCCAGAATAGTATTATGAGGCCTAATGCTCCGGTGTCACCGTTGTTGCATGGCTGGTAATCACATGGAAGTGGAATCGTGTGATGGCTCTTTTTTCAAAAAATCGGCCAAAGTGAGTCTTTCGGCCGCTGCCGTGGGAAACGGAGGGGAATCCAAGCAGCAGTCGTCACCCACCCACCAACCGCCCAGCGGCAGGCAAAAGCCCCTCCAAGGTTTGAGAGGCGGCTACTCGAAGGCGCCAATAATTAAAGCGGCCCACTGCACGGCGCGTACCTACGGACGGCCCCTCGTTGCATTGCCAGGCGCTGCTGGGACGGAGGTACCCCACGCGATCTGGCCCGGCCGGCGGGGCGGGCTTTTGGGCGGCAGGTTGCTTGCGGGCTGTTTGGGTGCTTGGGTTTCGGCTGCGTGCAGGCGTGCGTGGCTTGGTCACTGCCACCTCCTAAACCTCCGGCTTGAAGGGCCCAAAGGGTGACGTCCGCCCAACTCAAACTGCGACGCTTGTATTTCCAGCAACACGACGACGCAAACCAAAATCTCACGCTGTGGAAAAGCTTCACGGACTGGGCGAGGCGACCACACCTGACGGCCAGACTCGCACCGCACTTGGAGGCTGCAGGAGCTGTCCCTGAAACCCAGAGGATCCCTATAATTCCACGCAGGGCCACTCTACCTTGAGACTTCGCCCACCCTGCAAACGTTTTTACCGTAGCTCAACCTCACGATGGCGCCTGAAGACGAACACGAAGTATGCGAACGAAAATGCCGGCTGTCCTTGTCCGCTTAGACCATTGCTGACACCGCTCCCTCCTCACAGGGCGCCTCCGCAAAGGAGATCCTCATCGAGGCCTGCCGGCGCAACAACGTCGAGCTGATGCAGGAGACGCTCGAGGGCAAGAGTGAGAAGGAGGTCGCGGACCTGCTGAACAACACAACAACCGTCATGGGCAACCACCTATACCACGAGGCCGCTGCCCAGGGAAACTGTACGCAGCCACCCACCCCCCTTTAACCCCCTCTCCTGAACACCAACCAGCCCTACCGCCTCCTCTACGATCCCATTTGTCCTGGAAGCTAACCACCCACTCCTTGCCCTCCCGCAGACGAGATCATCGACTTCCTCCTCGACCAGGACAACTTCGAGTGCGACCCCACAAACCGGCGGGAGGGCGACACGCCGCTGCACTCGGCGGTGCGGTGGATCAACAGCGAGCCCGAGGCGCAGCGCGAGTTCGGCAACGCCCTGGTCGACATGATGCTCGAGGCCGGGTCCAACCCGCGCGCCAAGAACAAGGGCGGCCTGACCGCCTTCCAGCTCGTCGACCCGCGCAACACGGGCCTGCGCGACCTGATACAGAAGCACGAGTACGCCGCGCTCAACAAGGGCGACTTTGTCCAGAGCTCCAACTCGGGCGCGGACGGGGTCATCAGCGCGCCCATGCTGGACGCGGACAGCGACGACGACGCCGAGTTCAGCGGGAGCGACGACGAGGAGAGGGCCGAGTGGGAGCGGAGGAGGAAGCAGAAGGCCGCCAAGAAGGGCTGATCGGTGCTGGGTGTGGCCTGTGGACTAGGCGGGCGTGCGCATTACAGTTTCACGGCTGTGCTCATGGGAAATGTGCTGAGCGGGCTGTGGCGTGGTCACCCAATTTTAGAAGGCACACGGGGGGTCATGGAGGGTAAATACAGCAAAAGGCGTTTAGTGCAGAGAATTGCATGTTCACGGTATTCACACATCTCCACTGTGTGCTGAAGGATTGCACTGAAATGTCAGAGGACCCAGTCCAGTGCCATTGCCGTGTCTCCCAGCTTCGACAGCCCGCTCTCCGTCCCTTGGGCCTCAACAGCTTATCCCATAGGTCTGCTCCCACCAAAACTTAGTCGTCAGGCCGCTCATAAGCTAAATCCTTCATCTGGAGCTTGTCTGCCGTTTGCTCGAACTTCCTCTCAACATTGTGCAATAGTCGGACTGTTTCATGTAGACTCGCAGCGTGAAGATCGTACAAAGTTAGACCAGTGTATATACTTGTGGCGCGAAGCACAGGAGTCCAAGAAGGATGTGTAAATGAGTATGAAATCTGACGAAATGCTATTGACATGCTCTAACAGGGTATATAATATGCTTCAGAAAAGTCGGCCCAGGGGAATGAAAAGGCCCACCAGCTCAAATAATGCAGGGAGAGGGATCTCTCAGAGTCCTCTCCAGATGCTCGATACCTCTTCATTTGTGACTCGTCGCTCCGTCCACCGGCTCTCACAACAGAGCGTTCACTGCCAGAGACACAACAACCGCAACAAACACCCTGCCCAAGAAGTTGCCACCCGCGCCACGACCAGCCGCGCCGCCCTGCGCCTCGATGAACGAGACATTCCTCGCCGCCTGCAGGATATCCTCCGACATGTCCCCGGACGCGGCCCACTGGCTGATCTGGGAGCCAAACGTCCGCAGGATGTCGGTGCTCCTGCCGGCGGGGCAGAAGGTGACGCCCCAGCCGCCGCCCCCCGGGATGACAAAGGTGGAGGCGCCATCGTCGTATGGGAAGCTGTAGGCGTCCGGGCACACGCGCTTGGCGTGGCGCGCGTACAGGCTACGCGGGCACTTCTCCGGGTCGTTGTACTCGCCGTCGCAGCAGTCCTTGGCGCTGTTGGTCTTCTTGCACGAGCTCAGGCACGGGTCGAACACGGGCCGCGGCGTGCTGTCGTCCGGGTAGGGGTAGACGCCCTCGCCCGGCTTGGGCGGGTCGAGGATCTGGAGGTTCCAGGGGCACCAGTGGCCGACTTTCTCTGAGGTCTGCTTGGTCTCGTATGGCATGGGGTACGTCTCGTTGGTGAATTCCGTGCCCGTGCGGTTGGGTGGTGACAGGTAGCCTGCTGTTGCGATGCAGGCTGGGTTGACTAGGTTGGGAGGGGGCTGTTGGCCGTTGGGGTTGGCCTGGTACTCCATTGCCAGTGGCAGGTTATACCCATCGACGATGCTGATGTCGACGAAGTTCTGGTTGTTGCCTACTCCACCGGAGAGGAGGATCTCGGCTAATGTGGCTGGTGGGTTGCCCTGAAGGTCGTGTTAGTCGTAGATGATCCAGAAGGGCGCGAGATATTTCTCCTTTGTGACATGAATGCCCAGAATTGGGGTTGCGACTTACAGATGCTTGTGTGCAGTCCATCTGCCCACAGCTGCCAGTTGTGCATGTCAAGACGCCTTCTGATGGTGATGTGCAGTTTGTGCGCCCCCATATCCGCCCATACCAATCTGATCCAACCTCGAACGACCTGTTGGCGCCCGCTGCAAGCTCAAAGCCACCGGTTCCAGGGCCTGTCCCCGACGTTGTGTAAATACCCGGCCATATCGTGTCCGCACAGTTGTTGGTTATCAACAGAGGTACGGTATCTTGCCACAAAACCATCTTCACGATGATCTCCCCGGGTCAATGATGTGTGCGAGTGTGATATCCAAAAGTGTATACTCTCGCTGGCTCTCGAGGTAGATCTGTGGGGCGTGGAGCCAAGATCTTCGCGGTTGATATATGTGAGACGAGGAAATGATGTGCGGTATTGTAGCTGAGACTTGGAATAAGGTTCAGACGGAAGGGATATGTTTCGAAACAGATGCACGCAAGGTAGGATAAAGCTGGCAGGAGGCGTTTGTGAATTGCTGAGTCTTGTACAACAAGCACTCTTCTTGAATATGTAGATAGCCAAGCCTCCCGAGATCATCGACGTGCGTCAATGGCTTGATGGCCATTTAAGCTGCCGTCGTTCATCCCAGACGCGCGCAGGTACGCTGCCATGGTTCCGTATCCTCACGCTCTTACTGGCGGGATTGAGGGAGAGGCTTGTCTCTGCCATGGACCCTCCCTGGCGTTTGCCGCCAGGGTGGATGACGCATGAGCGGTTGGTTTTCAGGATTCCAAGTCAGCGTTCCCTTTGAAGGGCAGCATGGCCAGGGTCCCTCAGCGCCAGGGTTGGCTGATTGGAAGACTGAGCTGGACAGCGTTTCAGTGGGCTGAGCTGCAGGGGCCGCAACTTGGTTGGGAGTCTCTCGCTTGGCAGCCGCCGATCAAGCGCCAGAGCAGAAGGAGGATAGCCGATCCACTCCCGTGAAGACCCTGAGTTCCCGGCTGATGTCATCGAGCATGGCCTGGAATCAAGAGAGGCCATCACAACTTGCACGGACCGCTCATGCCACATATCCAGGAAATAATGAGGGGGTTGCTGGATAGGCTTTTAGTCCTACTTGATAGATGTATATAGAGTTATCCTGGTGGGTGAGGTGATTTGAGTTGTTAATTATGGGAATTATATGGGAGCCTAATGGGGTTGTATAAGCGCCATAATAGTAAGGTGATTTGAATTGGTATAAACATATATAGACTATGAGAATTACTAGCAGTGTCACTTCTTCGTTGGGGTGTTGCGAATTTCCTTCTACTTCCACTGTGTGTCTTTCGCTAGTTACGTATCGCAGTGACATATTGCAAATTCCCAGTTCCAATCCTCTGGCTCGGCTAACCGCCGCTTTCTCTCAGACTGATCTGAGTACAATTTTGTATCCAATTGTGTACTTATTGCCTCTAATGTAATAGGATACATAGGGCTACACATAACTGTGTACGCCAAACTAAGAGCCTGAAAACTCACTAAGTTTAATCATCACTCCAGAAGACGCAGTTTACTCAACTTGCGGACGAAGAGATGGCCCCATCTTTTTCGATTTCTTGACGCAAAATCCACTTCAACCCATCTGGAATCTCTGTACAACTGACTCCACCGGTCAAGCCGTCTCATTGGCCCTGCAGAAGGCTTATACAATGGGCACATGACCAAACCTTGAAGTTTACCTACCAGCCTGACTACATTGTAGGCCTGAAGGGAGTCTTTGGAGTTGTTGCAACGGTTCCTCTTGGGAACAAGATTACACTTGTTTCTGTACCCAGCGGCTACACCAAGGTCCCACTCGATCTCAACGCTTCCATGTACGGGGAGCGCATTACCTGTCCTATCTGAAGCAGAAAGTCACATCCTTGGGATCGAACCCGCAAGCAGTGACGGACATCAAGGTCATCTACAATGAGAATGGCATCCCCGATGGTTACAAGAAGGTGCAGAATCCGGATGAGGCAGACATTGATTTCAATAAGGGTGCAAAAGGCGCCTACGTCTGGGTCTGCTACAAAGCAGAGGATTATTCTCCCGGAACTGCGATTCTTGACATCGAAGCCGTTGAATCAACCGGATCCAACGAACAGCCTCCTCCTGGTTTTATCAAGGTTGATGGCGACCTCAATGCCGGCACCTCGGGTGACTATATATATATCTCGAAGTCAAAAAGCAAGGCGCCAATTGATTGAATAAATCGGAAGCAGCTGAATTGAGTTATAGGATGCGTGATTGAAAGAGTAAACCATGGTGCACAAAGACCATACGAGGACATAGCCCCAGCTCTTTTGATAGCGTTCTCTTCGCTCCTGCCCGAGGATTGCACTTGACGAACTGAGAATATGAGGACTTCGAGACCGATGGAGGAAACCGTTCGCTCATAGCTTTCCTTTGACGTTTATTCTCATTGACGTAGTTTCCTGATTTGACTTAATACAGTAACTTCTTAACATCCTTGAGTGAGTTTTGCTCCCATTCGTCATCAAATCCTCTAGCCCTCATGTCCTCCTCGACCTCCTCCACGTATCGTTTGGCCATTCCAGCGTGCCCGCCCCTGTATGCCGTCCATGCAGCCTGGATCAGCGGCGTCGCGCTCGTCAACATTGGCTCCTTCCTGTTGATTCTCATTGCCTTTTCCAGAACCTGCAGCGCCTTTAGTGACGCTTTGGTGTCGTAGTGGTTGAGCTGGTGATATTCTTCCGCCAGGTCTGAAAATTTTCGCCTTCGCTCGTCTGACGCCTCTCTTTTTCTTGACCCAGCAGAACACAATGAACAAGTACATTCGAAATTCCAGTTGTCTCTGAGCTCATTTTGGCGATGAAACCACCTCCAGTCTGGCCCCATTGGTATGTCTGGAAAATGCACGTCCGTTAGCGATATCTGGGTTTTATGGTGATTCTATTGTTGGGCACATTGATCCATACAGCTTATTGAAAGCTCTTCGCCAGGCTGAATGTCTTTTACCGTCCAAATTGTCTGCGATAGAGTCTTCGGCGACCACTTGGCTCGGCAGCTTGTGACGAGGTTATCAGCATCAGTGCCAGAAAATGTGTTTGGTGCTGCAGAGCTGCGGTTTATGCCCACTCACTTTGGAACACATGCATGGTTTATTCTCTGCAGTCCGAAGCGCAACCCGAGTTAGTGCTCTTGAATTTCGCCGAACCAGAAGTCTTGGAGCTACTGACCGAGACGCGAGGGAAGACGGCGCTGTAAGTCCCATTGCCAAGGTCAATCTGGAAACTATTATAGTTGGCAGCGTTCTCCGCCTGCGAACCTGTGAATCCATCGTGCTGAGCTAGACTCAGCAGCTGGTCGGGATCGGATAGTTGCGTTGCTGCCTGGTCGAAGAGATGGCTCCGCTGGGTTTCAGAAAGGACGTCGACATTTATATTCTGTTCCAACTTGAGCATTATAGGGCGGTCTATCATGATAATTGTCCCACGTGGGATCTTGCGAGTCGCAAATACTCCCATGCCCTTGCCCTTGGATTCTTTGACCTCGTAGAGGCGATCCTTGTCACGAATTTTATCGTCATCAGAATTTGGTCCGCGGCCTCCGACTCCTATGGCGCAGCCAGGCTCGTCGAAATCATGGCTCAAGGTAGCCAAGATTTCAGTGGCTTCTTGCTCCTCCGAGTGATGCGTGATGATGCTGATCCCTTGGCCAGACGGAACCAGTGCCTGTGTGTGCACGCACCAGGCTCCTTGGCAGTATGGTCGATGAGTCCAAGGGCTCCAGTCCTTAGGCTCAGACCAAAGCTGTGAGTCGAGGCTGTTAAGACGAGGGCACAGGCTTGCACCCAATAGGCCCAGACCGGACCCGCAGACGTCCCCAGTGCTGCCCGGGGCATGGTGCGAGAATAGATTGATCAGAGACATGAATCACAAATCTTGCTAATGTAGTGATATTTAGAAGAGTCCGAGGGGGTTGTGGGATTTATTCATGGCTGAACAGCCCTGGAGAAAAAGGATTCTGAGAAAAGTACATTGGAAAGTCAGGACACGAGGATGAGCTTAAGGCGAGCTATAAGGTTTGACAAGAACGCTATACGGTATTTGCTCAAGTTACAGCGCTCGGATGACGTTTGAGGAACCCAGAGGTCTCGAAACATGGGGGAGAGGAGCGTGCAGGAACCAATGAAACATTCTCGCTCTGACTGACAGCTGGTTGACAGTTTCAGAAGTGGCATCCATCGGGAAACCTAGACTAGCGTGTCTAACGTTAGTAGTCCAATTTCAACACAACTGGGCAGCTTAGGCCGAGACGCCAGGGACACTTGATCAAGCAGCGCCATGACTCTGTGCCTGAAAAAGCCTGCACAATTATGAGGGGAATTTTCTGGCAGACACCGTTGCCAAATCCAACGGCAAACTGGAAGCCGATATACCCTCCAGCTTACGAGACCATTTTAAGGGTGTAGAGCAGATCGGCGCCAATGGTGGTAAAACTTGCCCTGACGAGAAGGTATACTCGCAATAACCGGAACTTGGTGAACAAAAGCCCGCTGAGGACGACTAAGACAGCTTTTCGGATGTTGACTCTTTGAAAACTATGGAACATAGAGAGGGGTGACTTACATGCCGTGCCAATGAGTGGAATAACCTTGAATGCAACTTGGAGTGGGCAAGGTCTGTGAGGTCGGCTCACTAAGCCGTGCTTACGGCGTGTGTCAACCCCAATACACTACACTCATTTGCATTCCACACCGCCAAAACCACGCTAGTGACATTGCTGTGTTAACATATATCAAAGTTATATGCATATTATTATTTTAATAATATATGTATATATTTCTCAATAAACATTGCTTTAATTTAATTAAATTTAATATTAAATAATAAAGAGCATTTTTAGCTATTTAATGCTTTTTTATCTTAATTTTAAAGGCTTAATTATAAGGTAATATATATTAAAAGTATAATTTTAAGTAATATTATAATTAAACTTAATATATTTTAATTATAAGATTATAAATATAAATTTAATTTAATTAAATTTAATATAAAAGAAATAAAAGGTATTTTTAGCTATTAATTACTTTTTTTCTTAATTAATTTAAGCGTTTAATTATAATGTAATTTTAAATAATATTTATTATTCCCTTAAATATATAAAAATAATATTTTTTTAATTTTTTTAATAAAAATACTTTATTTATATTAAAAGTGTTTATTATTTATATGTTTTATATTTAAAAAATTAAGTTAATTACTCCTTAAGTAATTATTTTAAATTAAACTTATAACTTAAATTGCAATATAATTAAATCTTTAAAATTAATATGGAAAGAAAAATTAAATAGCTTGGAATGAGTCAGGGCTGGCGGCTGGGGCAAGGCGGTTGGGCCCGTGCAGGGCCCTGCAAGGGCCCCCTTATCGATAAGCCCCTCCTGCCCTACAGCTGCAGCCCAAAGGGCTCCTCCAGAGCCTTCCTTCCTTCCTTCCTCCTTTTTCCTTTTTAGGCCAGCATACTCTTTAAATCCACATAATTTGGTGCACATTTCGAGCCCTCGTGCCGTGAAGCCCAAGTGACGTCTCAGAATGCCCTTTATTGTTTAACATATCGTTTTAATGTTTTAAAATTAAAATGAAGTTGGTTGTATGTGCATGTAAAAAAGGTGTGCATTAACACGGCGGGGTTTTTTTTTTTTTTTGGCGGTGTGGAATGCAAATGAGTGTACTCTACTTCAGGACATGCAGCCATGCTTGCACAATTGTTGTTCATCAGAGCTCAGGTAAGGCTACTGAGTACTGTCTATTTCTGAGTCTCCGGAACAGAGGCAGCGCCGCTGAAGGAACGTCATCCATGCGACCATGAATCCTACTTAAGCAGTACTGAATCAATATGGACTAGGCATCCCGCAGGACGAATTAGATTAAACTATTATCGTACGTTGGGTCTAAAATATTATTGACCGTTGGTTCTCAGCTTTCTGTTGCCAACACCACATCCTCTCCAGACAACAAGCAACAAGTGTCCCTCTCAAGCCTCATCGTCTCCATTCCCGTGGCTTTTCATCATCGTCACCAGTCTTCAACCTTGTTTCTGCTTCTTTCAGCACGTCTAGTCCACTGAAACGAAACCAACCGGCCGTCGTCTTCAAGATGGCTTCACAACACCCAAACCTCCCCATGCCTGACTACTTCTCCAAATTCGCCAGCATCTACGTTCGCCAGACGGGTCAGTCCACGCTCAATATTCTTGCCGACGTCATCGTCGATAACGTCCAGACGTCCGCCCGCCCCATCGGCCCGGAATCGGTGGTGCACGACACGGCCGCGGGCCCGGGTATAGGCGCCGCGGCGCTCGTCGCCCGTCTCCCCAAGGAACAGCTGCCCAAGGAGGTGCTGGCCTCGGATAATGTCCCCATGATGGTGTCGGCTGCGGGCGAGTCCCTCGCCGCCTCTCCGCTTCCGCATGTCGATTGCAAGGAACTTGACTCCCAGGACCTGTCGTCGTTGCCTGACGATTACTTCACCCACTCAATCAACAACTTCAGCATCTTCACGTTTGTACGCCCAGCGGCCGCCGTCCGGGAGTCGTATCGCACCCTGCGACCCGGCGGCCTGGCCGTCGTCACCTGTTGGCGCCGCTTCGCGCCCGTGTTCGTCGTGCACGCCGCGCAAAAGAGGATCCGCCCGGACCTGCCGCTTATGCCTATGCCGAGCCCGGAGTTCTGCGAGGAGGGCGTGCTGCAGAGAGTGGTCGAGGAGGGCGGCTTCGCCAAGGACGGCATAACAGTGACCGACAAAGTCCTGGTCGTTGACGACGAGGAGAACATAGCTGGCCTTACTACGCTCATGTCGGGTCCCATGATGGCCAAGGCACGCGAGGGGTACACGGAGGAAGAGGAGGCCCGGTGGGTCGAGTCTGTCAAGGAGTCTGTGAAGGAGGAGGTACAGCAATTTGGCGGTATCAGGTTCGAAGCCTACATCCTCTTGGCAACTAAATAGAGCAGCTTCTACGCATGTGTTCTGGGAGCGGGAAAGGGAAGCAGAGCAGAGCCAATCCAGGTCCATTGTGTATTAGCCGGTATCTCGAATTGCAAGAGAAAAGAAATACAACGCGCCAGCACGACCAAAAGAAGTGCTCACGTGTTCTTATTTAGATGTGTCTTGCACGATAGCTACATTCAGTCTTCACTGGAAGTACATTTGGTCCTGTGTAGCTCTGGTCAGATTGACCTGACCACTGGAGATGGTGCATCCCTGCTTGTTCTGGCCTATTCCCTTCTCTTCCCACTCACGAGCCTGTGAGTGTTTCCTAAGTGACTGAGAACTTTGAGTCCTTGCGAAGTTTCTCGTCGTATATGTTCTGAGCCACGGAGTATACAACCAGAGCCATGAGACTTTGCTCTTCGATTTCGGCGGCTTACGACCTGTCCTAAGGCTGCCTCCATATATTGGTATCGCACCTGAATGTCGTGACCCGACCGCCTCTGAACTGCGAGTTCTGGGGTATCAAGTCTGGTGGTTAAGAAACAGACGAGGTTTTCTACAACGTTATGTCTTCTCGCTGGATCCTCCCAAGTGGTACAAGAAAACAACGCCGACCGTCGTATCATCTTTGGTCGTTCGGGAACTGTGTGCGCGTTGACCCACATCCACATTCATGTGATTGTGAGCCACTTCCAAAAGTGCGTGCCATGAGAGAAGGTGACCCCAAACTGCTTCCACATTCCAACGAGTGGTCGGTCTCAATAGTGCGGCGGCGTTGCTGAGTCAGAGGCGTCTTCGGTCAAGTGCGGTCGTATGTTACAGGAAAGATCAGCACTAAAGCGTTCAATAGAGTGTCTGTATCCTCAGTGACATCGGGAAAAGTCGGAGCAGTCGAACAAGACGTAAGTATTACAATGCCGGGTATGTGTCCTGTGTCGGCACTCTATCCTGCCAGACTGTCGATGTGCCCGAACGGCAATGTGGTGTTCGCGTAGGGATAACTGGCAAGACTTTGAAGAAGCTTCCCTTCAAGGTAACTGAGGACCAAAGTCTGCGAAGGCCTCCTAACTGAAAGAAACTTCGCGGGTTGCATTCTCCGTGATTGAAGCTCCTGTAAGTGTGTTGGGATTTCGCAAGGACTGAGCCTATTACGGCTGACGGTCTGCTTTGTTTGCCAAAATTGAATCGAAAAGCAGGTACGGACCATTCAGAGTGGTCTCTCTGTCGTACGAATGTGTCACCAAGTAAACCTCCCTTGCGGGCAAGGCTTCTCCGCTGTCTCAGACACCCGGGGGCTGAAGTAGCTATCTCACATGTCAAGAGAGGCCTCGGAAACTGGCCTCAGCCTCAGCGAGCTTGCAAAGCCGTCGTCAACCGCCCTAGGTGTCTGCGGATGTCGCTTCTCGAGTGTCATCACAAGGACCCTCATTCTGCTCATTAGGCGTTGTCAGAGGCTGGCGTTTGCAAATCTTTGTATTTCTGATTCAAGAATCTTCGCAACTATCAGTTGTGTCTCAGATCCTTTGTCCCTCGTTCGACTCCTCTACTAACCTCATTGTTGACCAACTGTCACGATGCCCACTACGATGGCCCACTATATAAACGCCGCAGCTTCGCCTGAGGCTCCCAGATCTCTAGCTTTCCTCTCTTCGCGCAATAACAAGTGATAACTAGGACTTCCTAGCAGCATAGTAACACCAACGTTTACACCGCACGCATATCGAGGGTATCCTCGTTTGGTCAGCCTTCCCCGACCTGTAACGATCAGAGATGGCGAGCCTTCCTCAGGGTTGGTATCGAGCACAGCAAAAAGGTATCTTCCAAAGTTGTAAGTTTTCCGATTTCCTTTAGGAAATTTGCCCAGTAACCAGAGATGTTCGAAAAAGCCCAAGTGCTGTAGTATTCAGGAAGACCGCTCCCGAAAGAGACCTTATCCTTTCTAACTGTTTGTTGTTTCTCTAGTAACTCCGACATGATTCTATCAAGATTCTGTGGGCTGGCCGTTCTTACAGCTATGACCATTCCCGTCGTTTCGGCAGTGCCTCTGGGAAGAGGTGTCGTTGCAATGGCATGGGCATTCGGAATAATGGGTAATGTACCGAGTGTGTACTTTCTGGCAAACAAACCTGTGCCTTCCAGGGTGGATGATGGCGCCGAGTGGACCCTTTGGAAGATCGCAAGAGGCTGGTCAGACAGCCCCATTCCCCCCAACCCCGGTCCGTCCCAGTTCGCTGATGCCAATTCACAGGGGTCTGACTTTCGGGCCGGTCTTTGCGGTCGTGCTTGTCGTCCTCCTCAGAGCCGGAGTCCCCAGGCAGAAGCGGATGGCATTCGTAGCCCTGGTATTCGCGATGTCCCTCGCGGTCATGCTTTTACTCAACAACGTCTTGAGGGACGAGACGTGGAGCGTCCTCGACATGCTCGCACTGAGCATTTCCTTCTGTGGGGTGACCGCATACATAGTCACCAGCGAGCCCAGGGGCAGGATCGCACGTGGTGGAGACCCTGGCTTGGAAGGCAGTGGTTCTCGGCGTCTACAACCTAATGTGACGTTAAATCAAGCCGTCAATCCTTCTCACATACCCAGAGCCGAACTCGAGGCGGATGGCAACTCCGAGGTTGTGCAGTCGTCTATTCCGAGCGGTGAACAACTAGTCATCGGCGACGGAGAGTCACGCGCATGATGGTATCAGAACCGAAATATGAGGCTCTCTGTGATAGATACGAGCGCGCCGGGGCGATATTTGAGGGTAATCATGTCTCATTCAACTGTGGCAAAGGTTCGTAATGGCTTTGAGAAGAATTTGTGTGCCGCGTTTTACACTACATAGTCCAAACGTCTTCAGACTTTTAATCTATAATATTCTCACTATTCCAAGCGTGTTTGTGTCGAAGGACTGAGTGCAACTTGACTTTATCTCTACGCTAGTTGCAATGGGCGTAGCAGAATCTATGTATGTAACAAGGAAGCGCCGTCATGATCAGCGAGCAGGCCCCGGTTCACAGCCAATGAATTACGACTCCGGCAGGATTATGGAAGTAACCGACCTCAACATGGGAAATGTTTTCTGGAGCAGTGGTCATTCTACAGCGTCCCTGGAAGTCACGCTAGCTTCCGTCATGCTATTTTTCAGTAGGATAACCCCATCAGAGGGTGATACGTGTGGGTAGAGGAGCGTTAGAGGAGCGTCACAGTGGGGACAGGAAACCAGGATGCAAACGCACCCACGTCCATGGTTCAAGGCTCGTGAAGCAAACCCATGGTGGAGGGCGAGGAAATTGGTCTAGTCTGGGAAGTCATAACAGAGCTAACACTCACCAATTGTTGGTATTCTGTCTTGTGTCTTTCTACGCTCAACCGGGACTGGGTTAATGTCCATGATCCCAGTCTTTCCCCTTTCGAAACGGTTGCATATCGGGCTGACTCGGTCTGGCACTACACTCGAGAGCTTTACAGTTGCCGAAGACACCAAGCAAGTAGGACTGCCCATCGAGGTGACATTGTTTTCTAATGCAATGTCGATGACATTGTGTTATCGGGCATGGTAGTTCGGACCTGCTTGGGTCCTGGCTACAAAATGTAGGCAAGAGATATCTCCCGGTTCAGAGGCCCATCATAACCTATCGCCCCTACTTCTCCAACGTATAGTTGCATCCTCCTGGTCTTTCTTAGTTGGGAAGTCAAGCGGGTTGTATACATCCGAAGCTCTCCCGTCACCCATCTACTCAGGAGGTGGCATCCGCCTCTCCCAGAGGTCGCGATATATGCCTGTGTAACGAATCGGTTCCTCCGGGTCGACACGGTGCGTATTGGTCCCGTCTGGAATGATAGGTAGCGGTGAGGCAGAGGTTGGCGTGTCCAGCAACAGGAAATCGAGCAGGGCCTTCTTCTGCGCGTCCGTGAGCAGGCAGATCCGGTATGTGACCTCGTCATGGTCGGGATGGAGATATACGGCGTCCAAGGCGGGGGCCTCGGCGTGGTCGAACAGCACCACACCCCCGAGCACCCTGTTCTCGGCCCAGTAACCAGCTACGTCCGCAACGCCGTTTGGGTACTGGGCATGGTCACAGTACCAGTCATGACAGAAGAGTGTGGCAGGTGGCCCCTCGGGGCGAAAGCGCCACCACGTCGCCGAGCGTCTGCTCTCGTCGTCCCGGGGTGGGGCCCAGGCATGCACCGCCCGCGTGGTCGACGTGGGTGAGGACAGATCCGGGTTGTTCTGGTACAGCAGCACTGCGACCTGGTGCACTGCGACAGCGGCGATCTCAATCAGCGGCGTGCGGAAGGCCCTGGAACCGGGAGAGGAGGCCTGAAAGGCTAACAGGAGCTTATGTTGCGTGTTAGTGATTATGCAGTGGTGAGGGGTCTTTGGGTTTGGGTGGATGATGGGCAGATCGCTCACTGAGTTGTCGAACTGCAGATCCTGAAGATCAAATTCCTCGCGAAATCGGCGAACCGTGTCTAGGGTGCCCGATTTAAGATGTGTATGGTGATAAGCTGGGTGCTCGGGAGACAGAAGGTTGCCATAGACGCCGTCTAGGACTTCTGGGAGGGGCAGGCCATCAACAATCTGGGCGAATGTGGTCTCGGCTATCTCGGTGGATAGGATCTTGCAGATGGCACGTGCGACGGCGTCTCGATGGGGCTCGTCGAGAATCTCTATGCTGGATTTACGGATCTCCATGGTGTTGTGGCCCTAAGAGGCAGGCAAGGATTACGAGGCAAAGGGCGTTGCTAAGTGACTGGAAGTTCAGTCCAGCAGCTGGACAGGAAGAAGACTACAAGAGCCAGATATGTCGGGTCAAGAAGCCCAATTCAGCATCGTAGGGCTGGCGCCGGACGATCGACATCACACGTCAAGTGGCATCCGGTTGGTTTAAGTAGGGCTCGGTTGGTTGTACAAGTGGCCATGAAAAAAAGTAGCTTGTCCCAACTGACCTGGCAGTCGGCTTAAACACATCCAGTCAACAGGCGACCGGCCCACATCCTCTATACCATCATAGCAGCAGCAAGCATTCTTCTCGCCGAGAGACAGGAACATTACACATGTCCGAATTCTGCAGGTGATTCATTTGCACTTCAGCATACAAATAGTAATTCCTGCACACTGTTCTGGTCCTTTGATGCTCAGAACCGTTCCTTGGCGTCGCATATTTCTATGCAAGGCTTCGCTCCAGCAACGGGCTGAAAGGTGACACTGAATACGTTATTCGGACTCCAGAGGGAATTCGATGTTTTTGGATATCAGATGGAGGGTTCAATGCACACCCCGGCATCATATAGAGTTACTCTGTCCTCACAGCCTAATTGTTACAACACCAGATACGAGTAAGAGGTCATGAAAAGATGTGGTTAATATCCAATAGCATCTGTCCATTACAACCCAGACCATACGTTGTGTAGATAGACAATACAGGACATTCTTACAGACGTCGTGCGCGTCTCAGCCCCAGACTTCGCAGAAACCGTGCCGGGAGTCACATTGCCGCCAGCATCGTCAGCATCGCCAGCATTGCGATCGCCTACGTCTTTGTAAACTATAACTTCCAACTTAGACCGCAACAGCCCGAGACCTCCTTACACGATTGAACAAATCCTCCTGGGGAGCCTGACGCGAAGTTGGACCTAATTTACTAGAGTCACTACCCAATCGCTAGTTAGTACAATAATACCTGTACTAAATCCACAGAGGTAGAAGATAGAGACATTGAAGACTACGTCTCCCTACTAGCCTGAGACAAAAGGTAATCTCTGATCAAATTTTACGATACCTCCACTCAGGCTTTGCACCAGACAACATACTCTCAGACCCGGGCAAGGCAGACGTAATTTATAGTCAATGATGGGCCAGTCCCTAGTAGTGACAAGCTCTACCAATGAGCCGGCCATTCCCAAACAACCATAGACAAAACCACGTGCGAGTCTCCCGAGCAGGATCCATGCAAACGTTGGTTGTCTTGCCAGAATTAAGGCACGCCCGGCATCTGCATCTGGTGTCATGGTTCGATTCACACACCTTCGTATTTTATGGCAACACCAGGAACGCTGTGAGCTTCTTCATCATTTCAATGCTCCTTACTACAAGATTAGACTAATCATCTAATGCATTAGCCGCTGCTATAAACGTCCCCACCTATCGCTTTCCGCCGCACTCTGCTCTCTTGATTTTCGTATGTAAGTGGTGGTCATGCCTGCGGTCGTGGTATCAATCGCCTCAGCCAGTGGGAGGGCCATTCAAAAGCAGAAACCAAAATCGAATCCTCCCAATAACATTGACGACAGGGGAAAAATCCACATTCCAGATGTTTCGCCATTTCCCTCGCCAGATTTCGGGGAACTCGTCACTAAGTGAGTCCCATGGTATCGTCCCTTCTATCTGAACCTCGCCCTGCAACGGCCCATAACCTCACCCTGGCAGACCAGCTCGGCGCTGAACTCCGAACCGTCCAGAGTGAGGTAGATGTCAAAGTACACGCGGTAAAACGTGCCTTGCGGCGTATCCATGCGCTCGAAGTCCTTCTCGAGGTTCTTGCGCGAGAGATCCGAGGTGAGTGTGACGACTTCCTTGATGCCTGTAGAAGAAAAAGAGTTAGTATCGTATGCGCCGTGATTATCTGCTTGGCAAGAGCACGAGGAGACTTACGGGGATCCTTAGTGTACTCCGGACAAACGTCATCGTCACACGCATACAGGATGTCTTCGTACATGAGCGTCGCCCCGGGTGCAACTTGGCGGAAGAAGGAAACCTTGACGGGCTCTCCAATCTTGACCTTCTGACCCTTCTGCACGAAAATCTGCCGCGTGAATTTGCATCGATCCTTGCCGTCAAGCGACGGCACACGGTATGCCTCTGGGTGGTAACCCTCCTTGAATGGCTGCAGGGTTGCCATGAGGTAGTGTCTCCGTGCAATACGGTGAGTGATGACACGCTCCGTGATACCCGCAGTGACGGCGCCCTTGACGATGGCCGCAACGGAGTCCATGGGCCGTACGACCTTGGACTGGAATTGCGGGGGCACGTGTAGTTTGATTTGTTGAAAGAGGTACTCGGAGGCACCAAAACCACCGACAACCAAGATGTTCTGCAGTGCGCGGTTCTGCGCCTGGATCGCGATGATCTGGTTGCGCACAAGCTCGAGAATTCGGTTCACCACGGGCTCGAAGCACTGCAGGATCTCCTCGTTCGTGAATGTCATGTAACCCTCCTCGATGCCGGCCTCGGGGAACTCGGCCTCGATGCCCACATCCACGGCCCACTTTTGCCCGTTGTTGCGGAAATCTGCCTTGATCCGGTTCTCAAAGTCCATGATGCACTTGGCGTACACGCGGCCCGCGGTCTTGGATCCATCCGGTAGCTTCATCTTCCTGATCTTGGTCCTCAATATGTTGCTGAAGTTGCGGTTCAAGGCGGTCGAACCGCAAGAGTCACCAGATCCGGCGGTGCATTCGGCCACCGTGAAAGGGTTTTCATCTTCGACCTCGTACGCGATCAAATCGACGGTACCGCCACCACAGTCCACAATGAGCAGGGGCGTCGTGTACCTTGAGGTTGAGGAGACCGGTCTTTGCGCAGAAGAGCGCAGCGGCCTCGGGCTCGGATACCAGCGTCAGTCGGTTGTCGTTCTCGTCTCGGAGGAAGCCGGCCTGGATGGCAGCTGCTCTTGTTGCGGCCTTTCCGGCGTCATTCCAGATGGCAGGCACCGTCAGGTAGTAACGAATGTTGCGCTCCTCTCGGTTAAAGACTTCGCCCAGGGTCTTCTGCAGGGCTGCGCGCATGGCCTGGCGGAGCTTGAACAGGTAGTCTGCGGCGACATCGATCTCGGACTTTCCTGGTGGCAGAGGCGGCAGGTTGATGGGGTCAATATATGTGTTACCGGACAGCATCAGCTGCAGCTTGAACCATTCCACCTTTTGTACTCCTGGCTTCGGGTACCCTGTTGGGGCGAGGGCATCGGCGATATCGGGGCCCCAGCCGACAACTTTTTGGTACTGGTCGTAGTAGAGCACGGTGGGAATCTAGAGGGGGCGCGTCAGCTGCGAGGTAACTCGACGTAAGCACTCTGGCTCGTGGCCTACCTTTTGCTTGGTATAGGAACCGGCACCTGGCCATTCTGTGATGATGTCTTCTTTTGCCTCGTTATTTGTTGCGAATGCAAATGCGACACCGGAGAAAGTCGTGCCCTGGGAGGTTGGGTCAGCGGGACAAGGTCTGCGACATGTCCGTGGACGCCGGGCTCCGTCCTTACAAAATCAATGCCAACAATCAATTGCGCCTTGCTCCTGCTATTACCCTCGACCTCGGCAGCGGGCCTGGTGTATGTGGCGGTCGGGAGGTTCTGGCTCGGGGGAGGGCCGTAGCCTCCGGCACCGCCATTATAGCCTGGCGGGCCTCCGGCGACTGGCGGGCCGCCCTGCATTGGTGGAAGCTGAGGGGGATAACCGGCGACGGGTGGAGCTCCAGTATTGATGGGTGGAGGGCCACCGACCATCTGCGTGGGAGGAGTTCGGGCTTGTCCTGTATAGCGTAGGAGGCTCGGTGTCAGTCAGGAGAGTTAGGTTGATGGTAGTTGTGGTGGTGGTGGGGGCAGCTCGGTGTATGTACACGGATGACTGGGCAAGGTTGGGTTGGGTTTGGTTGGGTTGATGGGCGACGGGATTAATAAGTTGGGGGCTCGGGAGGGGGTCTGGAGGGGGTCTGGAGAGGGTCTGGAGAAGGCTGGAGGGGGAGGGGGAGGGGACGCGAGGGTGGGCGGAGGGGGAGGGGGACCCACCAGGATATCCAGCCGTGTAGCTCGGTGGCCGCTGCCCTTGGCCGGGGTGGTTCATCTGGGGCAGGGACTGCTGCGAGGAATTGGAGGCGATGGAGGGAGCTTGGCCGGCGGGTTGGACGTGGGATGGGGGAGTGCTGTTGTAGGTGGACGATTGGGACGAGCCCTGCGGCGGGGGGGTGCGACTCTGGCTCTGCGATAGGTCTGGCGACTGGATGCTGGCGCTCGATTTGCGTTTCGCAAAGCCAAGGTGTTTCAAGCGGGAATTCAGAGAGCTCATAAGGGAGGAGGAATGCAGGAACGATTTAAAGAGCGGCGGGGGGTGCTGTATTAAATCTTAAAAGGGACGAAACCCAAGGGTGGCACGATTCAGCCGCCCAGCCCAAAGACGGGAGTAGGATGGCGGAAGCGAGGAAGAAGGGGGGGGGGTAGGTGGGTGTGAGGGCGGGCAAGGACAGGCAGGACAGCGCAGGACAAGACAAGACAGGACAAGATAGGACCCAAAGGGAACGAACAGGGTCGGTAGGTAATAAGGCGACGGTAGGTAAGGTAGGTGGTAATATTGTCTGTCCTTGTTCGCTCAGGTTGGCTTAGGCTGCTGCTGCTGCTGCCGCTTCCGCTGCTGGGGCGGGGTTGGGTTGGGTTTTCGGTTTTGGATGTGGGTGGTGAGAGCGGGCGAGAGAATTGAGGGCGTAGGATTGGAGGGGGATGGGGAGAGAGCGAGTGAGAAATTAGCCAGATGCAGGACTGCTTCGCTGCGGGTGCGTTGCCGTTGCCGTTGCAGGTACAGTTGCAGTTGCTGATGCGGGTGCGGTACGGCTGGGCTGACTGCCGCGCCGTGCATGAGGCAGCTGCTTCAGGTTCTCGTGAATGTGCTGTCCGTCTCAGGACCGTGACTCTTGTCTGCCGGTGAACCTTATGGGGCGAGGACTTTTGGTGACTTCTGATGACTGTAGTCAGGCTCAGGCTCAGGCTCAGGCTCAGGCACAGGTCAAGGTTGCCGTCTTCGGTCACAGGGGTATGTATGGATGGCCCTGTCTGCACCCAAAGCAAAAAAAAAAGAGCACGTAGAATTTGGAAATAGAAAAAAAAAAGGAGCAGGCAAGGGCTGCGCAATGGAACAAGTCCTCGGATCCGCAACAAGGACGGGCTGTTGTCCGTCTTTCTTTGCGACGACTTTCCGCTTCCAGCAATGTTCCGGTATGTCGTACGGGTCGGCTTGAATTGTGTTGGCCCGGCCTGGTTGTTGGGTAGATGAAGACCTTGACTGCTTGCTTGGGTGACTTGCAATTGCGTGGGTGAGTGCGGGCGCTTGTGTGCGTCTGTCTGTCCGTCTTGTCTCTTTGGCCGGTGATGGAGATATTGGCAGTTCGTAGCTGGCCCGGCAGGATGGGGTGGATTGGGACTGGACTGGGATCGGAGACGGGGGACCTGAGACCGGGGACTGGGAGTGGACGACTGGAGTGGACGTGGGACGTAGGACTTTGTGTGTGAATAATGCCAACGACAAGGACTAAGCACCAACGAGCCGAGAGCTGAGTCCTACGGTCGGTCTGCCACCAACCGTCCGTACGAAGTACTGCTGTACTGTTCCGGGTCCCACTTGCTCGCAGCACGAGAGTTGCACTGCACCTGCTGTGTGGCTGAGGGAAAGGGACAAGACTTTTTATTTTGACTCCGCCGACATGGGCTTTATTAGGAATACCAGGACGACCAGGACGACCAGGACCACCCTCCAACCCAGCGCTAATACACGAGGAAAATGTTCTCTTCTCGTCTCCCGTCAGCAGCTGTCGAGACAGGGCTGAGCGATCTTGTCTGGGGCCTGAGTCCTACATAGTCTCAGCGTGCATGTTCTCCAGTAGCAGAAGTACACCACATGCAGGTAGGTGTGCTGCATGCTCGGCCGGGACCAGCCAGTCCTTGGGCGGCCAGCTAGGCCGGTGCGGTAGGGTTGCAACGGCGGTGCTAGGGCTGGGCTGCAGTGTAATGTGCAGTTGATTCCTGGTGACCCTGATGAAGGATGAAGGGGAAGATGGGGTCAAGGTTATGCTGCTGCAATTTGCCACGACGTGCTCCCCTCGCACCTGCTCACTTTCCTCGCTCCCTCGTGGTGAGATGACCTCGTGGATGGGACTGTTTCGAGGGCCAATTTCAGGGTGAGCAGCCAAACTCTGTTGGGCATGTGCAGGGTTGCAGTCCTACCGCCGGAAGGATTCTCTGGACTGGACTAATTATGAATCCTGCCATCAACCAGCAGGGCCCTCTCTCCTCTCTGAGATTCTGAGACACCGGGCCGGCCGTCCCTAGAGAGCATCTTTGGGGGCAAGAAGGATAGAACCACTGACCGAATCTCATTCAAATCAAGCTCAGTCGTGGCGGCCATCGACAGGACACAGCAGCGATCTACTGTCCCTAGTAAGCAGACCACCAAGCCGAGCGGGCTCTTGGGTGGGCTACGTCTGGATGCGGGCGGGTGACACAGCACCAACATCAACAAACAAAGGGCTGGTTGTTCAGCCTTGATCGACATTCGCCTCCCTCCTCCAGGGCCGCTTCTAACAGAACAAACAGATGGTCTAGATAGCCATTCTGACACGTTGCTCGGTACAGGGCAGGACCGCCAGTGCAGATAGACAGTGGAGGTGGCGGCCTTTTGGGGGCCAATATGCATCTAGAAGCATCCGAGACTGCTGCTGCATGGCCATGAAGGTATCATATCATTCATCCGTGCTCCGTGGCGTGTGAAATGTCGTCCCGACTTTGGACGGGCAGAGGCCGCGCTGACAACGCCCGAGGTCCGCATTCGATGGAACGTGGCCGCCTGGGCAGTCTGGCACTGGCTGGCTGGCAGGCAGGTGGCAGTTGCTGGGTCGATCATGGGCCCTCTCGATCTGAGATTTGACTCTTTTTCCCTTTGTCCACCCGCGCAAGCCATGCTGTATCGAGACTACAAATCTTCAGCCCAGTCTCAGTCTCCTCAGAAGCCACACCTCGTAATAACGCAGCGGTTGCCGTGAAAATGTTATTCACGAACGTCGTTCATGGCCATCCATGTACACAGCCTGCCAGCCAACGGGCGGTGAGAAGCCTTTCCGAACTTCAACCCGCGCGCCGAGCCGAGCGAACGAGCGCACGTTGAACGACCTACTAGATGACAGACTATGTGGGCTGGGTGGACTACCTAGTGTGTGTGGGCCGAGGACAAGGTAGACCTGTCAACTGGGATCGCCCGAGGGCCGTGCTCTGTCCTGCATGGCATCACAAGTAACCGATCCGACGTCCTGCCCATCCACACACAACAGAAACAGCTTCACCACCACCTATCAGCATCACCATCATCATCGTCATCACATGGAAAGCGAGCCGAATATAGCTCCTGCCGATCCGACACTGCGACTAGCAGCCCGTTCTATTTCCAAAAACCCTCAAGCACCAGCCCAAGCGAGCAACCCCAAACCCTCGCTGCCGTCCGGCAGTGCAACCGATGGGCGCCTGGCAGCGCAGGGGGCGGAGCTGCGGCTGAGCCATGTGGGCACAGCTGAGTCGGCCGGGGCAGGGATCTTGTGCTCCCACCACCGCGGCGCTTAAGCAAGCACGAGCGGCATTTTGGCCAGTCCCACCCTGAAGTAAGCAGGACGCGCAGGATCGCACAGGGAGAAGAAAAAATGAAGCCGCCGAGTCACGGCTGCGCATGTTCTCTGTGTGCCTGTGTCGCGTGGCATTGCAGCTATTCCCCGTGCGACCTCGACCATTAGCTGTCAGGCACTGGTCGTGTCTGACTGTAATTTGGAATTGAATCGACTGACGCCGTTGGATTGACCCCCGCGGCTATTGTCAGTGACTGAGCGTTCCGCTGATTGGTAGCTTGCCGCGAGATGCGCTTGGTGGCCGGCCACCGGTGCACAGCACGACTCCCATTTGCGCGTGTTCTCAACCTCGTACAATCTCTTACTTCTTTTCGTGTCCTCTCTCAAAGCCTGCCCCCATGTTACTGTCTGTAGTCAGCTTGGCTTCCCGACGACAATGTGCGATGCATGTTATTGGACTGCCGTGGGTAATAGTTTGGTAACATTTACTCGATCAAAGCTAGGGAACGACGGCGGGCTGCCTTCTGTAGGGAGATAGATATTCTGAGCTGGCTTGACTTATATCTTGCAACATGCATTATCGGATCTTAGGCAGCATTTTACAAAAGTCAAGCTCAGCTACTGAGCTTTAAATATATGTCCGTCCCAAAAGCCTCTGCGATGAATTGTCAAGCCTGTCAAACTACACATCCGAGCAGGCTCGAAAACCACAGCTCACTTATGGAAGCGCTGTGTCTGATTGACCGTGGAATATGTGTTTCCAGCCCTCATTCATGAGGTGCCCTTCAGTATGTTGTGTCTCTTTCTGATAAAGACATCTCCAGAACAGCACAGCATTCTGGTCTGGAGCTTCCGAGCAACGGCGGTCATCTTCTTGTCTTTACGCGGAACCGGTTATGTAAGCACTATCGATAGAGTCGGGCAGGGTGCCGTCATCGGCAACCACTCACAAAAAAGTTAATGTTCAGCAAAGCGATGCATTGAACGTGCCCCCTGTCAACGATTTGGACAATTCCTCGAGCGCAGTGCGCTCCAACCGTCGCTTGCCATGTCGCGCAGAGCAGTGCGTGGTTCCCCAATACCAATTGATCGTTCATTGTAGACTGATGTCTCGCAGGTTGCGAACGCCTCATGGGCTCGATCCCTCTGCCGGGCGAACAGCCGCGTCTCGGTTCAGAGCGTAATGAGTCAACGGCTCCCACGCACATCTTTCCACCAGCTTTCATACCGCCGCCTTACAAGGACGATACCCTCCGGCCGAGCGACCTTTTCACAAGCCCATGGCGCCGAATTCTCCTTTGCAGATATCCCCACCGAGAAGACAACGCCACAGACCCTGACCGAGAAGATTGTTCAGCGCCATGCTGTCGGTCTCCCGGAGGGAAAGCTCGTTCGGAGCGGCGACTATGTACAGATCGAGCCCTACCGGTGCATGTCCCACGACAACACATGGCCTATCGCGAAGAAGTTCATGTCCATGGGGGCCACCCGTGTCAAGGACCCGAGCCAGATGGTTTTCGCACTCGATCATGACGTGCAGAACAAGACCGAGTCCAACCTGAAGAAATATGAGCAGATTGAGACGTTTGCGAAGAAGCACGGCGTTGTTTTCTTCCCCGCCGGCTACTCGATCGGTCACCAGGTCATGGTGAGTGTGCCAATGGCTTGAAAAGCGGCTGCGGTGTGCTAATACCTCGTCAGGTTGAAGAGCTATTTGTCTGGCCGGGTACCTTGTGTGTGGCGTCAGATAGCCATAGCAATATGTACGGTGGTATCAGTGCTTTGGGAACCGCTTTGGTGAGGACAGATGCCGCATCAATTTGGGCGACCAAGAAGAGCTGGTTCCAAATTCCTCCCGTTGCGCAGGTAACTCTGACAGGGACATTGCCTCCAGGAGTTACCGGCAAAGACGTTATAGTTGCGCTCTGCGGGCTGTTCAACAGCGATGTGCTCAACCATGCGGTTGAGTTTACTGGCTCTGAGGAGACGATGGCCAGTATTTCGGTGGACAACAGACTCACAATCAGCAACATGTCAACTGAGTGGTCTGCGCTTTCTGCAATGGTGTGTCCCTGATCTTGAAACGATTGTGTATTGGAAATATTTTAACGTCACCCGCTGGATAGTTCCCGATAGACCGAACTCTAGAGCGCTGGCTGCGATACAAGGCTACAGAAGCAGCAATGCATGAAGACCGGACGACGAGGCAGCGAATTACGCACGAAAAGATTGACGAGCTCTACGCCAGCCCTGTCCATGCCGACCCCGGAGCGCATTACGCAAAGCAGCTATACCTTAACCTCTCTACCCTGTCGCCTTACATCTCAGGTCCGAACTCCGTCAAGATTTCGACTCCTCTTGGCGAGCTCGCGCCAAAGAAAATCAAGGTCAACAAGGCGTATATCGTGTCCTGCACCAACTCCAGAGCCTCTGATCTTGCTGCAGCCGCAAAGGTCTTCCAGGATGCTGCAAAGGCTAACGGCGGCAAGATCCCTAAAGTCGCAGACGGTGTCAACCTGTACATCGCAGCGGCTTCAGTTCGTGAGCAGGAGATCGCCGAAGACCAAGGCAACTGGCAGACTTTGCTCGAAGCCGGGGCTATCCCACTCCCAGCCTCGTGTGGGCCTTGTATCGGACTGGGGACTGGCCTTTTGGAGCCCGGCGAGGTCGGAATTTCCGCCTCGAACCGCAACTTCAAGGGGCGCATGGGCTCGCGAGATGCCCTCGCGTACCTTGCCAGTCCTGAAGTTGTAGCCGCCAGCGCTCTCAACGGCGTCATCTCGGGCACAGGCGAATATGAGGTTCCAGAAAACTACTCCGGCGTGGAATACGGATACGGTACTGGTCGACCTGCGACAACGGAAAGCGAGCTTAGCAATGCTCTGGAGCAGCTCGAGTCACTCATCGACCGGGTTGAGTCCTCGGTTGGTGATGACACTGCGAAGGCCACTACTCAGATCCTCCCGGGCTTCCCAGAGAAAATCACCGGCGAGATCGTGTTCTGCGATGCCGACAACCTCGACACTGACAACATCTACCCCGGCAAGTACACATACCAGGACGACATCACCAAAGAGGGCATGGCAGAAGTCTGCATGTCGAACTATGATCCGGATTTCGGGTCGGTCGCGAAGCCAAATGATATCCTCGTCTCAGGATTCAACTTTGGCTGCGGGTCCTCAAGAGAGCAAGCCGCGACGGCAATCCTGGCCAAGAGCATCCCGCTCGTCGTGGCGGGCAGCTTCGGAAACATCTTCTCGCGGAACAGCATCAACAACGCGCTCCTGGGCCTGGAGGTCCCGCGCCTCATCGAGCGACTCCGCGCCACTTTCACCCGCTCGGACAAGACGCCCACCCGACGGACGGGTTGGACGCTGACGTGGGATGTCGCCCAGAGCACCGTCGAGGTGCAGGAGGGCGAGAACGGTGACCGCTGGGAGGAGAAGGTCGGTGAGTTTGCGGCCAACTTGCAGGATATTGTTGCGAAGGGTGGCTTGACGGAGTGGACCAAGCACGAGATCTCACAGTCCGAGTCATAGATACCTTTCAAAACGGCGCGATGTTAAAACTCGGTACGAAACAATCTGTAGTATATAAAGAAATAGAAATACCTGCAATCTCGTGAGCCACGTCCGTCAACAACTTGAGCATGCCACAGCTGTACCGAGGTTGCTCATCAAGAAACAGATCGTGACAGATGGTGAGCAGTCAGGTATCTTCTTCTGGGGCAAATAACGAGAATAGACTGAACAAGCCAGTCTAGACAATCCCTGACTAGCAGACATAGAGATGAGCATGAGCAGTGATCACGAAATGTGCGGGACGTGATTGAGTTTCTTCAGGCATTGTTGATCGAAGCGGCTAGTCAAAGAAGACGTCGTATGTGCACACAATTCAAGAGGCTAAGGGTTAATTGAAAAGGCCCCAGAGGCGCCCATTGTGACGGCACGGCGCTTATATACTGCTGGGTGTACTTCCAAGGGATTGGAAATTACTGGTACTTTGGCCGAGCGGTCTATTATGCCAGCACTTAATAGATTCGTCTCACCCATGATGTAACTCAACTGGGTTCATGAGGGCTGATATGTAGGAGAAAAGTAGGGAAGAAAAATGGTGGAGGCTCAAAGAAGTAGTAGCATACGAGGTTCCAGATGAACAATCCATACACGTTCACTTAGAAATGGGTTGGAGCAGCGCAAAGAAAAGAGAGAAAGAGGACATTGCGTTTACATTTAGAGCGCGGGACAACGATATGCGCTTATGTCTGTCCTTTCCTATAGGTCTGAATTACTTCTAAACACAAACGACTTATAGAGCTAAGAAAAGGCGTCGACAAGAGTCAACTAAGAGCTTTGAATTGGCATGATCTGATCCTGAGGCTCCGTGTCCAATAGAATCGTCACTCGGTGCAACGTCCAAATTGAGGCCGACGTTCTCTCCGGATCGTCCCCTACACTGCACGAACAAGACTAGCGCACAGCTCAGATTGACTTTGCTTGGGCCCTCGCTTCCTGGCCTGCTACATTCGTTTCCGAAACAACTAGGTTATCTGTGGCTGGATGTGTAAAGCTTTCATACCGAGTATTGTGACACCATGTCAAGCGGTTGTGAACACGAATCGATCTCGAGTCTGGGGCTTTGCTGCCACAAGTTGTCCTTCTGCCTATCTGTGCTCTGTGGGACGAGACCTCTCAAGTCTTATGAAGAGTATGAACTTTTCAATTCACAGCTTGGGAGGACTGGCCCCAATATCCCGGGGCTTAATTATCTAGGTACATATGGATCGCATATTTGAACCAAGATCGTCTCAAGTCAGGGCCGAAGGATAACTTGCTGTGGTGCTATTTTCCTTGTACGACACAGTAACATAACGTCTATAGACTTCTGATGGAATTTCTAGAGCCACTGTCATTTGGTAGTATTGTTTTCTACTGAGAGAATTTTATTTGTTTTGTGTCTTTCCTCAAAGACAATTTGTTCAAGGGCGCATGTCAAGAACAGCAGCTGTGCCTTACGTTATAAGTAATAGGTCCCTCGTTGCCTTGGAATAGTTTGATCGGTCTCAACCATGTGGTGCTTTTTGACCATGAGCTTAATTACGCACCTGCACTGAGACGGTACTGGCAATTCCGCAATCATACATTGGAGTGAATGCACGCAATAAAGAGTCTCACATCGTCTTCTTGTCAAACCACCCTCAAATGAGCCTCAGGTCACACACCCAAAGACAAAGTGGTAAGACAATTGTCCCCGTCCCCGCCTCGCACGATTGGGTTGACTAGGATCACAGCTACTAAGAGGAACAAAGGAGTTGGAACCACGGCAGCACGCTCCGGTTGGCGGAGGATGTCCAGCACTCAAGCGAGTCTTGCAGTAAACTCTGGACCCTCCTTACATTTGGGTGCAAGACGATAGGACAGATTATAAGCCTGGTGGCAAGAAGCTCTTTCATTTTCAAAAAGCTCAGATATCAAAATGATGGATGTTACGAGAAAGTGCGTGAGACCCTCAAAAGGGACAAGAATCCTTGACCTGGTACCTTCACCCAGCTTGATGAAGTATACTTAGCCGCAATCATTTGCCCTGGTGGGAACTCGACAACTCCCCAAGGAAGGCTTTAATGACAAATGTGTACCGGGAATGCGACACTCGATTTAATTTCTTGAGAAAATCAACTCCCCTCAACACCGAACCTCGCGCCATTCTTGCATGCCAAGGCTTGACATAGTCTTGGAAGATGCCTTGTGTTGGCCGGTTTTGGCGTCGGGGAGGACGCCCATCATTTGCACAAGACAATTGAAGCCCGGTCATAGAGATGAGGATTGTCGCTTTTTTGTCGAGCTGCATGGTATGTGCGACCGAACTGTCGTATTCTGCGGGTTTGAGACTTAAGGCACCGGGGCTGATCGTTGGAAGAAATTTGGTCGTGCTTCTCTTTGCCCTCCTTGGCAGACGAGACTACCACTCGGCATCCTACTCCGGATGTCTCCCAGGGGCGTTAAGCAACACAGCAAATGTGATAGAAGACATTCTGCGAAGACCAGCCGGCCTGCTGACTGCGTAAGTGGCTGCCATCTAATCGTGGTTCACGCCCGTCCTAGACGTTGAGCAGACACCATCCCGCCGGGGTCGTTGTTGGTCGCGCTGCTGAAAAGCAAGGTAAGCGCATGGGATCCGGGAAAGACGATATTAATCCAAACCGGTCTTGATGTTGGCATTTGGTGGTCAAGAGGTGCACATGTGCAGGGAGGGATGTTCAGAGCCGACTGATGACAGGTCCTCTCCCATTTCTTTCTTCCTGTAGTATACGATCCGTGTGCTAGACATTGCCGTCAACTCGCGGAGAATTCGAACTCGTGCACCTCTCAGGGTGTCTCCTTTCATCTAGCAGCACCTTGTCCAAGACGTTGCTGTGCCTTACAGAGAGAGCAGTGACCTCGGTCGTTCCCCAGCCCGACGTACGACCAGCACGTCTCTGTGATAGAGGTCCTTTCTCTGCTCGACTGCGCTAGGAATCCTGGATCATCATAGCCTTAGATGCTACGAGGAGAAGGAGCTGTGAATGCCGGATGCACACTAGCTTGATTGTTTCCAGAGTACAAGTGTTTCATCACGCACTTGGGGGTGCATTGCTGGATGCAAGTATTAGCGCTGGTCTCGACAACCACGAGTGATTAGTAGTGCGCGCTGGGAATTAGCCACAAGTAGCAAGCCGTTTGAAGAAACGTTGCAGGTCCGGGGAATGGCACGACGTGAATGGCTTCATGGCATTCGTCCGGACTCTTTGCGTGGCACGGACCCAGCAAGGGTGGAGAAGTGCGAGGACAGCATAAACGAGGGTAAGAGAAGACAAATAAGTAGTCTAATGTGTGCTGTGCAATTAATTTGTATTACTTACAATAGGTGGTGGTCGCGTGACTTTTCTTCGCCGCCGAAACAATTCCCCCCCCCCCTTGGTTTTGGAGTCTGGGGCGTCGTCGCGCCTAGAGTCTTTGCAGTCCTGAGCTCCGGGGGCCCCAGGCCCTTGATGGCCCTTGCTTGCCATCTGGATCGGGTGTCGGTGGCGCCTTCCTCTCGTGAGGTTCGTGTCCTGTGACTGGCAAGTGCTTTTCCTGTCGTGCTGGACCTCATAATCAAGACCCGGGAGCAAGGCGTCAAAAGTCTGCACACCTGTCCTTCTTCGGGCAACGTCCGCCCACGACCTGATGCCATCGATTCGGTCCTTTCTCTGTCCTTAGGCCCCCACATCACCTGGTTCCGATCCCCAGAGGCGCTCCCTTTGCATCGACGTGCGAGAGCCTCATCTGCCAGGACACACTGCGCCAGCCAACGAGTTTGGCATTGTACTTGTCAGGAGTTCGGAGTCTCGTGCGGCCCTGGCCAATTGAGCAAACGTGGTCACGACAGTGAGTGGGCTTCTTGAGTGACAGGTCATCGCATCGGAAAGGCCCAAGACTCGCATCGGACAGGACACGCCGGGGAAACACACTGGCTAGGCCCTGTCTCGACTCATTCCCAGTGGCTCCCTCTTCTCCACGGGCACCCACGATTTCCTCCACGACTGCCGCCATTCCACCACAATTTCCCCGACGAGCTCTCATCACCCCATGGAAGCCCACTGCTGAATTCTGTGGGTAGGCCTAGCAGCTCTGCAACTGTGGGTACGACGGCCGTACTACGTCAGTCGGCCCCGGCCGCTGCCAATTCTCGGCGCGAGGTTCCCTGGAAGGACGCCCATCGCCGAATCGATCAATCGCCGTGCTCTGTGTGTGTGGTGTCCCAGCCTGCTGGGCGAACCGGCAAAGTGGATGTGCTGCCGTACTACGACCACGAGGCAGTCCGGCATCAGATCGCTAAAGCACCACCTGCAGCCCAAGCTCGAGGCATTGCATGAGGCGAGCAAGTGACATTGGCTTCCATTGGGCTCGCTCTTTCTAGCGGCGCCCGAGGAAACAAACGATTGACACGGCGATACCACCTAGCAATAGATATCGCGCAGACATCACTGAGGCTCCTGACCGCCCAGCAATCAGGGCGCTCGCTACTCCACCGTTTCCCTCGTTGCTGTCTGCCTCCCCAGCCCCAACCATCCAATCTCTGTGTTGTACCAGCACAATTTCTCGCTGGTCTGGACTCGTCCCTTCCCGTCCAGCTCGACTGAATTCCCTCGAGTCGCCCGCAAACAAGCAGCAGGGGTTGCGCAGATATTGGTCGCCCATGATCTCATTCCAGGTCTCGCCTGCAGCATATCCGGCCCTTTTTTCTCGCTCCACTGCAATCGCCCCGAGTCTCCGCCAGCCGCCGAGGCCACAGGCTTGTTGCTGGCAACTGGCAGCTGCTTGCCCGGAGAGCTTTTGTCTTGGATTGACCTCCGAGGTACCTCTCTCTCACCACCAACGGTGTGCCCTTCCAGCTGGGACACCAGGATCGTCCACCTGCCCCGGCTGTTCATGTGCATGGCTGGATCTCCTGCATACGAGGAGGAAGATTGACAGAGGTGTTTGAAAGCTTAGGCACGGCCAGGCTCCCGCGGCTGAGGAATCCCAGCGGCAGGCTCTACGTCACTGGGATTGGACATTCCGCCCTCTCGGTCGCGAGCTCTTGTGCAACGGCCGCCAAGCTGGAGAGGCCATCCTCGCACGGCAGCGCCTCCTGGCGTGCCATTGACGACTCGACCGCAACCGCTGGCGACTCAGACTCTGATTTCCGGAAGAACAAAAGCCAGGGCCACACTCGGAAGCCTTGTGCGTCCTCGTCACCCCTCGGCTTCTCGACCCTCAGGCCGATATATCTCTGCTGGGCCTTATTCCCAGTGCTAATCTTAGTAAGTCTCCTCCAGGTCACTTGGAGGTCACGGCCGATGGGCCCCCAACCAGGCCAGCTTGGCTTTTTTAGCCGCACTCCCCAGAAAGTCCAAACTGCGCCTGCGCATGTGCCCCGCACAATCTCACGACTCTCCCCATTCCGTCGCCTGTCGTCTGGAAGCTAGCTAACCCTGCTCCCTGCTGCTAGCTCCTGCAGCTGGTACTTCGTGACGCCAAGCTGCTCTATTCCTCTCATATAATAGCTCCCTTCCCTCTCTTCCGTCCCTCCTACTCCCCTCTCGCCCAAATATCTCAAGAGCCTGTGTGCGAGAACCCTCAAGTCTTTCCTACTTCAGCTCCCATATCCATACCTCTCACCATGGGGCTCACGGCAGAAACCAACCGCGTCGTGCAGGAGTTCGACCTCAACGATGCCGACCTCAACAAGGGCGTCACTGAGTTCCTCAGCCAGATGGGTGCGTCCACTCCAGTCCTCACTGTTCCATTGATTGACAGACAACTCATGCCTCTTCAGACCAGGGCCTCGAGAGGGACGGCACCAGCTTGAGTCAGATTCCTACCTACGTCACTGGCGTCCCTAACGGCACCGAGAAGGTAAGCATTGCACGTCTCCTTTGCGCCTCGGGGGCCACAGCTTATTTTACCCACGCAGGGCCTCTACCTCGCCGTCGATCTAGGTGGAACGAACTTTCGGGTCTGCTCCATCCATCTGAATGGCGACACAACATTCAACCTTACTTACTCAAAAGTCGCCATACCCAAGGAGCTCATGACAGCCAAGACAGCCCAACAGCTGTTTGGCTTCCTGGCAAAGCAGATCGAGGTCTTCCTCCGCACACACCACAGCGAGCACTTTGAGCACCGGCTAAGGAGACGCTTCACATTCAGCAACCCCGAGGGCTTCAAGGATGAGGAAGTGTTCCGTCTTGGCTTCACATTCAGCTTCCCCGTTCAACAAATCGGCATCAATAAGGGCATTCTGATGCGCTGGACAAAGGGGTTCGATATCGCCGACGCGGTGGGCAAGGATGTTTGCCAACTGCTGCAGACTGAGATTGACAAGCTCGGGCTGCCAGTCAAGGTCGCCGCGCTCGTCAACGACACCGTGGGAACACTGATGGCTCGCTCGTACACATCACCTGGCAAGAAGGGCACTGTTCTGGGAGCAATTTTCGGCACCGGCACCAACGGAGCATACGTGGAGAAGCTCTCAAATGTGAAGAAGCCCGTGCAGGGTGCCTTTGACAGAACCACAGGAGATATGATCATCAACACCGAGTGGGGTTCTTTCGACAACCAACTGAATGTACTTCCCAACACGACATGGGACAAGCAATTGGACAAGGACAGCATCAACCCGGGGATTCAAATGTTCGAGAAGCGTGTTTCTGGCATGTTCCTGGGCGAAATTTTGCGTCTGGCCGTTGTCGACCTGCTGAAGAATGAGAACGTGCAGCTCTTCAAGGACGAGAACTCCAGCAAGAACGACTGGCGGTCGACAACAACCGTCGCTCAAGAATCTGGCATTTTCAAGCAATGGGGAGTTGACACAGCCATCATGTCTGTTGCAGCCGCAGACAACACCCCCGACCTCGGTACTTTGCGTCAGGCCCTGGAGGACCAGCTCCTCGTGTACAGCCCCTCCTTGGAGGACGCGCAGGCGTTCAAGTCTATCGCCGAGTCCGTCGGCCGGCGCGCTGCCCGTCTGTCGGCCATCAGCATCGCTGCTATTGTCCTGAAGACTGGCAAGCTGACCGATCCGGAATGGGAGGGCGAGCCGATCGACGTAGGAGTGGACGGCAGTCTCGTCGAGCACTACCCATACTTCCGCGACATGATTTACGAGGCGTTCCAAGCCATTGAGGGCATCGGCGAGGAAGGCGCCAATAAGATCCGCATCGGCATTGCGAAGGACGGGTCTGGCGTCGGTGCTGCGCTCATTGCTCTCGTCGCGACAGGCGAGGAGAAGACCCAACCCACACCTGACTTCCTGGAAGAGGTAAGATCCACCCTGTCAGATCGAGAGGCTGCTTCCGACAAGCCTCTCGCCCCCCTTCCCGTCGCATTCGAGGCCCCCGTATCCTAACTCTCGTTGTGCTCGCAGCAACGTGTTTCTTCATTCTCTATTCCTGCAATCCGGTGGCACTTGCGCAAGGTCCAGCCGTGGCAGTGGGCCGGACTGGGACTGATCGCAGGGCTCGTGGCGATCAGGAAGAAGGAGTTCTTTGCGGGTCTTTGGGGGCGTTTCGTGGCTCGGAACTAATCTGGGCAGGCATGAGTGGCGTGCATTGTAGGCAGGACTTGCGTCCTGTCCACACCCTTTATTACTGTATATGATATGACTATGGTTGGGCATTCCATCGGAAAGCGGGTTTTCTGGTTTGGTTTGGCTTAGGCAATGCTTGCAACTGCAACTGGCACTTTTGGTCGGGATATTTTCATGGTTTCACGCCGGAGTTCATCCAGAATTGATCAATTGTCGGAACTTTTGTCCGTCTGTGCGTCGTCTCTGAGTCCCGTTGAGTTTTGACTTGGACCCCTGCTACTGCCCTGCTGATCCTGACGGGCGATTTACCGAATCTCATGACGCTTTATCGCGCACTGTGGTAAATGCCTCGTGTGTTACGCAAGAGTCGGTAGCTAAATGCATGACGAGGAAGGTGTTCCAGCGTCGGAGAACACAACACATAAGAAGCTCCGATGCGGAATCTCGTCCCCTGCACAAGGAAGCTTCAAGTTTTCTGCTGCTCAAGCGATAACCTCTATTGTGTAAAACATGCATCTTCCCTCACGGCTATAATGAGCGCCCGCGTGTTGCCCTTGCAGTGTCTAAAAATGCCTCTATCAGCAAAATGCTTCTGCGGTACCTGGGCATGCTTGAATAGACAGAGACCAGAATCCCAACACCGCCCGCTGTACCCTATAAGACCCTCCCAGTGTTGTCCTTTTGTCCGCCGTCTCTATGCTACCACTTATAAACGCCATCCGTCTGTAACCCCTCAGGGGACCAGTTCAGTTCCGCCACCTTCAAAAGACAAACCGCCGGCCGGGTAGAATCAGCTCCCGAACGCAGCGGTGGGATACGCCCTGTCCTTCTTCTTGCGCCCCGCCGTCGAGCTGCTCCTCGAGCTCGAGCCCGACCCCGTCGGCGGGGAGAGGAGGTCCTTGGTCCGGGAGGTGGTGCGCGCCGCGGCGACCATATCCTCGGGCAGGTCGTTCCACTCCATATCCGGCCGCTTGTTCTGGAAGGACAGAGATGACCCTGGCGGGCCGGGGCGAGCGGCTGGCGGCGGGCCGTTCGCAGCCGACGGTGGCGGTGTCGGCACGCCGCCCGCAGGAGAGAACCCGGGTAGGTTCACGGCCGCGGCGGTGACGCTCGCCGGGACGGCAGAGGGCTGGTGGTGTGCGGCATGGCCATTTGTGGCGGCCCACGCGCGCTGGCCGCCGGCCTCGTCCCCCAACCCCAATGGCAGCACCCGCCGCTTCATGACCCACGCGCTGCCCGGCTGCAGCTTGAAGTAGTAGTTCTCGAGCCTGGCGTCCCTCTCGAAGCCCCTCCTCGCGTACCACTCGAGCGCGTCGTGGTTCTCGGTCCAGACGTGGGCGTAGACCCAGCCGATGTTGAGCCCGTTGCCGCGCGCGTCGGCGGCGACTGCGCGCACGGCGTCGAAGATGCCCTCGACGGCGGCGGCGGCCAGCCCCAGGCCGCGGTAGGGCGCGAGCACGCCGAGGCTCTGGACGTAGAGGACGCGGGAGTCCGGGGGGCTCACGCGGGCGTGGGGCGCGGCGGGCCAGGTCGGGCGAAAAGGCGCCCGTGGCCGGGTCGAAGGGGCTGGGCTCCAGGCGGCAGACGATGCCGCCGACGACCTTGGGCGCTGCCGGGGCAGCGAGGCCTGGGCCATCTGCGCCGTCGCTGAAGAGGATGGCGCGGCTGAAGAGGCCCGACTGCGCCGGGTCGAGGATGGCCTTGTAGAAGCTGTCGGTGTAGTTGACGGGCAGGAGAAGGGCGTTTATGCGGCGCAGGGCGGGGATGTGGGCGTCCGTCACGGGGACGATGGTCGCGGAGGGGTGTGGGGAGGGCGTCGAGGGCGGCAGGGCGGTGACTGGTGAGGCTAAGATCACGGGTGCGACGGGCTGTGGTGGGGGTGGCGGAGGAGGAGGAACAGGCGAAGGAATTTGTTGTAGTGGCTGCTGCTGCTGGTGGGCCTGTGATATTGGAGGGGCAGCATGTTTCGGCGGCTGCTGCTTGTTGTTGGGCTGGAAGAAGGAGAGGATCGAGGGCTGTTGTGCACGCGACATGGCTGGCTGAGGGACGGAGGCCGAAATCGAGGGCGCTGTCGAGGGCGAGGGCTGGGTTGTCGTTGAGGGGTGGTGAATTGGTCGGGTCATGCGGCTGTGAGAGGCATGGCAGGGTGTTGTGGGCGGTGTCACGTTTTCATGGGCTAGGTGGAAGTCGAGTTGAGGATGGGATTGGGATCAAAGAATGAAAGTAACTCTGTTGACAGGCGAGGCATGTCCATCTAGACTTGGTCGCATTCCTATTTGCATGTGTTCATGTCACCCAAAGCTGGTTGCAGCACACTGCAGCAAATCAGGGGCCCGGGCCACCACCAACTGCCCAAAGGGTTCCAGACCGTGGGGCCGGCTGCTTCCCGACGCTACGGGCCAGCTGGGGGCGCTACGTACCTGGGTACCTGTAGGTAATCTGTGGTACACCAGGAGGTAGGGAAAAGGAGAGGGGTGAATCGGTTTTGGTGCGGTTGATACCTTTCCCTACTTAGCAACTTGGATAGGTCTGTTCTACATATTTCATTCGATGATTCAGTAGTGGAGTTGGAATAGTTGCACGTACATTTCATCTTGCAAAAGGCTGGCTATAGTTCATGTAGACATTTATTACATGATGTGTATAATGATTCGTGACGTGGTGGCTCCTACACGAAGGAACTTGATACTGTAAGAGTGGTCTATATTTCTGTACATATCCACGGGTTCTCCTTCCCAAAAACCACCATCTCTGCGCTAGCTGGGCTTGGGGACAGAGCAAAGCCGATGCTTTCTCCAATCTCACTTGCATCAATCAGTCCCATCAGTCACGCTCTCGCTTTCGCTTGCTCACCACTCAGCCTTACTATTACCCACTCCAAGTTCAAGACCGTCTGTCCACGCTGGCCTTGCACCATCGCCCGCCCTCCTGCTCAACACAAAGGAGCCCAGCCATCTAGCATTCTTGTTCATCCATCTTTTCATCGACCTGCAGACAGGTCTAGGACCTGCTGAGCATCAAGACGGCCTCGTCAACGCTGCTGCTTGCCTCCGTCTGTCACGGCACCGTCGCCCTCAGCCCACCAGTGAGTGGGCAGTGCACCAGAGTTCGGCCCCGAGTGCCGACTCCAGCGCCCCCTGTACCACAGCAGTTACCGCAAAGGGACCAGTACCCTGCAGTAGCCTATCTGCCTACCACAGCACTGTGCTCTGCTTACTGCCCACCTGCCTGCAACCCGTTGGTTTGTGCTGCCCCCGTCATCCCAGGCCCGGCGTCGCAGGTCGTCAGCCTTCCCGAAATCCAAAAATTAATTGATCAATTCCCATCGCCTCTTACACTCTTACACACATACACCCTTCCACATCACTCCTTTCTTCTCCTCCTCCCCTTCTTTCCCCACCTCCCGCTCCCCTCCTCCCTCTCAATATGGACGAGGTCAAGCTGGAGAGCCTCTCTGGCAGGGCAGGAATCATCAAGGCCGGCCAGGATTCCGACGCCCTGGATCGAATTGTAAGTGTTAAACTGGCCCACCTGCAGCAGGACTGGCGATGCTGCACCCGTCTCCTGCGCAGTGCTCGCCCTCGGCACCTCCTTTTGCCCGGCTTGGATTGACCTTTATTCAGTCACATCAGGTCCTCGATGACGTCCTTTACAATGTCATCTTCGATCTCGTTCTCGAAGTCCACCGCGAAGAGAAGACTCGCCGAGCCAACACCGCTGCCATCCGTGTAGAGAAACTGGCCGCCGACGCTGCAGACGCCTCAGATCTAGAAACCAAGCCCGACGTACGAACAGAGACCGATGCTGCCATATACGAGGACGGTAAGGTCTTACTCAAAGGCAACCCGTTGCAGACCACAAGGGACATCCTGTGCCCACGCTGCCACCTCCCTCGCCTGCTGCACCCCACCGACGGCAGGGGTGCTCAGAAAGCAGACCCGAGTATCATATACTGCAAGAAGCACCCTTACATCGATAAGCCTGGCTACGACATCTACGGCCAGACATGGGTAGCCCCGGGCCCGGGCAGGGGCAAGAAAAAGAAGGACATGGAGAAGAAGCTCGATGCTAGTGTAGACGGCACCGTCACGCCCACGTCCGACGGCCAACGGCCCCCCAACGTGCTCTCCTTCCCCTCTGCGACCTGTAGCAAGTGTAAACGGTGCATTCTGGTCACCCGTTTGAACAACCACATGGGAGCATGTATCGGCAACAGCGGCAGGAACGCAAGTCGTGTGGCCTCGCAAAAGATCACTAATGGTGGTAATGGTGATAACACCCCTCCGTCCAGCCAGAAGGGCACCCCAGTCAATGGCTCTCGGGCGGGCAGCCCTAGGAAGCGCGATGCCGACGAACTCGACGAGGACCAGGAGTCAGACACAACCAACCCTAAGAAGAAGAGTAAGAAGCTTAAGGGCCCGACCACTAAGATTCTGTTGAAGAACAAGCCCAAGAAGGAGAAGGAGAAGGTCAAGACCAGCTCGTTCCTGAGTGTCGAGTCCAAGGTCGACGATGAGGACGACGAGGATGATAAGAAATCAACCGTCCAAGTCGTGCCCAAGAAACCCACGTCAAAGCAGCCCTCACCCGCCAAGAAACTGAAGCTCGGGACGTCAAAACCACCTTCTGCATCGCCCAAACCAAAGAACGGCAGCCAGGCAGATGGGGGCTACGAATCTTCAGACACACTCTCGGACCCACCACACGCATAAAGGGTCCAGACTGTGGGAGGAGAGCTTATTCTCGTGGGGGTTGGAAGCTCCCGGGTGGTGAGGCTTGCTTTTTGTTTTTCTGTTCCAAGTCGCATTTCGCATTTCATGGTGTCGGCCGGTCATCATTGGAGGTTCCAAGAGTAAACTTCAGCCTTGGATGGTTTTGCATATGGTGTGGAGGGTGGCGTCATTCGATGCAAATTATTGCTGGCGTTTTCAGGTTGACAGTTCTGTCGAGAGAGGGAGGGAGAGACAAGGAGACAGACTTTTGTGGTAGAGAGTTTGGTGGTGAAGCGAGAGTCAAAGGCGTGGTGTTGCGGTAACCTTAGGCAAAGAATAAAGGTTCTGCACCCATTAATCTGTCCCATGGAGATGTGCCTCTTTTCGACAGTCTGCTGGACGAATCCCTGGGACTTGTCCAATGAATGCCATCTGGTGCTTGAGCACACGCCTGACAGTGTCTCCCGTGTGTTCCGGTGCAAGTGCGGTTGTCTGATGCCACATAGGAATCTGTGGAAGGCGCATGTCGTGCACCAGTTCACCAGCAACTGTTTTACCACAGACTGAATGGCCATATTTACTGCCTTGAGAATCACTGCTGGCTCAGATTCACTCGGGGAACGGCCACTTAGTGAACGTGACTCCCTGGAGGGCAACGTAAACCGGCCATGGCATTTTGTGATGAACCTGTTCAAGGCAACAATTCATAGAGGACAAGATTCGTCTGCTCGTTGGGCGTACTGAATTCTGCCTCGAGACGTAAACGGCAGCCATGACAGATATTATTTGACTGTGCTTGACGATCAGAGAGGATTACCCCCCGCCGCCACAACCTGGTGGTGTGGGCGTCCGGCGCGGCTGACCCCATGGGTGTGACTAATTAGAGCTCTGTTGTGAGCTCAGGAGCCTGTGTACAGACCCAGGCATCCTCGAAACTAGCACCAGGTATCAAGGGCCGGAGAGCCTGGCATACATAGAAATGGGCGAGATAGATGGACTCTTTACGGGGCATGGTCCCTTCCCTTGCGGTGTCTCCTCCGCCCAGCTGATGCGCCTCGTGTTTTTGTATGTTCACCTCCCGCCTCACGGGCAGGTCAGCCCTTTACGCCAATGCCCGTAAGTACAAACCGAGAGAAGTGCGTCGTCCCAACTGTGGAAACGGCTCCGACCACCCTCGTGCAGCCTGGTCATACCTACATCAGTCGTCCTCGGCCCCCTCCAAGACCCTGGCGCGCACAATCTTGACCTCCTGGACAGGCCTGTCCTCAGAGTCGGTCTGGACGAGTCCGAGGCGGCGCACGACGCCCATGCCGGCCTTGACGCGGCCAAAGATCGTGTGTTTGCCGTCGAGCCAGGGCGCGGGCGCGAGCGTGACGAAGAACTGGCTGCCGTTGGTGTCGGGCCCGGCGTTGGCCATGCTCAGGATCCCCGCGCCCGTGTGCTTGAGCTGGAGGGGCTTGGCGATCTCGTCGGCGAACTTGTCGCCGTAGATGGAGGTGCCGCCGCGGCCCGTCCCCGTCGGGTCGCCGCCCTGCACCATGAAGCCCGGGATGATGCGGTGGAAGACCGTCTCGTCGTAGTAGCCGCGCCGCGTCAGGGTCTCGAAGTTGGTGCACGTCTTGGGCGCGTGGGACGTGTACAGCTCGACGGTTATTGTGCCCTGCGCGCGGGGGGAAGAAAGTTGTGGTAAGCTTGGGAGTTGCAGCGGCCGGGGGCAGGTGGGCGGTCTCTTGTGTGTGTGTATGCTTACCATGGAGGTGTCCAGGGCTACCTCTTTTGCCATCTTGTCTATTGGCGCCCAAGCGACGAGCTGGCTAGGTGAGGTGGGCCGTCAAAGATCGGGTTCGGTGGTTGAGGAGGCGTGGGGAGGCTGGACAGGAGCTGTGGAATTCAAGGGCAAGGCTGAAATTTGGAGGGGCTTGTTCCCTGTTTGATGACGCCACTGGGGAGCTTTTACTGGATCCTAGGCGACCACCTCAGCACTTCACCCCTAGTGCAAGGCTGGGCCAGCTTCCTCTAACCGCCACAGACAATTGGATTGGGCAGGCAGACAGCGGTGACTCTTTGACAAGCATTCATGCCCCCACCGCAAACGTTCTTTGTGAGCTTCACTCTCTAACTCAAACTTGGGTCACTTTCAGAACAAGATAACCTGAGTAAGACCTTCAACCAACATGCTTGCAGTCATTCGGAATCAGCGTCTTCGCTAGGCTGTCGTCTGCAAAGGCCACCTCATCCTCAGACAAGTCCTTTGAACATTGATTAGGCCTCAACCTGTCAACTCAGTCTGGGTCCCTGAGCAGCAGAATAACTGCACCACGCCTCGCATTCAGGCACTTGCCCTCCATCTCAGAGCAGCTTCGCTTATCCAGGCAGACGTTTCACCCTTTGAGAGACTGTCTGGACACGCCCGTCTTTAAATATATGCCCATCGGCTAGGAACAGACTTCAAAACAATTCAAAACAACATCGGCAAATAATTTCCGCATTTCAGTCAACGTACCACTCACACATCACATTATTATGGCTGAGGCAGACCACACCGCCATGTCGGCCGCTACGGCGACACCGTCTGCCGTCCCAGACGAGCACGCGATCCAGCCCATCCCAACGGTGTGGGATATGGTTGTTGCTAAGGACTTCTTTTCCATCGAAGTCAAGATGGTCCTCAGCGCCATTCTAATCATCTATGTCGGTGCACACGCCTCACTTCGCAGACCTCCATCCGCGGCACCGCCCACCAAGCTGAAGAGGAAGGGCGGCAAGCTCGTCGTCGACGACGAGAAGGAGCACTTTGCCCAGGGCTTCCAGGCCACCGACGCCATCGTTTTCCCCTTCATCGCCGCTGCTGTCCTCATCGGGCTGTACTACCTCATCAAGTGGCTCCAAGACCCCGCCATCCTCAACATGATCCTGAGGCTCTACATGGCCATGACCGGCATCCTGTCCATCGGGGTCTTCTTTGGGGATATCTTCCAGTTCGTTTTGAATATCGTCTCGCCCGACTACTGGGCCGACCGTAGCGGGCGGGTCTTCGAGATCGATCCAGCGAGCCGCACCCAAAAACTCCTGAAGGCACCACAGGAGGACGGCTCAGAGAAAGAGGCCGACCCTGGAAAGCGCCTGCCCCTTCCTGGATTTGCCTCGGAACTGAATGTGCCTACTTCTATCAGCAAGGCGGCTTGGGGGCTTCGGCACTTTCTGAAAGAAAGCTGCGTCTTGAAGATAAAAGTCCCTGGCGACGGCTTCACAGGAGATATCAAGATCACAAGTATCATCGGTTTCGGACTCGGATGTGCTGTCGAGGCACTGTACTTATACACAGAATCATCAATCCTGTCCAACATCATCGGCCTATCAGTCTGCTACATGGCTTTCAACTGGATGTCTGTGACTTCATTCTCCATTGGGACCATGGTTCTAGTGGGACTGTTCTTCTACGACATTGTCATGGTGTTCTACACGCCCTTCATGGTGGCAGTCGCGACGCAAGTCGATGCGCCGCTGAAGCTGACGTACGAGACCTCAGGCGGGAGAAGCAGCCTTCTCGGCCTCGGCGACATTGTCATCCCAGGCATTTTCATCTGCCTGGCGCTGCGATTCGACCTGTGGAGACATTACCAACGCAAGGCCACGCGCGTAGAAGAGGATCTCAAGACGGTCACCAAGGAAGACAACGAGGGCGAATCGATTGCGGGGAACACGACCGCGGGCGAAATTACCACGGTCAAAACGGCATACCGCACCGTCAAAGCACCATTTGTCGACCCGCGCGGCCAGTGGGGCAACTTCCTCTGGACCACGAGCCCGCGGGACCTCGTCTCCGGACGACCCACCGTCAAAGCCCTCTCTGACGCCGACTTTCCAAAGACGTACTTCCGCGTCACCCTCCTGGGCTATCTGATTGGCATGCTCGCGACCCTGGTTGTGCTGGTGATATTCAAGCACGGCCAGCCTGCTCTGTTGTATCTTGTGCCCGGCGTGGCTGGGTCCGCTTGGCTGACAGGCCTGATCAGGGGTGACCTCAAGGATATGTGGGAATACACCGAGGACGGAAGCCTAGACGTGGAGGATGTTGTGGTCGAGGTTGACGGCGAGGGTAATGTCATCGAGAAGACGAAGAAGACGGCAGACGCGACGAAGGACGCTGCCAAGAGCAAGGATGAGGAGAAAGGCAAGAAGGATAAGGAGAATGCGGAAAAGGACAAGAGCGATTATGAGCTGTTTGTTTTCTCCATCACCGTGCCTAAGGAGACGAGCCTGAAGGAGGACTAGGCGGTCTGTACATGTTGGGTCTGGTGTTGACAGGGAGAGTCCCAGTGAGACAGGAGCCAGCAGCATTCACAGACGGCCCTCCCGTTTGAGTCGGGTTAGCTGTTATTATTGAAGCGTCATTTTCTGGTCATGGTTCAATGATAACAGCTAATTTCGCGAAGAAGAGCCACATATGAATGCCGCTGGTTACTCTCTATATTAGCTTAGCGGCCTGCCCATCAACGCCAGTTACTTCATCCAAGTTACTATACCGCCCGGTGGCAACCCACCCATCACCATGGTCCACCGTGCCAAGCATGCGGAATGAGCTTGTACATATGTCCTCCAACCACGGCTGGAAATGTTGGGGATGGAGCTTTTCCCCTGCCAATCATCTGTGCACACATTACGTAGCCAACGGCGTCTACCAACCATCCCTGGGTGGCAAGGGTTTTCTGCTTGCGTAGGAATTTCTTGAGTATATTTCACGCTACGGTGACGAATACTCGCAGTGCGTATACTGGAGTTGGTCAAGTCTACTCCTGCAGTTGATATACAATCAAGAAACAGAGACAGCATGTTTTCCGCTGAGAAGGGATACGAGCTCTTCCGAGATGGGCCGTGATACAGAGCTTACATGTGTGTATTCGGTCCGTCCAACGGGTTTTCTTGCGTCTCATCTGGCGAACACCCTCTGGAGGACCACGTCGTGTGTCACTCTTGTCTCAGTCAGCAAGACCTCTCTTCTTACCCCGACTGGCCTTCTGCCGACAAGGCCGTTCCATGAAGCGATTTCTAACCTGCTGTCGAAACAGGACGATTCTGGGGCTATGATTGATGATAATTACTTCGCGCCCGGCAAGCTTATCCGTTCTCAATAATATGCAGATTGGGATATCGCAATTCTAATGTGAACGTCAGCCGATAATGCCACAATAAAGCCTATCGGAGAGTAGTGCTTTACTACAAATAAATTATACAACTCTGTTATTGATTGCGTAGCAGGTCAGATCCTCAAAAATTCCCCCACTCGTTTTCCCTTCTTAGGTGACAGTGCTGAGTAATAAGACCTCTAGGATCGTGAGTAAGTGGCTGATCTGCCCTTGAGATCCCGTGTGTCAGAGCGGGATTGGTATCTATGTCCCTTGGTTTAGTAGTATATGTTGCTAACCAGTTCATTGTCCCAAACTCGGTGCAATGAGTTATATTCCCCTCAGCTCTCCAATCTGTCTTCATTAGGACTTATTGGGCTGTTTTTATCAAGTGACGTGCTGGGTTGCACACCGATATTTTGAATAAACAAATGTGAATCATTCTGGTCTATGATCCATGAGTTGGCTCTATGAGTAGTGAACTGGCGATGACAGACCGCGATCTGTCCTGTTCATGACAGCGTCAAGGTTGGGGGCGCCATGGTCTCGCCGTGGGAAACAAAGGATTCAGGTCTTGATAAGGTGTGATCCTCCCGTTGGGATCAGAGACCGGGCGTTGGCGATGCCGTCCTCGCCGCAGGCGCCAATCGCCGCCAGACCTCGAAATGCGAGCTGCCGTTGTAGAGACACGTTTGAGACAGTGTTGTACAAGGAAAAGAGGCGAGGCCCGTGTGAACGGGGCCGCTTGTCAAACCCCCATGTCTCGACCCTTGCGATCGATTAGGGGCGGTCTTGGCCTGAAGAGGTAGTTGGTGTTTGGTTTGTTCTTATTTCACTCCTTCTTTCTCGGTTTTGTTCTCGATGTACTCATGAGACTTTTCCGTCGCCATTTTTCAAAAGCTTTCCTGTTGACTTCACACACGCACACAAACGCGCGCACACATTTATTCTTGGAAGGCAGCCTCTCATATTTTCAACCCCGTCATGCAAGCAACTCGAGAAAGAGTGAACAGTAGACCCAAGGGGCGTCGTGCCACCTGCTTTAACCCCGACGGCTCAGCTGAGCCTTCTGCAGTTCCGTGCGCCTCCGAGGGAGAGTCGCACTGCTGTAGCGGCGCGAGTGGCATCTGCTTGTCCAACGGCTACTGCATGGATTATCTCCAGCCGTTTGCGATTTGGCGAGGCTCATGCACCGATAGGACGTGGGGCTCCGCAAACTGTCCCCAAGTATGTACTGGTACGTGCAATATTCCCCAGCATGGGAGAATATGCTTGCAGCATCATTGGGTGGGTTGTGCGATTTGGTTTTGCTATCTGTGCAGTCTCGCTCACCTTCTTCATCGAAAAGCCAGTGATTATCTCGACAAAGATGTTCGTCTGTCCGTTTGGCGTGCAAGCTCCTCAACCGCCGCGCAGTATTGTTGCGGAGATGTCGATACAACACAGATAAATTCATCATTGGCGTGCATTGATGGAACTCCCGTCTTCACACTACCAAACGCAACACCAGTGCTGGGAGTTGCGGGTCTCTCGAACGCCAAGGATGTTTCCTCGACGAACTCGACCTCCGACGCATCTGGCACTGCAACGCAGACCGCCAGCACCATGGCTCACGGGGACGACTGTTCCTCACAGAAGAAAGACACCATCACCGTAGGGTCCATCCTGGGCGTCTCGCTGGTCGCTGTCGCTATCGCACTGATCCTATGGGCGCTATGGGAGCGCAGGCAGAAGATACTGTGGTGGCAACGGGCGATCGGCCTCGCGCCAGAGTGGCCGCCGAAACATGCAGCATGGATGAGGTCGCTGGGCCAGAATACTAAGAATTCTAAGCCACCGCCTTGTCCAATCACTAGAGCTAAGCTTCTTTACGCCGCCCACCAGCAGCAGAAACACGCACAGGAGCAGCAGCCTGCACCGACGTGTGGAACTCGCCAGCCAGAGATTTCTAGCCCACAGCGTCCACGGGAGATGCCGGTGCCGGACTTTATGCCTCCGGCGGCCGAGATGGACGCAACGTGACAAAATACTTTCAGTGGCCAGGGTGTATGTCAAGCATGCCGCAACTATGGCGGTATTGGCTCACAAGACAAGTTTCAGATAAGAAGCAGGAGTTGGATATGGAGTCGATTGATATCAGCAAGTGCGGACGAGTTGCGAGGCTCTCGATGTGATTGTATCAAGGAGCGAGTACGTAGACTTATATGGCAGCACAAATTCTAAAGAGGTATACTAATATTGTTTAGTGAAGCTGAAGGCGGTGGTGCTGAGCGCTGCTCCCAAAATGGTCTCTTAGACTAGTGTGACAACCACCGAAGGGACGGCAACGAATGGGACGACAGCCGGGACGACGACCGTAACGACGACTGTAACGACGACCTCTACAGTTACGAGCGCACCGCGGAACGATCGACTTTCAGATGGACAAGTGGCAGGCGTTTCCACTGCATGCACACTTGTTGGGATCGTCTTGGGACTTGTCATCAGCTTCGTTGTGTTTCGTCACAAAAAGCGCAGTCGGCCCAAGAATAGCGCTCTGTTGGCAGACACAACACTGCGTAATGTTCCCTACAACACCTCTTACGACTTGGATGGTCCGCCTCAGGAAGCTGGCCACGACACTCTGCGGAACACTGTATCTGGGGTGGAAATATCTATCAAGAACTTCGTCCATGAATTCTCCCACAACCAACGACTTTCTCACCGGGAGCTCGATGATGGTACTATCGTGGATCTTCTCGATGCTCGAATGGGTGATCGGCAGGCGATGATATGGCCCAGAAAACTCAAAACAAGCCAGAACCGTAGCACGACTCTCAAGGCATACCTTGCACGAGTCCTTTTTTTCACGCATAGATCCCAGTGGCAACTCCGAAACCAGCCTTCTCCCAGAGGAAATTCTACGATGCTACCATGAACTGCTATCAGAAGGGGCGCACAACGGAAGCCAACAAAGTCCTGCTACTGGTAAGCCAAGCAAATAGTTTGACCAAGTGCGTGGCATGTCGCCCCAATCTAACATCAAAACAGAGAAGCCAAAGCAGCTCCACCATTTGCGGGCCATAACAGTCCTTCTCTGGGAGAAACACCATACGCAAAGTGGACGGGGTCTTGACAACATTCACTACCAAAAGATTGTTAAGACTGCGGCCGACTTATCGGCTGCTCTGAGCCCTCTGAGAAACACTAAGCCACATCAGAGGTGTGCCCAGAGACTCGAAACCATCGTGGAGGACATATCCACATTTGGAGGTATGCTGGCCTCCACTGGCATTGTCCTCGGATGAAATGGCCACATTCCCATCGTTGAAGCAGTATCGTCCTGATACGAAGCGCACAGTCGTCATCAAAGATGTTGCCCTTGAGTAGCCTTCCGCTCCAGGTTGGTCGCCCTTTAGCAGGAGATGGGGACCGTGGCGGTTCTGTTTCTTGACCTGTACAAGGCTCATTGTCATTGGTTACTTATCTGGGCTCAGATCTTGTCCCACCTCGTTTCAGCGCGTCGAAATCTGCAGCCAGTGTTCTTCACCTCTCAACTTGTACCTCTGAACCTTTATACATTGAATTGGCCCGTGCCGCGTGCCGGCTGCACCCCGCTTCGAGTGAGAGCAGCGCGATGAGACCTATAAAGTAAACGAGGCCACAGCCTCAGCCAGCCTTCTTCCTCCTTCTTTCCCTAGTTTTCAACATTCTCACCTACCACTCCACGTGAAGTTTTCTTATTGTGTTCCCTGGTTTGTACTGTCTTCAGGAACCACATCTTCCGATACAATCAGAATGGTTACAGGCGCCGAAGAACTCAGTGTCGTTGCAGCCTCGTTGAAAGTTGCACTGTTCGTGTGCGAGTTCCTTGAGATAGCCTGCAAGTTTGCAGACACACCAGAAGACTCCAGAGGTATGCTTTGCATTTGATAGAGGTTCAAGCAATAACATCTTCCCAACCACTCTGACTGTTGATCAATAATCATACAGCCTTCCTCCGATTGCTCATCCAAGTAGAGACCGACTTCCAATATGCCGTCAGGCTTCGTGAGGACAACCTCGCCCAGCTCCAGCGGCGGTACAACCTCCAAGAGAAGTGGATCCGCGACGTGCTGGTGTCGACCCTCGAGGAGATGAACGACTTCGGCAGGTTCGTGCAGAACTTCGACGACGTGCACCTGCCGAGCTTCGCGGAGCGCGCCAGGCTCCTCCTCAGGAACCACAAGTCCCTGGTCGTGCGCGCCGAGAGCCTCCACGGGGCCCACAACGGGCTGCTGACGTGCATCAACGGGCTGCATACCCTCACCATGCAGATCTAGGTACAGGACAAGCTGCTTGGCGAGGCGAAAGGGATGGTATTGTCGTCATGTAGCAACACGCCATCGATCCTTAAGGCCCGGCAGGCGCCGGCGTTCCGGGGCAGGGCGAGCAGACGGGCTCCTGGGTCTGATGACGAAGATGATGACGATGACTGCGAGAAGCTGTCACCTGCTACCAAAGTGCCGGAGGCGATTGGGAATGCCTTTGCAGAGTCTCCGCCGAGTTACGGTGAAGTGAGTTGAACGCCTTCCAAAGTTCTCTCCCCACTTGCCGAAGTAAGGATGAATACCTCACCGCTTGATGTTGCTTAACTGGCTGACTTAGATACAATACACTCGAAGGATCTATAGTCACTACAGACGGATCTACCAAGTTCAAGGTTTTCTCCCGGGGGATTGTGTCCTCTTTCGAAAGGGCGGCTGGAAGTATCATTCCAATCAAGCTTGATTATTGGCAACTGATTTGCATTGGTTACATACAAACCTTGGAAGTGTGTACATGAATATTCCGTATTTGAACCATGTGAGAGATATTCCACAAAGTCAAAATAGACAACATCTAGTCTGCGAGCCATTGACAAATGGGACTTTCAGAGAATGCCGCGACCATATTACTAATAACCCCAATCTCATCTACCACTTTTTGCTGGCAACGACTCTTACGACCCAGTCGGCTACACTGGTGGGACCTGAATATGGTGGAGGAGTGCCAATTTCAATTCCACCGCCAGCGACTCCAATGAACGCGTAACCGACAGCAGCAACCAAGCCCATGTCGCGTTCGAGATAAGAACAGTATTGAATCAACGTTGCAGAGCCGTCTGTATCCTTCATGCCAACTAGTCAAATCGAAGTTGAGGCACCTTTCAACTCAATGACAACGCCGGCACACTGCGTGAGGCATATTTGGGCGAAATCCAATGCATCAAAGATGTTGAAGAAGTGCATTTACTACTTTCTTACGCAATGTACCTCCCGTTATTTTTGATACATGTGACAAAGTTTATAGATTAGAAATATGGAGATTTGCACCTACAAAAACGGAGGGTACACCGGCACATCACAACCTCACCCAACACCCATACCCAATACCTACACCTAACACCCAGACCCAGACCCAGACCCATACCCAATACCCATAAGCCTAACACCTATATACCTAAATTATACACCTAAATTATATGCCTAATTTAATTTAGGTACATAGGTGTTGGGCGTGGGAGCAAATTAGGCCTGGGTGATGTGCTCTGATTAGCTATAGCTATGGTGTGAGTCAATATACCGGTGTACCCTCCATCTTTGCAGGTGCGAATCTCTGATTTCTAGATCAGAAGGCGTGGGGCATGAGATCTCAGGCGCCACTGGGAATTTTGTGCAATGTGAAGCGGGATACAATAATTCGCCTGAGTTGAGACTGAAATCAGACACCTACATATGTGGGCGAGAATATACTGTGTACACGAGTATTGCTGTAATTTTCGATGTTATCGACTAGAACCTCGTTGCAGTGTCTAAGCTAGAACCATTCTTGTTTTGGCCGGCGCTACATATTAAGTATCACAAACCCTTTGTCTTTTTCCTTGCTGCCCCTAGAATCAAGGCACAGCTTCAACCAGAGATCCATGTGGCTGCAGACATAGTCGCCACACCAGGATCCTAGAAACCATGCACAAATGATCTCCCAGCCGGACAACTATAGTGGAGGCCAGTCCAGTTGTCAATGACTGCTACGATAAGTTAATCTTGTCGATGTGAGCCTCTACTGTCGGCAAGATGCTATTTGTTGTACGGCTGTAAGTTCACATGCACTGAGCTTCACTCTAGCGGGTAGCTTGTGTAGTAGTAGAAACCTTGTTCTATACGTCCAGATTTACTCAGACGACAGGGGTTGGTGTATCTGTAAGAGGTGAGGTCGGATTTAGCTCAAGTGGATTTGGTGGGGTGGAGTGTCTCGTTTACTTGCAGCTGACATTGAGGCTCAACTTTCGGACTCCGTAGCTCGACCGGCATCAGCGGGATCAGCGGATCGGGCCCACTGTTGGGGGAGCGACCTCAGGTACTTGAACCGCGGTCAGACCGTTTCCGTTCCCGGGCGCTTCTATCCAGACTTAAGCAACCACTGAGCCGCTGGACACACCATCAACACTCGACCGATGGCGCAGACGTCAGGCAGACCCGTGATTGTCCAGTGGATCGTGGACACACGGAACCTATGGCCGAGTGCCGAGAAGACGGCACAGCTCGAGACAGCCGTATGTGAGCTTCTGCTGACACTCATGTGGTCTTTGTTCATATGCTGATGGGCCGCTGCCACAAAATAGGCCGCGAGAGCCCTCGCACTGCTCACCGAGGATGAGCGCAAGGCAGTGCTTCGGTACCTGTTCGTCCGCGACGCCAAGATGTCGCTGGCGTCGCACCTGCTGAAGCACTACGTGGTGAGCAAGTTCTGCGACGTGCCGTGGTGGGAGACCAAGATCACGCGCAACGCAAAGACCAAGCCCGTCTACGTGGACACGGCGACGGGCAAGTCGCCGGTCGAGTTCAACGTGACGCACCAGGCGGGGCTGGTGGCGCTGGTGGCGTCGTACGGCTACGAGGGCGTCGACGTCGGCGTGGACATCGTGTGCGTCAACGAGAGGCGGGACCGCGACCACGGCGCCATCGGGCGGGACGGGTGGCCGTCGTTCGTGGACATGCACGCGGACGTGTTCGCGCCGTCCGAGGCCAACTACCTCAAGTACCAGGTGCTGAGCGCGGTGCCGGGCCTGGCGGCGGGGGCGACGGCGGCGCAGGTGACGGACTTCAAGCTGCGGTGCTTCTACACGCTGTGGTGCCTGCGCGAGGCGTACGTCAAGATGACCGGGGAGGCGCTGCTCGCGCCGTGGCTCAAGGTGCTCGAGTTCAGGAGGTTCAAGCCGCCGCAGCCCACGGCGTCATTCGATGGGTCCAACGAGGACGGGTCGGACGCGGTCAGGGAGCACGACATCTGGTTCGAGGGCACCAAGGTCGAGGATGCCAACGTGTGCCTCCGGTCGCTGGGGCCGGACTACATGACCTGCACGGCGGTCAGGACGCCCCAGCAGAAGGAGGTGGGCCTGGGCCTGGATCTCGGGCCGTTTGAGGTGCTTCACATCGACGACATCTTGGAGTTTGCCGAGTCCAGGACATAGACAGATATAGATATAGACGGCCGTCTGGTGCTGAACGGTGGACCCGCATGTGACATGACGAGCGAGCTGAGCCGGCCCTCGCTGCTGGCCCTCCTCGACCTCGAGCTCTTTGCTTACGCCTTCTGAAACGATCGAGGCCATTCTTGACCTTTGTCCTGACCTTTGCTTTGAAACGAAACACTTCGGCCACGACGCTGCCCATTCCTGCTCAGCATGCTTGCTTGCATGTTGCCAGCATTGTCGTATTGGGAGAGAATCTGCCTCGCCCACGGTTCGTCCCATACCGTATCTGGGTCAGAGATGCGCAGCTCTTCATCACGCAAGGAGCATTGAGCCACGGACTCAGAGAGGCCGCCTGGATTAACCCTACCCAATCACCGCTGGCTGGTGCTGTGGGGTCGGCGGGGCCAATTTTAGCGCACCATACGCGTGGATCAACGTCATCTCCCTCCCTCCTCGTGTGTGAGCCGTGGCCTCGATTCTGGGCTGCTCCAAAAGCGCCCAAGCCTCCACGCCCCTAGCTCCAGGTCCCAGGTCCCAGGTCTGGGACGTCCAAGGTCCAAGGTTCCAGGTCTATTGTCAAAGATCCTCCTTCTCCAGGCCATCTCCGGATCCAGGTCTCCATTTTCCGCAGTGCCAGATGGAACATTGACTTTTTGCCATGGCATAGTCATCGTCGTCGATCATCTCTAGACCTAGAATTATTACAGCAGCGCTATCCTTCTCCTCCTCCCCTCCTTTGCAAACACCCTAACCTCTAATCATCGGCATACAGTCTTTGCTCTCGTTCTCATTCTCTTCTCTTGTCTTGCCCTCCACCTTTTGCTACCTAATCCACCTGCCACCCAAAACTTACCCCACTGGCTACCCCCCTTTCATATGCTACAGCCACCGCAGCCTTGCTGTTAATCAACCACCAGCCACTGGCATTTTTGTGAGACCCTTCGAGATTACAGCAGTCTCTCGAGCCCCTGACATGTCCGAGTCCGGTGATAGGTATGACGTTGTCCCGCATTGTTGACTTTATTGTTGTTGCTGCTGGCGTTGGTGTAGCCGACCCCCGCTGAGAGCTGTCTGCTAATACGTGGGTCTTTCTTGGGGTCTCCAGTTCCCACAAGCGCTCCAGATCGGCAGCTGCTCTGTCCCTCCTTCGACGTGTCCGCGAGCCCGACGACACTCCTCAAAGCCCTGCCGGCTCCGGCTCCTCCCCAGTAGCTGCCAACCCCCCAGCGGCTGCCCCGACCGTCTCTATGTCGCACCAACAAGCAAATAGGAGCCAGGGCTCCAGGCTCTCCCTCGCTGGTTCTGTCAGCGGCCGCGTGCCCTCCTACCAAGCTCAGCCTCAAGCTCAGTCCCCATCGCCAACCACCCCAAAGGCCGCTGCTACCACCATCTACGATAGGGGGAACACCATCGAGCAGTCCGTGCGCAAGTTTCGCATCGTCGAGGCCTTGCGCAGCGGCGATACCGCCTCCATCTCCAGGGCCATCCGCGAAACCTCAGAAGGCGGGCCCAGGCCCAGCACGTCTTCCATCAATACCCTATCCGGAGGCGCCCTGGACGATACCACAGTCCTCCATCTTGCTATCCAAGTCGCCGAATTCCCTGTCGTTGAATATGTCATATCCGACGGTGCTGGCTACGTGGACATCAATGCCAGAGACAAGGACGGCAACACAGCGTTGCATATTGCAGCCAGCCAGGGGAGGACATCAATCGTGAAGCTGCTATTGGAGCAGAAGGATATCAATGATGCCATTCCAAACAACCAGGGTCGCTTGCCGCTTGACCTGGCCCGCAATGCCGACATCTTCCAGTCGCTGCAACTGTCCCGGTCTCTTTTCGCAGAATCCAAGATCAAGCAGGTCCAAGAGCTGATCAACCAGCAAGACTACAAGGCTCTGGAGCAGGTTCTTGAGGAGACTCGCCTCAAGACCGTTTTGGATATCAACAGCACCGAGTTTGTCCTCGACCCCCTGACCGCCCAGGCTGGCGGCACGCTTCTCCACGAAGCCGCCCGTCGCAAGAACACTGCCCTCATCCAGATCTTGCTTCTGCACGGCGCAGACCCATTCAGGCGAGACCGGAAAGGCAAGCTGCCTCAGGACGCGACCAAGGATGACGTGACTCGCGCTATGCTCAAGAAGTCTCCCGCCGCGGTTGCCGCCCAACGGGGCATCCAGGAGAAGGCCGTCCTTGGGACAGCATCGCAAGCCGCTGCTGCTGCACCTGGGGATCCACTCCTGGGCAAGGAAGCCAGAGAGATGAAGGGATACCTCAAGAAGTGGACCAACTACCGCAAGGGGTACCAGCTGAGATGGTTCGTCCTTGAAGACGGTGTCCTGAGCTACTACAAGCACCAAGACGACTCTGGCTCTGCCTGCCGCGGCGCAATCAACATGCGCATCGCCAAGCTCAACATGAGTCCTGATGAGAAGACCAAGTTTGAAATCATCGGCAAGTCCTCGGTCAAGTACACACTCAAGGCCAACCATGAGGTTGAGGCGAAAAGATGGTTCTGGGCCTTGAACAATGCCATCCAGTGGACCAAAGACCAGGCCAAAGAAGAAATCAAACAGCGTGCCACGGAAGCCGAGTTATTGAGCAAGGCAAAGGAGCATGTTCAGGGTACCTCGAGTGGCGACACCCCGAGCGAGAATGCCAGTCTCCTGGAACCTGGGCCGCGGGCCAGCACACAGCTCACCCGGCTACAGTCTGCCTCCAAGTCGGGGAGCAAACTGACCAGCACGGGAGGCAGTATCGCTGAGGAGGATGAGACAGACCGTGACACTAGGGCGGGCATGTCCGTCATGCATGACGAGGAGGATGATGACGGCGATGCCTCAAGTGGCCGTGAACAGCCGAGCGCCGCCAAGGACGCGTTCAATATCACTGCGCAGTCGCTGAAGCTACAGCTGGAGACAATGGCGCAAGTGAACGCGGCTCTGGTCGCAGAGGCTAGTCAAAATCCTAACGTAAAGCTATCGGATCCTAAGACGGCAGGAGCTCTCGCTACGTACGATGCTGCTATTCGATCCATGGCAGGGCTCACTGGCGATCTCATGCGGATCTCTCGTGATAGAGACTCGTACTGGCAATACCGCCTGGATCGAGAGGTCGACATGAGGCGCATGTGGGAAGAAAGCATGGCACAGGTTGCTAAGGAACAGGAAGTGCTGCAAGCCAAGATTGGTGAGGCAGAAGAGAAGCGAAAGCACACGAAGCGGATGCTCAAGGAGGTAGTCAGCAACAGCATGACCGAAAGCCAGACTGTTTCCCCCGGTCTTGCTCCTGGCGCCGATACTCAAGGAGAGACAGAGGATGCCGCAGTCAACGATCAAAAGTCACCGACCCGAAGCCTTCCGCTCAGCCGCCACGAGACTGTGCTCACAGAGATCGCAAATCTCTCCGAAGACGAGTCGGAGGATGACGAGGAATTCTTCGACGCTGTCGATGCTGGAGAGATTGAAGCCGAGCCCTTGCCTCCTGCCACAGCCACTGACGAAGAAAACAAGCAACTTGTGGCATCAACCGGCATCGACATCAGCAGCTCTTTCCATGGATACGAGAACGGCATACGGAAGAGGTTGAAAATGGATGCGGACAACCGTCCGAAAATCTCTCTTTGGGTAAGCCGACCGTTGCTATAGACTTCGCGCAGACGACTGATCACTTGATTTCTAGGGTATTCTGAAATCGATGATTGGCAAAGACATGACCAAGATGACCCTGCCCGTGACCTTCAACGAACCCACTTCGCTGCTTTACCGCTGCGGAGAGGATATGGAATATGCCGACCTACTGGATCTCGCTGCCGATCGTACTGACTCAATCGAGCGGCTTCTCTACGTTGCTGCGTTTGCAGCAAGTGAGTATGCTTCAACGATTGGTCGTGTGGCCAAGCCGTTCAACCCCCTGCTCGGAGAGACCTTCGAGTACGTCAGACCCGACAAAAACTACCGCTTCTTCATTGAGCAAGTTAGCCACCACCCACCTGTTGGTGCCGCTTGGGCCGAGTCTCCGAAGTGGACGTATTATGGCGAGTCGGCAGTCAGGTCCAAGTTCTACGGCCGATCGTTCGACATCAACCCACTTGGCACGTGGTTTTTGAAGCTTCGCCCTGCTTCAGGTGGCGAAGAAGAGCTTTACACGTGGAAGAAGGTGACTTCGTCGGTGGTTGGCATCATCACGGGTAACCCTGTCGTCGACAACTATGGCCCCATGGAGATCAAGAACTGGAACACAGGTGAAGTGGCACACTTGGATTTCAAGCAGCGTGGTTGGAAGGAGACATCCGCATATCAGATTGCTGGCAAGATCGTGGATGCCAACGGGCGCGTCCGCGTCAGCATCGGCGGCAAGTGGAACTCCAAGCTCTACGCTCGTGTCACACCTGGCTACGAGGCTCCCGTCGAGGCGCCCGCCAACGACAATGATACGATTTACAAGGGTAGCCTGGGCGAGTCTGACCCTAACAAGGCCTTCCTGATCTGGCAGGCGAACGAGCGTCCTAAGGGCATCCCGTTCAACCTGACCCCGTTCGTGCTCACATTCAACCACATCGATGACCAGCTAAAGCCGTGGCTCGCCCCGACCGACTCACGCCTCAGGCCTGACCAGCGAGCGATGGAGGAAGGCGAATACGACTTCGCGGCAACGGAAAAGAATCGCCTTGAGGAGGGGCAGCGCGCCCGGAGGAGGGAGCGTGAAGCCAAGGGCGACGATTTCGCGCCCGCGTGGTTCACCAAGGCGAGGTGTGAGATCACCGGCGAGGAGTATTGGAAGTTCAATGGCAAGTACTGGGAGCAGAGAGAGAAGGCTGGCAAGGGCGACGAGAGCGCGTGGGCGGGGCTAGAAGAGATCTACGCGTAGGACGGCGACATCAGCTACTTGTTCAGGGGGTGGTAATCTCACAGGTTTTTTTTGGATGCGTGGAAGAGTTACAGAGTAATGAGTCAAGACACGGGTGCAATAATGAAAACCCGAACTGCGAAGCCTCGATGCACCTGGTGAATGCCCGTGTGTTTCCGAAATTGACGTGGAGACACCATAGATGCTAAATGTGCGACTGGAACGAATGATGCGGTCATTCAAGATGGCTAGGGAATCTCCCCACTGCTTCAGGGTCGCCAGCTACGTGCAGGGAACAGAACAATTTGCAACTGAAGGAGACGAAGGATCCATTCACACGTACACCGAAAATTAGAGGGACGAGTAGTTGACAATTCGAGGGCCTTCATGTTGGGCAAGCTCTTTTACCTCTTAGATGAGCAGCCCTGATTCGAGTGAGAAGATTGGTTGAACGGGCCTCAAATTCAGCAGCTTTTGAGAAATCATGTTAACAAAGGCCATATGGATCCCTTATGTTGGTAGCTACGAAGCACGGGTGTTCCTACTGGTTGGTGTGTGTCAAACGTAGTGTGTCTCCGACGGATGCCGGCTCGGAGTGACTTTAGAAATGAATCCACCAAGTGTCCTCGCGTCTCGCATGCAACATGAAGTCGGAGCAAAAGTGCGCTCCTATTAGAATCACACGTTTCTGAGAAGAAGCTGTGAACAACAGAGCTCGGAGTTTTATTTCCAGATTTAGTCACAGAATTTGAAGACAAAGTCTGGTATGTCGTTTGTACCAAAAACGCCAAGGGCCGCCTTTCGCGGTCTCAGCCTAGCTGTGATGAGTCCCCACTAGGTTCCAGAGAACGGTGACCTATGCAAATTTGAGAGGGTTGACTGTGTATGGCCCAGTGGTTTTATGGCTTTTGCTCGCTTATCTGGGAGTCGGAAGTGCTGTAGCCCCCAGCAGCCTTCTTGTCATTCCCAAAGACAAGTCCTGGATGCCCAGCCATGAGACAATAAACCGCTACGATGATCATCCTGCCCAATTTGAGACCATATCAGTACGGGCTCCTCTATAGAGTTGGGGTGGGGGTGATTGTTTTCCAGAGGACGACTTACACTCCCTCGAGACCGATAAACAGCGCCTCGTCCCTGACCAGCTCGCCGCCGTACCCCTCGTGCAGCTCCGCGAGGCGGTACGCGCAGCGCACGAGGATCAGCAGCGTCGCCGTGGCCGTGAAGCCGAAGAAGACCTTCAGGCGCCGTGTGAACTTTGGGCCCCCGCCGCCCACGGCGGACGTCTTTGAAAAGCGGTGGTACCGGATGAGGTAGTCGGCGAAGAGGGCGCAGAAGACCAGCATGAAGACGACCTGCAGCACCAGCCCTGCGAGGGCCAGGTCCACGCCGGTCTGGCTGGCTCCCGAGGAGGTCGTCGACATGGCGCCGCCCGCGGCCTGTATCACCAAGCAGATCAGATCGCCGGGGATGAAGATCCAGTAGTAGAGGCGGGGTCGGAAGCGGGAGACCTCGGGGGCGAAGTATTCGATCCTACGGGGGGGTATGTCAGCAAGGCCCCAGATGCTACAAGAAGCTGTTCCCCAGCTTGCTACCACAAAGGGGCTTTACGTACGTGGCCGCGAGAGAGACGTAGATGGCTGCCGTGAAGAAGACGGGCGTGCTCGTGATGCAGACTGATGGTAAACAAAGACAACAACTCAGCTCTCATGCTCTGAACATTTATGCACCATGAGGATGGGACGAGTCTCACTAATCTGAAGCATGAATCCAGTAAAGTCGAAGGGGTTGTTGTACAATAAGATCCGGCCCGTGTAGCCCGCAATGCCGTCCAGAGCACCCAGGACCATGCAGCTCATGAAGAACCATTTCTTCCACCGCCAGCCGAGGTAGATGTGAATGCAGGCCGAGAGGGCATAGAGGACGATGAACGCGATGCTTGCGCTCATCCTGGGCCGGTAGCCGTAGAGGCTGGCCTCGATCGGGCATATTTCGAGCGTGCAATTGCCATCGGGGCCGAAGAGGACAACATCGGGAGGGAGGCGGTTGTAATCTGCCATGCTCATGTGCTAGTGCAATTTGCAAACGGAGTCGAGGAAGATCTGCTCAAACAGTATTCCGAGACCGAGTGTGGGTTTCCGTAGGCACAGGCGGTTGTAGAGCACCAGATCTGGTATGCAAAACTGAGGAGACGTTGTAGGATGTGTGGTGAGCAGGGCAATCAGGCGATCAGTGGCTGAATTGCAGTGAGAGAAGAGAGGAAAACGAAGAAGCTGAATGGTTTGCGATCTAGGCTATGAATACTCGTTTGCGTGGTCTGTGGCTAGAAGATCAAGTGAATGCCATATCCACCGTACCACATGGGCCATGTGGTCATGTTATAGTCTCTGAGATGAATCGGGCCGGGATAATATCTGATTCTTCTCATCAGAACAATACTACAGTCTACGCACACAAGGTGGCTCATTCCGCTCGAGTATCATGTCAACCGTCTGGTGAAAGGATGGGAAGGATTTTGTATCTGGGTACTTGCCGCGGCGTAGCAGCCCGCCAGCGGCTCGAAGTACCGGGCAAGGTATCGGAACGCTGCCTACACGTGTAGGATGATGGCGCACACCTGGCTAGTGCGTTGCGGAGTGTGTAAGCCGTACGTGGTGTGGCTTGGCCCTCTCGCACTCGCTTTTGGGTTGAAGAGAGGCGGCTCAACCTTGGGCCGTCGCTCTAGGGCCGGCGTGCCGCCCGAGTGTGGTGACGACTTGAAAGGACACGGGCTTGGCATGCGTTCAGGATTCAGCCGCTTCGCTTTAGTGAGAATATGCTCAATGAGTGGGCAAGCCACATCGGCACGTCTCAGTTGATTGGGTATTCCGCCGCCCTTTGCACGTATTTCTGATGTGAACCCCCCTACAACAATCTGATGGGGGGGGGGTGGCCATCAGGAAAATGTGAAGACACCGGTCCGATATGCTGGTGAAAGACCTCAGTTTAAAACTCAGTTGCGTCCCTGTGTCCATTTTCTTTTATCGCAGTCGAATGTCGGGCCAACATTGAACAGCCGTTTGTTCCCAGGTGAATCTCATCCTATCTGACGAAGCCGTCATTGGAGCGTGATATCTCGCATATTGAGCCGTGATACGGTCTGCCTTGCTAACCAAAATGCGAAACCTTCAATGTTGTTTTTTCGAGCGTGATGCTTCACGTTGCTAAGCCAAGCATGATATATTCCACTGACGAAGAGAGACAGAAGCAAGGAAAGGAGCCCAAGCCTCCCATAACCTGTGTTGTTTATTTATCTGTCCTTTTTCAATGTTGTTTGCTTATTTATTCGCCTCTTTTCTCCTGCTCTTTGGGGGAATTGTATCACTTGCATTCCATTTCAAAGCGTGATCATGACCCGACTGTCTAATTTTGTCTGACAGTTTATCACTGAAGCCCAGACAACGCCCAGTCACTGCCATCACTGCTCGCCTTTCAGAGGCGTTTTCCCGACTGCTGTACTTCAAGGATGTACCTCCGCTTCTACGGCTCTTTTGAGACAGATGCCCGTCTCCCTCCCCTTCTCTTCCAAAGTACCGTCATCTCGGACCTGCACCGGGACGCACCTGCTATCCCAACCTGAGTCTCACGTAAAACGTCTCGCATATTGCGTCGCGCTCTGGAAAGGGTGTGTTTCCGCTCATTGCCGCCTACTGAGCAAGATGTTGACAAAGCCCCTCCCGCTTCCCTGGGTTCATGAAGCAAACCTTGCTCCGATTCGAGGTACAGCGAGCGCCGATGTGGAGTTTGTCCAGTTCATCGGCAGCAACAAGGACGCAGTCTCAAAGTTTGGAGGGTTCGTATTGACAAAATGGTCTAACTTACGCCTTGAAAATTATAAATAAAGACCATTTGGTCATCCACTTATACAGTGTTACCCCAATGTTCTTGTTAGAGACGGCGATAGTAAACTGAGTTTTTGGACACGATGCTTCTCAGCATTGCTCGCGTCTCCTGCTATGGACGTTGTCTGGACATTCCAGGCCTCAGACTCAGGCATTCAAGTCATTATGGAAGCCACGCTGTAAACAAGAGCCTACGAGGAGGAATGTCAAGGCAAGTCCTCTGTCACGGCTGAAGTATTTACGCATGGGAACCAACTTGACAAGCTATGTCGCGCATGTCGAACGACCTCGTGTTCAGGATCAATCATACACCGCAGAGACTCTCAAGTCACTTCAGGATTGCCAGTTCGAGTTGAAATCAAGGTGGTCCATGACCATGCCATCTTTGTTGATTATTATTACATGTTTTCAGATGACGACTCCTGCTATCCCAAACCAGTTTTGGTTTCTTCCGGATGTTGTCCGTTCCCGTCGCTTGTCCTCCCATCTAAATGTTCAGAGAATAAGGAAAAGTTTGGTTTGCAAGCGAGGAACCTCGGGGTCCAGAGTCCTTCGTCTCTATTACATGTATGTGTGTTGTGCAAAAGGCAGACATGCTCCTGCACCTGGTATCTTAGACCGTGATGCGCTTTCCAGAAAAAAACCAGGACCACTGTAAATGCTCTGTCGTAAGGATCGTAAGAAGGAAATGTTTGTTGTGATGCTAATCAGCTATGATATTTTGTGACCAAGGAATCGTGCCGATGAGGCAGACTAGCATGTGGGTATTGTGTTGATACATTGCGCCGGCTCATCTCATTTACAGAGCGAGAACAGCAACGACGGCCAGGAAGGCAGCGCCAAGGCTGGCTCCGGTCCTTCCAGCTCCGGCGGTGACGACGGTAGTCTGGGAAGCGGAGGGCACGAGGGCAGTGGTGCCCTGGGCAACACCCGACGCACCAGCAGAGCTGCCGGTGGGGTAGGGAGCCTCCCCGCCTGGGGCAGCCCCAGATGGGGAGACAGCTCCGGCGGTCTCGACGGCAGAGGCAGGGTAGCTCGTGACGGGCACAACACCAACCTGGGTGGTCTCGGAGGCAGTGTAGGTGGTCAGAGCAACCTGGGGCACGGTGAGGACAGTCGAAACTGTGACGGTCGAGGATGACGACGGCAAAATCTCGCCGGCAGAGTTGGTGCAAGGAACAACTGTGGTCTCGTGGACAACAATGGTGGTAGCAGATGCGGGAGGAGTGGCGGTGACGGTCAGGTAAGTGGTCACCGAAGCGCCAGTGGCGACAGCAGGGTTGTTACCAGCGTAGGAGCCGCAGATACCCTGGAAGTACTGGATGGCCTCCGCAATAGTCTCGTCAGAGTCACCATAAGCGTAGAGGCACTGGTAGACGTTCTGGACAAAGTTGGCGTCAGGGCAGTAGCAGGAAGCATCGGCGTTGTCAACACAGCCGACAACGAAGTTCCAGGTGCTGATGCAAGCAGGGACAATGGTCGGGCAAGGCAGAGTCTCAGTTGGAGCAGCAGGGCTCTCGGTGGTGCTGGCAATAGGGGACAGCTCGGAGGTCGAGCTCTCACCAGCGGGAGGAGCCTCGCCGGAGGGAGGAGCCTCACCAGCTGGGGTGGTCTCGGCAGGAGGGACACCCTGGGTCTGGGTGACGGCGTGGCTGGTGGTGAAGACGGAAGTCTCAGTGGCAGTCACAGGGCAGATAGTGGTGCTGACAGCAACAACCTGAGCATGTTGTTAGTACTTATGTGTGCAGGTGGATGAAGACACAGGAGCAAAAGAGTCTAACTTACAACGGTGGTAGTGGCAGTCTGGCCCTCAGAAACACCAGCAGGGCAGCTGACGACCTCGGGTCCGCAGCTAGTGATGGTCTGGATGGAGGTGCTGTAGACGGTGGAGGTGGTCTGGAAGCTGGTAATGGCGGTGCTGGTGATCTCGTAGGTGGTCGACTCGACAGAGCTGGGGACCTCGACGGGGGAGGTGGACTCGGCAGACGAGGGGCTGGGAGGAGTCTGGGAAGCAACAGGGGTGGTCTGCGAGCCGCCGGGTCCGGAGGGGCCAACAGGAGGGAGGGATGGCTTGGAGCCGGTCTCAGAAGGAGACGAGGGCTTGACACCGGAGGGCCCAGTAGCAGTGGGCTTGCCGGGAATGGCTGGCACTGTAGAAGTCTTGATCTGGCTGGAGTGGGTCTGGGTGTACTTGGTGGTGGTGCTAGAGGCGGAAGAGCAGTCGAAGGAGACAGTGGGGATGGAGACACCACAGGTCGAGGAAGCCTTGGGGATCTTGTCACCAGACTGGCCGGACGGGTAGACGATGGTCACGTTCTTGGCACCACCGCACTGCGAGTTCTTGACGGTCGAGCCCTGGGAAGAGCAGGAGCTGCGCTGCTTGCATGTCGAACCATCGCCCATGGAAAAGTGGAACTCGAGGTCGGCGTCGAACTCGGTGATGACATCGATGGTGCTGACTGAGAAGGACTCGATCTCGGTATCCTGGCCGCAGCCGAACGAGGGCGAGCTCTCCTTCTCGTGACCGCAGCTTCCCTTGAGGGCCTTGGAAGTCCGTGGGGCGAAACGGCTGCCGGGCTCACGCTTTCCGTAGCCCTCCTCGCATTCGAATCCACCGAAGCTGAAGCCTCCGTAGGATGAGAAGGAGCCGAGTTGCAGGTCACTCCAGTCCCAACCACTCTCCTGTTGGGTGTTGCACTTGTTGTCTGTGTTGTCGGGGCAGTTGAAGCCACCAAAGTCGTTCCAGCCCTGTGGGTAAGAGTCAGCATATCCAGTGCTCCCAGCCAGAACATGCAGGGTTCCCGAGACATACAGTGGCTGATGCGGTTGCCGCGAGGGCAAGAATAGAAACGGACTTCATGTTGTCTGGATGGCGAATGTGTTGCTACTTGTGTGAATAATGACAGTGGCGATGATACCAAAGAGTGAAGATAGTCGATATGTACTCAGTACAAGGCGAGTATGGGTAGAGAGTGGTAGGCGGAGGCAAGTATAGCGAGTGACTTGGGGCTCCTTGACAGAAGGAAATATAAAGAAAATGATCACAGTTGTTTTTGGCGAGAAGAAGCCGACTGTTGATGGAGAGGAAACCTGGAGGAGAAGGAGAACAAACCATCAACGAAGCGACGGCAAGCAAAGCAGATATATACAGATGCGGTAGCGGTGCAGAGACTGCGAGCATGGCGCGTGTGGAGTGTGGTCCCCTTCGCCCCCCCCCCCCCTGGTGCTGCTCTGCCCATGCACCTGCATAGTACGACGGATGGTGGCAGCGGTAGGAGGTGAGGTCACGTAGAGGGCCGAGGAGCAGCCATGCCCATGTCCATGCTCATGACCATGAGGGTGGCGCGGTGGGTCGAATATTTGCAAGGGGTTCCCAAGACGCAGATGCATCCCTGGTATTTTCCCTTAGAGTTGTTTCTTTCCTGCTGGTCAACTCCACTGACCCATCCGGAAGGACTGGCACTAGGCTCGAAGAGTAGCCCTGGCTGTTTCTGATGCTCGATAGGGAATGGGAGATGCGACCTGGCCGCCCGGAGCAGCACCAGCCAATGGGCACGTAGCATCGTGCCTCCGGCGGCCCAGAAGGGGGCATCAGATCAGACAGACCAGGATTGAAATAGCAGCGCGGGCACCTCCAGCCTCGAGCCATGCTGACAGGCGTTCACACATGCGATGCCCGAATCCTCACACAGTCTGATGTTGAGTCCGGATGGCTCGAGGCCCGGCCGCCGTTGAAGGTGGCCCAGCCACGGGCAGAGGACGAGAAGGGCAGACGGCGGGCCAGCGCACAGAGCATGGCAATCTCTTGATCGGACGAACTGGGGCTCGTAGACGGAGATGGGATCAATGTTGGGGAGCAAGTGAGGAGAAGATCGAGGGTCCGAGTGCTGCCCTTTTTTGCCCATGGCACGGAGGTGCAAGCGAGTGGATGTGGATGTCGGCCTCTGCCACCAGAAAGAGTGGCAGGCTTGCCTGTTCGGGTCGGGCACGCGGAGGGGTTGGCCTGTTGCGCGCGGCTCTGTCTGCCAGATGCAGGTGGTGTCAAACCACAGGTCAGGGGTAGCCGCTCGTAACCACCCCTTCTGGCAAGGGAGCAGGGTGGGTAGCTGCCAGGTACCGCCAGGGCATCCAGACCTTTCCGTCCAATCCTTGTCAGGGGGGGCCGGTTCGCCCAATCAGCTTACACCGGGCGACTCAGACCCACATGGATTCGCCCAGAGGCTGCTCCTTCTTGCTGTCCATGTAACTGTGTACCCGCGCCCCTCGCTTCGACTCCAGGTCCGCTGATGAGACCCAGGTAGATATTGTATTGTACCTACCGATTCGGGAGTCATCGAGAGGTGGATATCTCAGGTCGACCACAGGAAGATGATTACTCCAGCCATCATGACAGACAGGCATTGTCGGATATATCTCCGGGAAAAGGGGGCCACCATGTGGTGCAACACAGCACTTTGGGCAGAAGCTGAGGGCAGGGCAGGGCACACGCAGCTCGATCTCCAGCTGCGTAGAGGGAAACAAGATCCCGTAACCTTGCTGTTAACTGGCGGACTGAGAACGTTTTCTTCTTGTCTTTTCTCCTGTCGTCGAATGAGAACCCTGAGCATCAGGTTCTCCAAATGAACGGTGTGCTGGATGCAATGCAGGGCCTGAGGACCTGACCAACAGGAACGACTCTGGGGCTCCTGAAACAAGCTTGACCTGCTCAGCCACCAGCGACCACCAGTCAAGCGTCCCTTCTGTTCCCTGCCATGCCCTGCCCTGCCATCGCTTTGCCGGGACACGGCAACCGCGCTAATGCAGGAACAGGAGCTGCCAGTGGGGATCGGCAAGCAGCTGCGGGCCAACCGTCGCCCTCGCTCCTTGCCGTCCCAATATCCACGCTTGGCCAGTCGGACCCAGAAGCCCCAGCGCAGCTTCATGCCGTGTCTGCACAGCAAACCGGCCACAGCCACGATGATTATCACATGCATTCATTGCAACCACAGGAGCTCCTCAGCTCTTCAACATGGTGGACCAGTGGACCAAACTCAGCAACCGTCTCATCTCCTCAGCTCGTCTCATCGGGTCCTGAAGCAGGGCTCCTTCGTCTACGACCGGGCCAGACCAGACCAGCCAAACGAGCCAAACCAGCCAGGCCCGGCCGATATCCGCTTGACATGGGAGGGAGGCGGCACCAAATCGCCCACGATGACCGTGAGGTTGCAGAGAACCGTCATGGCTTCATCGGGGAATTTGGTCTTTGCACCCCCCCCCCAAGGGACCCTGTAGTCTTGGCAGCTATTCCCCTTTCGATCTCTGCAACGGCGCCATGTCCCTCTTCCAGAACTCCAGGCCCACCTCGAGTCCTCGCTACGACGGTAACACGTCCCTCTCCCGCTCAAAGTCTCCCCACAGAGCAGACTGGGACACAGCACATCATGTCCGCCCAGACCCAGACCGTCCGCCGTCGCTCGCCCGACTTCGTATTTGTGCAGTCGTCAATACAACCAACCCTGATTTCATCAGATGTCACTGGGAATCGCTCCGGATAAACACCTCCGCCTCCTCGCATACTCGATCCTCGTCATCCCGCCTCGGACTCGTGGCCAGGCCGCCAGTTCTATTTCCGGTCCCACAACAGGAGTCGGCGGGATCGGGAATCTCCAAGAAAAGCCAGTGTGCATGTCAAGGTCGGTGACCACAGCTTCGGATCTGGATATGGGGGCATAAAGCTGATGACGAGCTCCTCCAGGATACCCGAGTCAATCCATCGCGAGCCATCACGCTCACAGCCTCCGAAGGCTGCTCTGCTCGACACAAGCATCATCCCAAGGTCCTGCTAACTTCTTTCGAACTAATTCCAGCTAGTGCCGAGGACTGATGACGGGGGTTATGGACGCATCTCGCCGGGGTTGGCCACTTGTTTCATGTTTCAGCCATCCCGTGTTCGTCCCTTTTCCCTTTTCCCTTCTCGTCACCCTTCCCCTGGACGACTGCAGGCTGGGAATGCATGCCCACTGACTCTATCCCCAGTCAGGGCAACCGGGCGGCCACGCAACCTCTGATCTTGGCAAGAACGTTTTGGCCAACTGCTCAACGGTATTCGAAGTAGGAGGACAGCCTGTGCCCCACCTACCGCATCAGCCGATTCTGTAATCACGATTGGTTGTAATCTACGGTGGGCAGAATTGGAGCACATTCAAGAAATCCGAAGCTCTACTTAGTAGTGCATTGCGGCCCGAGGCTGTGGTCAGGCCCTTTAATTTCCGAGTCTTCTGCACCGGTTCGACGCCGTCGATATCGCAGTGTTCTCGGTGCGCGAGATGGCGCAAGCCATCTACGGACATTAGTCACTTGGCTTGACAGACTTGCTGATGTTGCACGGGGAAGCGAGCAGCGTACAACGGCTTCAAAAATGGTCTCGGCCAAGCAGGAAGGTCCACGATCATCTGGGCCTTCGGGTAACCTGGAAGCTGTCACGATCGTGCCAAGTCTTGGAGACGCAGCATCCTCAACTAGATGGGACGACAAGACCATTGCTGTTCTCCAACTCTATTTCTCGAATATCTTCGCAAACTAGAAATACGCATGGCAGTCGGTGGACATTGAACTCGACACCAAAATCATTTGCCTCGGCTAGTCTGTCAATCTGGTTTCCATCGGCCTTTATCCCATTCTTTTCAGATCCGGAGGGTCTTTATTCTAGTTGCTCCCAAGGTACCGGAGATGTCTGGAGATGTCCTCCGAATGGAGGTCTCGATATGGTTGTGTACAGAGGCCTCCTGGTTAATAGGGCCAAGTCCCTTTCAACTATCCGACCAGCGCATCCTGGTGTTGCATCAACTCTTCGAAGCCGACCAGACGGGATAAACCTTTGTCGACACCATGCACGGGGTCGATTATGAGGAAGGAAGAAGCTGGCCGAACATTTTTGATGATCTAAGTTTAGGGCCACATAAAGTATTGACGTCCACACAACAGGGTTGATCGGCAGAGTAGATGGAGCCGCCCAACAGCCCGGGAGATGATCGACGTCTACTGCCGTACCAACATGCCCCCAGCGCAAAGCAGCAGGTGCTGGTTGGTGCTATTGTCCCGGTTGACTAAATCAACGCGCTGCTGACGGCCCTCATCATAGGCTGCATCCAATCAACCTTCTCTCCAAGTCGGAAATCCAGAGCATCGGTCTGTCAGCGTGCACAGGCGAAGCCGCGGGCATTTCAGCTGGAGTCTGTAAACATAAGATCAACTCGGACTCTGTCGCGCTGAAGTGACACCCGACCGACATCCGGTGAAGACTTTTTCCTCAGTCTGCAGTAGTCAGGAGAACTTGCAGCCACCACGGCACGCACATGCACGTGGATTTTCCTTGACTGGCGCCATCACACTGCATATGTGCATCGACCCGCAACGTCAGATCAGGGTACACCCGAGAGAGGCAGTGGCCCCTGAGGAGTCGTGAAAGGCATTGAGAGGGCTTGGGGGCTAGTCCTCTGAAGTAACTGCGCCTCTTGATGGTCCGGCGTCGCGATCTCGTCGAAACAGTGATGCTGCACACACTTGGGCGTTGTCGCTCAATCAAACAGCCATGTGACCTTGAACTCGTCGGAGTGAGCAAGCCAGGGCACATTTCAGGGGTCCGGACCGATAGAGATACCGTCAAGGCTAGAACTATCGAAAAGCATCGTCGTGCTGACGTTGTCCCCACGATTTGCTACACGATCACGGGTTATTGTTTACCACAGCAAAACGTCTTTTAATAGTAGGGAATCCTGTCCTTCGCGAGTGCAGATCCTCATTCCATGCCATGCGGCTCCAGGAAACAGCGGAGGATCTTCCCAGCTCTCCACAAACTCAATGCTACTGATCGGTAAGTTTATCTGGCAGGGGTTCATCTAAACATCTAATGCATTTCCATTTTGGTCAAGGAAAACAGGACAGCAAGTCCCACCTTTCTGCACCGCCTTCCACGGAGGATCCACATCCATCATGAACAATCGTGCAACAGTCAGTCTTCCACTCCTGTCGCGGTTTTCTCGGTGTGTGGGCCGTAGATAGTTCCTGGTTCATGATCACAACTTTGTTACGGTGGCGGCCGGGCGAAGGTCTCCGCGACCCCAGAACGGCCTTGCCCGATCCAGACAGGTCAGCCAGGGGCGAGGGATACCTGAATGCAACGTCGAGCTCTCCCCGGCCCCTAGCCCTTGTGCCTCCTGTGTTTCGAAAATCATGGCATGGTAGAATGGAGGCCCCCCAAGTCCTGTCGAATATTCTCTGCTACACCATGGAGGTGGCTGAGCCTCTGCGCGAGATATCAAGGGCTTCATGCTCGACGCATGGTGCGGTGTGACTACTCAGATGTCGAACAGGCTTGGGCGTTGGATGATACGAGGCCGCCGGCGAGCACGATTTTTTTTGTAAACCTGCTTGTTGCTCGGCATGGCGTGGTTGGCCTTCCCTGGTTAACAGCAGCCGGTGCATCGCCTGCTCCACGGGCAGACGAGACTCGAGCAGGCCAGGTGCATGCACCATCGAGATTCTGCAGAGCGTCGTCCTGATGTGGGCGTGGGAGCAGCCCTCGCCTGTTCTAAACTCCGGACCATAGATGCCCACTGGCGAGACCCACCTAGAATTTGATTGCCCGTCTCAAGCGGGTTACTGTATGTCTTGCCTCGGCAGCGACGCCGAGCACTATCGCTGCTCTGCGGATAGCCTCATCTCCAGCCCCGGCCTGCTGTTGCCGCGACAGGACCCGTCGACTATTGACTTCGTGAATGACATTTCATCTCGTGGGCGAGCTTTCATTCCGTCTTCTAAGCCCCTGCCTCAACCACCAGCTTGCATCCTCCGTAGTCTCTCCTCCGCCGCCCTGGCCCTCCTCTCCCGCTCCAACCTCATCCTCTGCTCCGGGGTCAACCCCCTGGCTTCCTCCTGCCTCTTCTCCTCGGCGCTCTTCTCGACGCTGCCTCCCAGCACACCGCCGGCCTTCCGTCTCGCGCTGTCGACGACCTTAGGTCCCTGTGTCTTCAGCCTCTCCTCTTCGGCCTTCCTCCTTTCGGTTTCCTTGCGCTCTGCCTCCTTCCGCTCGCGCTCCCCTCGCTGATCTGCCTCCTCCTTCTTCATTCCCGGCGGGACCTTCGCGGCATCCCAGTCCCACGCGCCCTCGCCCAGCTCGTGCCGGGCCACGCGAAACGCATCCCGCGTCGCGCGGTCGCCCGCGAGCTCAAAGGGCGTCTTGCCCTCGCCGTTTGGTAGTGTAGGGTCCGCGCCGCCGCGGGTCAGCAGGCCCGCGATCAGGGCGGCTGCGTTCTGTGCCGCCGCCAGGTGCAGCGGCGTCGGGGCGTGGTGGTTCACGTCGGCGGGCTGGAAGCGGAAGTTGGCCTCGAGGGAGTTGGTCTTGATATACGAGAGTAGGGCGGGGAGTTTCGAGCGGCGGATGAGGGCCTGTGTCTGCTGCGTGTGGAGCAGGGCTGTCTCCTCCTCCTCGGTGAGCTTCGGGGGAGCCGGCTTGGACGGCTTGCTTGCCTGCGGCTTTGTGGCGGCTTCCGTGGCGGCGTTTGGGTCGACCGGTAATAGCTCCCTCACCTTGAGCCGGGTCAGCTCGATGAAGGAGCGCATCAGCTCGTTCTGTGTTGCCCGCCGCGTGCTGAAGGGGAACCCGCGTATCCGCGGGTCGTTCGCCCGTAGAACTTGCCCATCGTACGGGCCGTAGAGCGTTCGCCGGTTTGTAACCCCGGTGGCCCGGATGAAGAGCAGGTCGGCAGTATCCAGAAGACCTTTCCAGTCCGTCAGGAGCTGCCGCACGTCGTCGACCAGTGCCTGCTCGTTGTACCGACGCAGGCTTGAACCTGCCGAGTGGGCGGCGCCCTTGGCGTTGTCGTTGGCTGATTGCGAACCACCTTGTTTCCTTCGCGTGGTGTACCTGTGGAACGTCTTGTGCGCCAGGACTGTAGCTTCGCGGTTCATCGGCCCGGCCCCAGACTTTGTCTGCCGGGGAGAAAGCGCGACTACCATCGCGGCAAAGTGGCCGCCTCCGATCATACACAGGAAGATGTGCGGGCCCTTGTAGGTGGGCGGCGGCTGTGACCCGTCCTTGCTGGGCTTTGGGGCTGCCAATGGTTGTAGTTGGCGCTTCTTGACGGCCTCTGATATGCTGTCCTCCTTCTCGAGCTCCTCGCTTGTAAACAAGGCTCTGTATATTCCGAAATAGTTGTTCTCTGGCAAAACGGGAGAAGAGAACCACATCATTGGCGGCTTTCCCGTGCCTTTCCTCTTGCCTCTGCCCCATTGCTCTCCATCGTCGCCATCATCCCCGGTGCGCTTCTCTGCGAGGGTGGCCTGCTTCTTCAGAAGTGCCGTCAACGTCGAATCCTTCTTGGAATCGTCCTCTTCATCCTCAGAGTCTTCCGAGTCGGACCCAGACAGACTCTCGTCCAAGTCGCCAACCAACTTCTCAAACTCCACCTCGGACACGGGCTTCTGCCCCCTCAGCTTCTGCTTCAGGTTGTAGGTATGCAGGTCCGATTTCTGGTGGCCTCGTTGGTCAAGTACAGTGGCGAATGTGAGACCGCATAATGAGCAGGCTGGCGATCCGACTGTGGTCTCGGACGGTGTTTGCGACGGATCAGAGACAGATTCTGAGGGTGTGTCTAGGTCTGGCTGTTCCTGCGCCTCGCTGTCTAGCTTGATCTTCAGTGTGACCAAGACCTCTGGAGGGAGGTCATAGACTACAGAATATTTTTGTGTCAGCGGTGCGCAGCAAAAGTCCTCGCATGGCAGCGCACGACATACCGTAAAGAGGACGGCGAAGAAGATCGTCCTGCTTTTTGGGGTCTGTCGCCATGGCCGGTCTGGCTAGCCGCGAGAAGCTGGGTTATGGAAGAAAAGAGAGAAGCTCGTCACGAAGCTTGGGGAGGAGAAGCAGTCTTGACATAGAACAGCGACAGCACCAAAAGATTGTCTCGGCGTGACTGACGCCTGTTGACGGCGGATGACGACGGATGACGGGTACCCTTCGGCGACCAGTTTGGGAGCTTATCGATAGAAGGGTCAGTAACGGCTCTGAACCCCCCGACCCCCACCTCCCTTCGATAGTGCTTGCTCAGGGTTAGGCGCAGGTCCTTCAGCCAAAACAACTCGATGGTGTGTCTTCAGAAGGTGGTAATTCGCTTCAAGTTCGAGTCTCTGAATCACAGTACATTGACAAAGAATGATTCCGCTGGGCATAATTTAAGACTCATGTTTCATATTTGATTGGCACAAGGAAACCCCTGAGACAAGGTTACTCTTCCAGTGAGGCTTCAGTCCCACCTGCCGCCTGGGGATCGAACTCAACCCACAATTATTTCCTTTCCTGAAAGTTCATACTGTATCCAGAGACTCTCACCATACTTTCAGCAACAGGGCCTGGGAAACTATTATATAGTAGCCACTGTCCTCTTCTAAAGTTGTGTGTCAGGGGGATAAGTGGTACGGTATCAACCGCTCCTCAGTCCTTCCAGATGTGACGTGTAACAATGAAGGATTTCGTGGGGTTAGATATTTTTCATGTAGCAATAGCAATTTCCTCATAAATGGTTTGGGTAGGAATGCTGATTTTGGACTCACCAAGTCATCTAGTGTAATGAAGAGACGAGAGGTTGAGATTACCTGTATGGTCGGTAGGTAGGCATAGCCAGGACTGTTAAGCTAGATCTTTGTGGCTCGTCGCAGCGATCACATTGAAACCTGCTTCAGGGAGCTTGATTTCTGAAAACTGAAAGTTGAGAAGGATCCTCACATATACGTAACGGGGCTTCACGTGTACTTTGTTTTTGAACGAACTCGGTCAGACAACCGCCAGTCAGGCGGATCCATTGTGAAAAGGCAGGGGATCAATTTCATGAGGTATCAACTCCAGCCTATGGTCTGTTGATAGAGCTTATTCCTCGCCCGAATGAGCATCATGAACCTCTGCTGCAAATGTCTCCAACCCAGAACAGTCAGAAGAAACCCTTTGTGATCCCCCTAGTGCCGGGTTCGTGGCTCGTGACACATGGAAGGGTCATCTTCGATTCAAGCCTCAGATGTCCTCAGCCTCTCCCTTGACGACGAGCTTCTGCTCCTCATCCTCACCCTCCTCAGCAGCGTCCTGGACAGTCTTCCGCTTACGACCGCGCTTGGCAGGAGGCGCCTGCGGCATGTCGTCAGCCTGACGCTTGCCACGCTTTCCACCGGCCTTGTTGTCGTTGGTGGCCTCACCATCGACGTCGGTGCCAACACCCTTGAGCTTTCGGTCGGTGAAGTACCAATTCTTGCTTGCAGCGTTGGCATCCTTGTACTTGGCCATTTTGGCAAGCTTCTCGAAGTCGGGCTGATAGACATTAATTTGTCAGTCCTGCACCCCATGCATCACATACCTGGGATGGCGTCCAACAAGGGTGAGTGGTTGGAAGGGGGATTTTTGCATACCTTGACGTTGTTCTCAGCCAGGGTGATCATGGCCTGGATGGTGAGGTCAACCTCGCGAGGAGTGAGGCCGTAGTGGGGATGACCGTTCTTGTCGGAAGCTCCAGGCATCTTGAATGATTAATGCTTGATGTTCAATGAAGGAGATGATGATGACTTTTGATGCTGGTGTTGAGCTCTCCGATGAGGCAGTTGAACTGAATGGAAATTGGGAGAACAGGGAATGCTCAGTGGTTGCGGTTGAGTCGGGAAGGAAAGATGGAGGGGAGGTTGGGATGATGCAAGTAGTCTGTAAGGTACAGGGAAACGGTACGGATCCAGGTCCCCACTTGACAGCAATTATGCCCCAAGAATTTCAGTTCTGATATGGTGGGCACGAGGCTGTGAGGCTAGGGCGAGGCGGGAGACGCGGCTGAGGACGCGGCTGAGGACACAGGTGACGGGCAGGTACCCACAGCAGTAACCTGGGCAACAGAATTACACACACATGAATACCAGGCTGCACATCTTTTGTTCCACACAAAATGAAGGTTTCAATAACTGCAAGTTAAGACTTGATGCTCTTTCTTACTACGAGGCAGTTCAAGGGGAAAGAGGCAAGTACATCTGTAGAGATGGAAAGATGACAGATGAAAACGCTCTTTCATACAAGATAGGGAAGCAAGGTATACTGAGCAATTGTGGGCAGAAGGTTCAACAGTCTTGAAGATGGCGGCAGCATGCACCTAGCAGACATGAAAATCGCACAACATTCAGCCAACATCACGAAGCAGGCAGTCACGCAGGCTTTCAGTCAATGTTTCATACATGGTCTTTGACCCGGTCAAGTTCAGTGGTTTCAGAACTTGATTGAGTTCAGCGATCTATTCCTTCCCTCCGGTACTCTGGTCTTGCCCAGTGTCCCAAGGAGTTCACGGCCTGTGTTAACAACTTCTCCCCGATCTCACAGCCTTTCAATTATGCTGATGTCGGACAACGGTCGGCTCCGTTTTGAGACTTTGGGAGTCCTGCTGAGCGACATACGTACGTCGTTGCTCTGTGTCGTGGTGGATTGGGAAGACGGGGTGTTCGGCTCAGTACTCGCACGGGTCGCGCTGGGCGAGATCTCTGGAAAACTCATCCGGCCACACAGCGAGCTGCTATGCATCAGATTCGTTCATGGGTGGAAAATCGGGGAGCAATGTCTATTCAATAATGCAGACCGGAGGTCGCATGTTGAAAAGCTCTGTCTGTTAATGTACTGACTCTTGAGATACCCATGAGGGTAGCGAAATATTGGGGCATTGGTATGAGAGAACGAGGGTAAGGTCGCCGGAGTAGACTTCTGCTGGGTGAGGAGGTCTTTGCGGAATGGGCTATGCTTCAACGGGGCCCAAGACCCAAGACAGCGTCTCCAGGCCCGCACAACACTGGTCTCATTGTCAGTAGTGCCATGTGGCGCAACGCGTACTGTTGAAAGGAGTCGGCGTCCGTGATTGCATTATGCAAAGAAATCAAGTGTTTCATATCATGTATGTTCGAGAGCGACGATAATCAAGAACGGATCTGTAAAGGCCACGATGTGATTGCGTAGCCCCAGGCCGTCATGCATTTGTCCCGACTACCGTTGCCCTATTGCAAAAAGTCGAGACTGTGTCCCAAAATGAAAAGAGCCAGACCAATCAACAAAGCTGGGTACAAACTCTCTCTTGAAGAGAGCGGAGCCACTATTAAGCTCCGTTGCAGTCATCTCACGAGCAGCTGAACGATGTATCTCCGTTCCCCCTTGTTCAGACAGCATGCGACCTGAGTCGACTAAACCTCGTCCTTAAACTCCACGCCTGCATCCTCGAGGCCCTCCTTCTTAACGCGCTTGGCCGGCTTCTCATCAATTTCCGCGTCATCCTCGTCGTCATCCTGAGTCTGCTTCTTGGACCGCTTCTTGGGCGTCTGGGTGCGCATCTTGGCAGGAGTCTTCTTGGGTCCCTTGGTCGGAGTGTCGACATCAACGACGGAGGTCGCGGATCCGGACGGGGAGGTGTTGGTCTCCATGAGCTTGTTCTTGACGATGTACCAGACGCGATGGGCCGAGTCAGGGTTCTTGTGACCGGTCAGTCTGGCAAGGTGGCCCTTCTCAACCTGGGCCGATTGTAATTTTAGCATCGAAGACTCCATCGTTCTGCATCCATAACACACGGAGCTGGGATGTGAACTCGTACCTTTCCATCGATAAGCAGGACCTTCAGAGCGCAGAGGGCGAGTTTGATCTCCTTCTCCGAAAGACCAAGAATGCTGTTGGAAGAGCTGTTGGAAGACATTTTGATTCTGATTGAGGTCAGTGTCGGATCGTGCGACGGTGAGTCACGGACGTAGTGACCATCAGACTGGACTAGAAATCAAGAAATGGGAGGTTCCGACGGCAATCTTGTGAGAGAGATCGATGAACAGCCCACTCTGACGCGGTGAAGCAAAGGGATTTGGGGGGGTGGCGGGACGCGGTAGGGAGAGATGCGGCTACTCACGATGCTCTAGGTCAGTATCGTGGTTGTTGATTGCTTTGTCGATGGACACTACTCTGTGGCAGTTCGCGATGCGTCAGTGACGGACGTTGGATGCGAAGGTGACGAAACGGAACAGCTGGAGCTGCGGAACAGAAAAAACTGTGGGAAAATACTGGGGTGGAAGGAGAGATAAGAGCTGGCAATGGTTGCGTTCCTCGGGACAATCCCAGGACTCGTGGCTCATCCAGACTGGCACCGAAATAGTTCAGATGAACGAGTTGAAAGATACCGAAAGGGTCAAGTGGAGAAGGAAGCAGAGAGGTAAGTGAGGATAATTACGTACCTGAGGTTGTCCATGAACCTTGTGCTGCGTGACTGGATGGTGGATGGTGGATGGTGGAAGGTTCAGGTGAGTTTTTTGATCAAGGAAGCTCTGGGTGCACGGCGGGGAGTGGTGTTGTGTCTGGGGACGGTGGAAGAAGTGGCACTGAGCTTCAACACAGCTGGACGGGTCTGGAAGCTGGACATGTTTGCAGAGCTAGTGAGGCAGCGATAGCTGTTGCTACAGAACGAGGTGAGGGTTTGAGCTGATCTCAATGATACCACGATGTGTCATGACTGCAATCCACAAAACAACTGGAGCAGAGAAACACATGCTTAGGGCCTCACAACTTTCTCATGCGGATGCGCCACATGATAGGCCCTTAATCACCTTTCAACCTCACAACCACTTCAAAGATATTACAGAACCAGTGTGCTGTTGCCAGCATTATCTACGGACTTGGGGGCAATCTTTGATCAGGAATTGTTCACAGTGGCCTCCTGTGCCCTAAGTATGAAATGGCTCATAACCAAAGTCAAGGTCTCAGTTCATTCACCAGGCAGGTACAGCCATCAGGCTTTCTGTTTGACCTTCGTTTGACAACCACAGACAACACAATGAAAGAAGCCCAAGGTATGAGATGGCTGTTGTATGGGCTAGTAATTGTACTTCCACCTAGGTACAATGTAGTGATCACTGATCGTGCTTGAAATATCTGTGTGCTTGTCCAAGACATGTGAAATGTCGATAGATTCAGGAATTTAACTTGTGGTATATCATCTTGTGGCCTGTCTTTTATAAGTGACTCTCACTCTTCTAAATTAATCCTCATGTATGTCAGGGAATAAGTAATGATAGTAAGAGGTGCAAAAAATGATCAGAGCACTGTTACTGGATATCGATATCAATGTCAATGACTACATATTGAGAGCAAATTGCAAGCATCTCATGACATCTTGACAAAGAGTGACCAGGAGTAGAATTCAGTTGGCTAGGGTATGAATTATAGGAAAGCTTATGTGTAGTTCATCCGTTTACAAACTTCTGGCAAAGATGGCCGCTTTGTTCTGGGCTGACCATCCATGAAGCCAACGCGCAGATACTGTGGAGAAATCATTCCAGGTACGAAATGCGAGTGATATGGGCAGTCGCTACTGAGATCTACTTAGAATGGAAGTTGAAGTTACAAAAGGACTGGTCGGAAATGACAGCCCCGTATCTCTTGCAGAATCTCCCTCGGTAAATTCTCCCATCTCGTTGTCTTAATTTCCAATGTGGCCTACCGATAAGCCTTGCCACATAGGACAGCAGTTCCTGCATTATCAAACGAGTAATATAATGAATACGGGGTTGTGCACATAGTCAGAAATGATCAACCAAACGTAACCATGTTGGTCTTCTATGGCCGGTGAATAAAGTCCGGTCCTCTGAAGCGGCATCCGGGGCCTGGCAAGTATCGGTGGGTGGATCAATTTCTACAGTTAAGTTCTTCTATTTGACCTAATGCAATGAGACCATAAATTTACGGTGCTATAGGCAGACTCGGATACTTTGAGAACTTCCCGCTGAGGACTTCCCGAGTAGGGCTGACCATACGAGTCCACAAAACTCATCCCGTCTACCACATTACCCACTTAAAGCTACGATGGGGAATCTCTCGCAATTTTGGATATTTACAGTGTTTGTAGTCTTTGGATGGACTAAAGCGTACAGTATTCATACTAATGGAATGATTCTATGTCCGTACGCGCTGACCTGCTATAGTGGAATTGCTTGCTTTTAATTTCTTTTTTCCTTGAATCCAATCGGGAAGAACTTGTTGCAAATGTGACTGCTGGCCTACAAGTGATTAATGCTGAGGGCCCTTGTGGAACTGTCTTGAATATTTGGTTAATGGCAAGTCTTGGGGAACCGGATGGCATATCTTGTACCTATGACCGCAAATGCAGAGATGTATTGGGTAATACTTGTTGAGATACGTTGTGCAATGCAGCTGAGGTGGAAGACTCCAGGTGCTCCTGAGCCACAAAACTGGAAGCCTCAGGCGTCTTTCACCCAGCACTCGACGAAAAGACACATACCTCCAGTGTTGCACTCAAGAACGCACTCTTATCTTTCAGGGAAATAGCCGAGTGAATACCATGTTATCGGGCAGGCTCTAGGAGGCCATCATAGTCCAATTGCTTCAAACACACTTCTTTCTCGCTGCGTTTTGCTTACGGCTACTCCAGTTAGCACGGACTTCCTGTGAAGGTGTTCTTTCCGACCCTTAAAACACACTCTCTCAAAAGGTATGAAATAGGCCTATTACTGTCAAGTCTTCATTTGTTCACAATTATTTGGAATGAGTGAGTTCATGGCAACAATTCACATCTATCTAGGAAGTCATGAATCGCATTCGCAGCGAGCACTTGTTCTAGCAAAAGGACTTGCAGTTGCTTTAGGTTCATAGCCATTTACTGACTGATACCTACAATGCTGAGACATATCAGATGGGTATATGGCACGATGAAGCCAGGATCAGGGCGCATGGCTGTATGTTTAGGACAACATGGATATTCTTGTCCTTCCGAGAACCCCCACTGACCATGTTCGCGTGGGGGGCTCAGTACCAGGTGTCAGCTGGTCGAGTAAGGTGCCATACGGGGATAGATTCGCAGAGGTCGCAAGTCCGAGTCCGAGTGTCGAGCGCAGGGCTACTTAAGGCCCGACCAAACTCTACCAAACTCCAAACACCGCGATATCTTTCCATAAGCCCGGGTCCAGATCGGAGCCGGCCTCCAGAAGTAGACCGAATCAGATTATGCCTCGGTTATTTTAGGGTTGCCCGGGAGTATCCTGCTCGGGTCACCATGCACATACGTCACAGGCGTCCATGAGAAGCCAAGACGTTGTCATGGTCAACTTGTAGTCGTCGGGCCCCGAGGGATTAAAGGTCGGCGGGAGGTTGGGCCGACGCGCCGAAAACACGAAGAACATACCATTGAATGTTAGTCAAAAGCCAAAACAAGCGTGAGCAAGATCACAATAGTCGAAAGAGATATTCATCGACGTAGCATCCACTCTCGAAGCCAGCAACTACCGGGCATCGCACCAGTCTCGGAAATAGACCGCATCCGTCAAACAGTCACCGCCCGATATTCACTGGCATGCTGATCGGATAGCGTTAATACACACACAAAGTCAATAGACTTCACCCGTCCCATGGTCGAAAGTAACAGAAACAGAAACAGAAACAGAAAATACGCGTATCAGAAGCTTTCGCCGACTCCAGAAATAGTACCGCCAGATGGCCGAGGATGTAGCTCCGCGGAAAGCTCCGGCGACGCTACCAGCCGTTGCCTACCAGACGTTGTGAATTCTACGTCCAAAGATCGACAATGGTGCCCGAACACTGGTCTTATCACGACACCGAGAAAGCGTGCTGAGCCGCCGAGGAAGTCCCCGAGGTCGCCATCGGTCTGTGGCCTCGGCGCCGAACAACGCGGGAGACAAGCCGGGCTTTAGCAAGACCTGGTCAACGGGGCGTTCATTGGTCTCCACAGTCTTTTTTGCCTCCTCGTGACAGAAACAGACAGATGCCTGACCTGTTACTTTCCATTTGTGCGATTCGGTGAAGCACTGGCTGGCACGTCGCCATTCTGGAATGGCACGGTGGCCAGAACCAACCTCGGGAGCAGTTCGGAGCGAGGCAGGACCGGAGGCGGCGGCCCTGGAACACCGCGGTCCCATCAAACGCCACGGCAGTTCAGATCGCGACTGCGTGGGAGGACGACGGACAAGATTTCGGGGGGATCATCTTTCAGCCCTTCTGAACCCCGTCGACACGTGGGAAGCTGAGGGCAAAAGGGGGGGGGGGGATGGGCCCGAGGAACCATCCCACCGGGAAAAGCTTCAGGGGGAACCGCAACGGCCAGCCAATAGTTTTACACGGATCAGCAAAACCGGGGCTCTGGGGGTGTTGGGTTGGGGGGGGGGGCAGGCCGGGCATCACAACTCTGAGCCCAGCAATGTGAACACATCACCAAAAAGGTTCGACAATGTATCGCGCTGGTCCCCCAAAGTACCTGCCAGTCCCACCGCCGAGAAGATCGTCCAAATCTCGTTTGCGGTGTGAAGGCCTAATTCTATGCGAGTGCGAGTGCGAGGCCGGTAGCCAACTAATCATTCTGCTGGGGTACTGCACTGCACCGCACCGATCAAAGTTTGTCTAATTTTACACAGGAGAGATCATGATGTGGACTACCGCCAAAGTGAATTTGCTTTTTTACTCTACGTGATTAAGGTTTTCCTGCACGGTAGTATCCGTCGCGGTTAGAGGGGGTTCAAGGGGGACCAGCTATAACGAATTGTTCTGCTCGGCTGCAACGTGGAAACCTTTCCAGCGCCATGTGGCTCATCATCATCAGAAAATCGCACGCCTTGGCGCCATGCCTCTTGTCCTGCCCTCGTCCAAAACGGGCTGAACAGGACGCCTTGCGGCCTGAGGCTGAAT